TCCCTCAGCTCGTCAAAAAAGGGGTGTACCATGGCATCGATAGCCGAAAGACGCTGAGTTGGCGTGTACTCGAGGAGTTTGGAGATCAAATCGATCGCGTTGGGATCAGCCTTTCGGAACACCTAGTCAATGTAAGTAAAAAGCACGCGGCTACCGGAGATACATCACTCAACATACCTTACTGAACGGATGAGGCTTAATCTGGGGGAACTTGTGTTCCATATAGTTCGGGTTCATGGTGCGGATCTGGTCCCGGGTGGGCGTTCCCAGAACCTTGATGATCTCCACCAGCTGGTCAATACCTGACTCTCCTGGGAACAACGGCTGTCCAAGCATGAGCTCCGCCATGACGCAACCCGTAGACCAGACATCTGTACATCATTAGCACAGGTTACCGCTAATCACAGTACAATACATACCGATCTTGGTAGTGTAGTTTGTCGCTCCGAAAATCAGCTCAGGCGCACGGTAGTACCTGGAGCAGATGTAGGAAACGTTAGGCTCGTTCTCAACTAGGATCTTGGCGCTTCCGAAATCGCACAGCTTCAGGACGCCGGTCGAGGGGTCTAGCAGAAGGTTCTGGGGCTTGATGTCCCTGTGGCAGATACCCTGCGAGTGGATGTAGGCGAGCGAGCGGAAGAGCTGGTAGATGTACAGCTTGACTTCGAGGATGGGCATGACCGACTTCATCTTGTTGAAGTAGCGCGAAGCACGGTACACAGTCTCGGGAACGAACTCAAGCACGAGATTCAGGTACACCTCGTCTTTCTGTGGCTGAAACGGTTAGCTACACGAAATGCATAGACGCGCTTGCTTGTAGACACGTACCCGCTCGCCGTTGTTGTAGAAGAAGGCCTTGAGCTCGACAATGTTGGGATGTCGGACAATGCGCATAATCTGGAGTTCGCGGTTCTGCGGGGGTCAGCTGGGGCTGCATGTCATGATGTCGCGCAGACGCACCTTGAAGCGCTTGTCTTGAAGGACACGCTTGATGGCCGCATCTTCACCACTAGGCGACAGCTTCGTCTGGAAGACTACGCCGAAAGAGCCGTTGCCGACAATCTTGCACTGCGTGTATGCGAGGTCTTTGTAGTCGCCGGTCAGGCCGTCCTGGACCTTTTCGCGGATAACTTCTGCGGGAGGGTGAGCATGAGGCCAATTACGCGGCGGGTTCACGGGGGGCACTTACCACCCATTCTTAGTGATGAGAAGGCCGATGGCCGGTTCTGGCTCATTGTTTGGTGTTATGCGTGTGGGAGGGGGTCCGGCAGCGCTGCGCGGATTGCTGGGGAACAGGAAGGCGGGCGGCAGGGGAGTTGAGTGTGGGTGAGGAGTGGTGTTTGGCGGGCTGAGGCGGAGCAGATAGGGTTGTAGGCGCGAGGTCGAGTGTCAAGAGGGCGTGGTCCCGCGTGCCGTCTGTGCAGTACCAGGTGACGCTTGTTGTGGCTGACGGAGCTAAGGAACAAGGAAGGCGCAGGTCGAGCCCTCAGCAACGATGCTCGGGCGGCAGTCACAGCAGGTGGTGGGAAGGGGGTGAAGGATAATTGAGGGCGGAGATGGAGAGCTTGTGAAGGTGCGAGGAAAGGCGACGATGGGGTTGAGTGACGGCAGTGCTGGGGATTAAGGGCGGGGCACTGCTAGTGCGAAATTGGGTGCCAACGTGATCAGAAGGCCTGCAATTCACCTACTTGTCAGCGCAGACCAGCCCAGCGGCGTCTAAGCTGCTCGAGGGAGAAGCGCACAGCAATCGCCCGGTGCAGGAATCACGGACCTGCAGGAAACGGGTGGATGGGATGCAGATGATAGCTTCTCGTGGAGCCTTGTAGTAATACACAGGGCTGCTCTTGCGGCGGCAGGAGCATGCGATCGCGCCTTCTTGAAACAGACGTCAGCACACGACAGTGTGCTCTGCCAGCCCGTCGCCAGCGGCCTCACATACGACACGGCCAACATTCAACATGACCATTGCGTCTGCAGCTGCGGACGCCGGCCTGCACGTGAGGCATCAGATTTCTTCCCAGCACGCCGTCATGCCGCCTGAAATGAGCTGCACCCACTTGCTCGCTGGCGCGTGGCTGAGACGCACTCCAATCATGGCCGGAGCTTGCTGTGCTTATACTAACCTGGCCGTACGAGCTCTGAATATCTGCCCGGCGATAGGCTGCGCGTCTCTAGCAGGCACTGAGTAGCTGCCTCTGCTCCGTTTGACATGCGACGACCGTTCCCATTGAGACGTTACCAGCCCATCGTGGCCGTTACCATGGCCTGAGCAAGACCCTCTTTCCTCTCCAGGGCCCACGACGCCTCTGCCCTTAGCGAGCGTCCCTCAACACTCTGTGAATGCTCGACACCGTCAGCCAATTCCATGCTGCGGACGCCTCAGCGCCCGCGGCAGCAATTTCATGCACCACGCTGTTCGAGCAACCACAACCTTGTCTTTGTTTGCACCACAGCCCGTCAATCAAAGCCGCCGCCGCCGCAATTTTGTGTCGACGACGTACCAGGACACTCGCGAGAGTACAGGGGTCAGTAGCCGCAAAAAAGTCTTCCGACTGGCGTTGGAGAAGCTGATATCCGACTCAACAACATGGCTTTTTTCCAAACTTTGACCGCACCCTTGCGGCCTGCTGCAAAACCAAATCCCCCTGCACGCCCTGTCGCCTCGTTCTGCTGCATCGTCATTCTGCTCGAGGCCCCGGCCACGCCCTCGTGGCCTGCAGCTCCACTTAGAGGGCAGCTGATGTTCTCTCGCGCCCTGGTCCTGGCGCCCCCCTCTTCGTCTACAGCCGAATGCCCGGGCGACCCAGAGGCGTGGCGTGTTATTATGATGCATATCCTTTCACAGCCGCCCAGCCCAGCGACTCACTATTCCCTTCTGGTCTCGTGAAATGCCACTCCACCGTTTGTGCACGCTTCCATCTTGACCGGCAGCCAGCTGCACCAAGCGGATGCGGATCAAGTCAACGACACCGCTGCTCTCGGATGTCCAGGGCCCACTGGCCGGTGTGAACCACTGCTCGGTGCGGGTTACACACGCGCACCTTTAAACCCGAATCGGCCACACTTGCAGCAACCGACGTCGTTGCAAACTATTCATGACGCTTGTGTTCCCCTCTTCGCCTTTCCCGCACTTGGTGCTGCAAGGCACGTGCAAATCGCGCGCGCAACATGTTCCAGGCGCCGCCAACAGCCATGCCTCGAACGAAGATGGACATCACGTACAAGTCCATCTGCAGGCTACTGAGATAGATCGGGCTGAAACAATTCCTACAGATTTTGCATTTGGCGCTTGCTGTGTGGGTAAGCTAGTCGAGCTACACTATCGATGCCCGACTGGCCGCTCATACGTCAACCTGCAGCGAGCATGCCGTTCGGAAATCCGACCCACCCTATTGGCTTTAGTCATGTGACTTAAGGGCTCTTGACGGCGATATTCCCAGCCGCTGCAGACGACCGCTCGAACTTGGGAATGGTCAAAAGTGTTATGAGCCCCACTATCGCCGTCATTACTACCTATTCTCATGCGTTCTACTCACCAACAGTCCAAGGTTCCTTCCAGTCCGAGCTGGGCGCGAGCCTGCTCTCCTTGCATCAGTCACTTGACGTCTGCTCAAGCTCACTACGACCCGAACTGTCCCTAATATGAAAATAGATTACAGGCCCTGAGGCATCGTAGATCAAGCACATGAAGCACCACATCGAACCACTGCGACACTGTGTGACGAAGCCTCCCGCTCTGTCTCAGATCTGGTGGCGGGTGTCTATATGTAAAGCGACGAACAAGAATATGCAGACTTGGACATTGGTACTTTATTCGCCTGTCGAACTCAGATGCGAGACAATTTGCGCGACCACAATATGTACCTCCAATCCGCTTCAAGCAGAGCACGCATATGGACTTCAGCCTTACGGGGTACCCGGCCGACTTGTCCCACCCGAAGATCGGACTATGCCGGTCCAACTATGTGGTTGAGCGTTCGGAGATCTTCTTCGCTGATAGCGCGCAACCATGCGGTACAGAGTAGCATATCTTATTAAATGAAGACAACGGTATATGCACGGTGGTTGTACCACGAGCTGTATTCGGCTACCGACATCGGCCGGGGATCTCGCCACGCTCGTCTGCAGCTGTCATGTCGGATTCGTAGCAGCACACTCAACATCGTGGTTACATTGTCACGGTTGAGAGCACACATCTCATGCATTCACCCGGTTCTGCACAGGAATAGCAGCACGCAGTTTCCCGGCGGATGATACCAGCCTGTCAGTTGTCAAGTTCGTACAAGACTATTATTTGCTCTAGCCGGGGCCTCTGTACGCCACAATTCAGTGGGGCGACCTCCTCAGATACCTTTGGGTGGTTGTAAGGAGCTTTGCCACAGGCAGGATATCCACAGTTTGTAGCAAAGCTGCGGATTTTATGGCCAAATCTCAACATTCTCGCTACCATGGTACTGGTGCTGCTGCTGCATTGACTGGATCACAATCTAGTCTCTTGGTTAGGAGCAATTACACAAGATGTCCTGCTCGATTCCTACAACATACCCGATCAATCCGGTCTACGTGAAGCAACCCTTCCGGAACTGGAGCCCAGCAACGAGGATGGAGCGATGTTATGGCCTTGCGGTTTGTAACTGTTACTGGTCCATCCTCATCACAAGCTGTACGAGGTTGCACCTTTCACATGCCACCGCTACGTTGCCATGAGATTTATACAACGTATCTCCGACTTCAGCTACGTCTCGAAACTGCAAGCTAGAATCAGAATCGACTCGCTTACGTTTCTCTTCCGGTCAACGACTAGTCACTACTAACTATCAAAATTCATTGGGTCAGGTTACACTTCAAGTCGTGATCTTCTGAGAATTGTCGAGGGAATGTCAGCATTCACTTGAACCTCGACCATAGTACATCGTGACACAGATAAGACAGCGTTGGAAGAACTGCAAAGAACTCCTGGAACACCTTCACTACTGTTATAGAAACCATTCATTATCTGCTTACGAAAGCCAGAACGTCTCTGGATCCAGCTTCTCGGCTCTCAAACGCCCCTCAAGCACCTCATCACTGACCGTCCGTCTTCCCTCCATATCCTGAAGTAGATCCTCATAATAAAGCTCCCAGTAGTCCCCCAACCTACCATCAGGGTATCCAAACCATTCATCCGGAAACTGCCGTCCTTCAACCATCTCTTCGTAGACACGCAGCCGCCCTATATCGCCCACATCCCACGTCTCCCAACCCGGGATTTGGAATACCATACTCTCCTCGTCCTCAAAGATATAGAAATTGTCGTAAAAATTGAAATCAAGCTTCTCCCCTCCTTGATACACAAACGGTGAGAAATCAAAGGCGCGTTTGGGAGTATACGCTTTATAGCATCGACCATCGACATGTTCGCGGTAATGATTCCGACAGTGTCCTTCTTCCCACAAAAGAGGGTATTTATACTTCCGGTAAGCAGCCAGCACAGCCCTCCTCTGCCAGTAAAAGTGATTACGCAAATAATTATGCACGGCTGCTTCCTTTATCTCCGATCCTACATCTGCCCCCAAGGTAGGTACAAACCACTCAAGCAGCTTATCCCGAAAAGTCCGCGTCACCATTTCCTCGGTGAAGAGCCGGGTGAAGAGTTCTTTCCACCCGAAAGAAAATTCCCACGGCCAGGAATCTGTGTTGATGGATAAATTGGGTATGACAACATCGTTCCTCACACCCCCTTTTGAGTAGCCTTTATTCAACGTGCCCTCCCCGAAGTACACGACGACGTTGGAATCGATTTGCTCCCAGGGGTGTCGCTCGTTGTTTCCTGTAGCTTCTTCGTACCAGCAGTTAGGCACGTCGGAGAGACGAAGACCGTGACTCTCAGTAAATACCACGATATCTGCACCGTCGTTCCTTGAGTCATCTTTCTGGAGGGTGCGAGGTTGGGCGGGGGCTGTGAATTCCACGTATGGACATGAGCTATGGTAGTGTGGGATTTGGAATGATAGTTTGGGGACCCAGTGGGTGAGGAAATGTTGCTCGAGGTGGGCTTTGTGGTGCCGGGTTATGTGGCGTAGGTGCGTCCATTGGTAGGCTGGGTCGTGAGAGTGGAGGGAGATGAGGGTGGTTATTATGTTGTCGATGAGCTCGCGGGGGAGAGTTGGCTGCTGTGTCATTGTTGTAATCATGGATTGGAGATTTTGGTAGTTGGGCAGATTCATGTCTAGATGTTCGACTAGTGGGCTTATAGCTGTTGAAGGACGGTGAGTCAACTAGTCGACACATGATCTTATGATGATTGCGGATTCAATGTCTTCTCTGGTGCGAATTGTATGAGCATATGGCTTATCTGTATGGGTTCAATAGCTACGTTGATGTCTACATGCGACTTCATAGCCTGTTGGGTAGGTTGGACTGTGCGCCACGCGTAACGGTGGCGTCGCGTCCATTGCAGCTATCGCCAAGTACAATTGCAGCATCTACAGCGACACGACTTCCATCAATGCCTCGGCCAAAGATACCCTTTGTTAAGATACGTTTGCCATCGGCAAAGCACCTAGGCATCACGTCTGCGTGGTGTGAGACGGCCAAGTTACGAGGTCCAAAGCGGAGGTGCTGCATCCCGTACCTCGGCAACTCTTAGCTCCCAACATCAATGACCGAAGCAGTAGCCATGGACGACTCGTCTCCGCATCTTTTGTTAAACTACCCCGGATTTCCTCCCTGAACCCTTCCTCCTACCTCATTCTCTCTCCACAGCACGCAATCATGTCTGTACCGTACGACCGCGCCTACGATCTGCTTACCAACAGCAAAGACGGCCATGTCTCCGCCTCACAGCGCATTCCCGTCATCGCGCGGCCTTTTGTCAGCGAGAGGGCGGCGAAGACCCTCGACCTTGTAGGTAGCCGGCAAGCTCTGAACAACTAGATGCTAACATGTTCGAAGGTAGAGAAGTTCGTCGAAGAGGAATGCATCCCAGCCGACGCCGTATACGTACGCCAGATTGGCCAGACCGTCCAAGAGCGCTTCTCGTCACATCCATCCATCATCGAAGACCTGAAGAAGAGGGCACAAGAGCTTGGACTATGGAACATGTTCCTGCCCAAGGCACACTTCAAGGAGGGTGCTGGCTTCAGCAACCTGGAGTACGGCCTCATGGCTGAGTACCTGGGCAAGAGCCGGACAGCGTCGGAGGCTGTCAACTGTGCTGCTCCCGATACTGGCAACATGGAGGTCATTGCCAAATACGGTACCGAGGCACAGAAGAGGCAGTGGCTGGACCCGCTGCTGAGGGGCGAGATTCGCTCTGCGTTCTTGATGACGGAACCTCAGGTTGCGTCGAGTGATGCTACCAACATTGAGATGACTATCAAGAAGGATGGTGACCACTACGTTCTGAACGGTCAGGTTAGTCAACCTTCGTCCCTCCCTCATATATCACGTCACTAACAACCCCCAGAAATGGTGGTCATCCGGCATTGGCGACCCTCGCTGCAAGATCTTCATCGTTCTCGGAAAGACCGACCCCAACAACTCAGACAAGTACAAGCAACAATCCGTCATCCTCGTCCCCAACACCACCCCCGGTGTAACCGTCCACCGCATGCTGTCAGTCATGGGTTTCGACGACGCACCCCACGGCCACGGCCACGTGACCTTCGAGAACGTCCGCGTCCCCGCCAGCAACATGGTGCTCGGCGAAGGCCGCGGTTTCGAAATTATCCAAGGCCGTCTCGGACCTGGACGTATCCACCACGCCATGCGCAGCATCGGGTCCGCCGAGAAAGCACTAGAATGGTTCCTCGCCCGCATCAACGACGAGCGCAAGAAGCCGTTCGGCGAGCTCCTCAACAAACACGGCATCATGCTCGAGCGCGTCGCGCGCTCTCGTATCGAAATCGACGCCGCTCGCCTTTCCGTCCTCAACGCTGCCATCAAGATCGACGAAACAAACGCCAAGGGCGCGCTTAAGGAGATCGCCGAAGTCAAGGTGCTTGTCCCTGAAGTCAACCTCAAGGTTATCGACTGGGCCATGCAGGCCTACGGCGGTGCGGGTGTGAGTCAAGATACGCCGCTCGCGCAGATGTGGTCGAGCGGCCGCACGATGAGGATCGTGGATGGCCCGGATGAGGTTCATCTGTTGCAGCTGGGTAAGAATGAGAATAAGAGGGGTCTTGCGCACAAGGCTAGGATCGAGGCGCAGCAGAAGAAGGGCGAGGAGCTGTGCAGACAGTACGGGATTGAGCCTAGGGATCCTTTGTACCTTAACAGGACGAGTGGGGAGGCTAGTAAGCTGTAGATGATCGTCTTGGTTGTTCAGACAGTGTCGTAGCAATGATGAGTTTGCACGCAAATCTGCTGGGTGTTGTGCATATTGCCTGTGATGCACGTGTTGAATGTTGAATGTTGAATGATTGGTCCGTTGTCCGTTATGAGGATTCGAGCTCTGTGGTTAAAAAAAAAATTCATGTACGTTAGTCCTGTGAACGGTATGTTGCTGCAGGCATGATGCAAGGAGCTCACACTTTGTCGTTTTGGGAGTGATGGATATGAGATATGGGATTAGTCAGGGCTGCTGGTCGAGATTACTTGCGGTTATTGCGCTGGTTTGTTGATAATGCTCACGGGGGTTCTTTGGGGCTGTTGCTAAACGTCGGTGATGATGATCCTTACCAAATGCTGTTCTGGGGTGTTGCCGGGGGCCTTTCTAGAAAGGATTGCTGGGGGTTGTCGGGGTATAGCTATTGAACTCTAGGATCGAGAAGATACGTGCACAGCGAGGGTCAACGGCAAGGTATATGTCGAGATTACTACTTAGCATAAGGAGATCATGCTGTCGGGTTGACTGAAGAAAGTGCTCCGAAACGCCCGCGAGGAGGATTGTCGACGACGTACTAACTTGTCTGATGTTGTACCATACAAAACAAAAGCTACACGTAAATATAGAAGAAATTATCCCAGTGAAAAACCTCCTGTTTATGAGAATAAGGTGCCAAAGTCTGGCATATCAGGTGCAGCCCACGGCTCACCCATGCCAATGAAGCCCGCTTGTTGGCTCGTTAGAGCTCTTGCAAATAGCTTATCTGCAAGACCCTTTGCAGCATATTGCCGGTTGTCTTCTGCAAACGCAACAGCGCGGCGATATTGTTCATTGCCATTTGCAAGTAGATCGGCGCCTTCACCAACGAGAAAGATCATCATCTCAACACGGCCATGTTCCGTGGCGCCTTCGAACGCGGTTCTGCCGTCACAAAAAGCTGGTGGCGCGTTGATATCGGCGCCTGCATCCAGCAAGATCGTCGCAGTGCCTATACTACCTGTGATTGCCGCCAGCTGGAGAGCTGTTGCTCCCGCTCGGACTGCTGGAGGCTCGTTTGGACTGACACCATGGCTCAGGAGATATCCCATGATATCCCTACTTTCGGCTTGTGCTGCTGCCTGTAGTGGTGTTCGAGGGATCGTCCATTCAGCGGGTAAATATATGTTTGCGCCGGCCTGATGCAGCTTTTGAACTATCTTCAAGGAGTTGAAGGAGATGGCGTAAAGTAGACCAGTCATGTTACCAAGTTCGCGGTCGCGGTGTATAACGGCGTTGTGGTCTTTGATTAGAGGCAGAATAATGTCAAGCGATGCGCCGCTATCATCGCTCCCGCAACAGAGACGTAATGCTTCACCAAATGGACTCGTGAAAAAAGATCCTGACGGAGGACGTTGATGGAGAGGCAGTCCGGTTCTATAGTCCACTTCAACGGGCCCTGTAATGTCGGTATTTATGGCGAGAAGCCTGAACAACCGCATGTTCTTGCGTCTTATGGTTTGATAGAGCGCGTCTGAGCCAAAAGAGTGTGCTCCATCTGGGTACCGTGTCTTGAAAGCGGAGAGTAGCAATGTGACGGCGTCTTCGAAGTCGCGCATGGTGCTTACGAAAAGGGCACTGTTGTCGAAGGGATCTGCCCCTATGCGCAGGAACTCTTCCATCAAAGGGAAATCATCCATAAATGCGGCAGCAGCAAGCGGGGTCAGAGTCCACCCATCGCCCCGATAAGTTGATGTTCGTAGCGCAATGGGGTTGGACTGGTGCGATGTGAACCGTGAGTTGAACTTATGAGGTGGCGCAATTTGTGCACCGCATGCTGACAACGCCCTCACTGCTGCTGGTTTCCGTTTCAAGATAGCAGCGCTCAGAGGGGTTATGTTCCAATTTTCAGTGTCTCCAGGCGGTTGCAAGTCTAACCCCCAATGATGGAACCACTTATACGCAGCCTGAATGAATACATTGACAGGGTGCCCACTTCGAAGTACACAGTCGATGGCTGTTTGATCACCCCAACTCAGGGCTTCAAAGAGTATAGCATTGTCGTAAGCCCATCTGCCTTCGCCGGGAGAGAATTCCCATTTTTTCCAGTGCCCTTCATTTTCTCTTAAGATATCGAAGATGTTCATACAACTTGTCAACAGCTTAACAGGTTCTAGTCGCCTGTTCTGAACTGCTATATGCAAGCAGTCTAACGAGGGCCTGATTCCCAGAGATAAGAGCTCTTCAATGAGGTGATGCTGATCTTCTCTCACGGCAGCTTCTAGAGCTTCCTCTATTCTTTCAAGCCTCCTTGGGAAGCTTTGCAGTTGCAGGAGCTGCTTGACAAGCCTGTTGTCCCCGATTTCACACGCTGCTATAAAGGCTGAGACAAAGGCTGCCGGTTGATGAGCTAACTTGGACATAAACCCTCGCGCTTGGAGTATTTCAAACGCTCCTCTGGACCGGTGTTTGATTGATTCGCCCAGCGCAGTACGTATCTGGTCTTGCCTATTATGTTCCGAATATAGCCGGTAATAATTGTGCTGCGCCTTGGGAAATGGGTTCGACTTCCGGGCGTTGGGGTCCAGACCAAGATCCAAAAAATCTTCAAAGATCCTCAAATTGTTACTCAGTACAGCACTAACCAAACAGTTGACATTTGGTTCTGCCCCCTTTGCGAGCAGAACATCGATTGAGGCTGCATGGCTGCGTAGTACTGCAACAGATAGTGATTCTGACAACACCGAGTTCCAAAGTCTCTGATGGCTAGGACCATCAGGGGACGCTCGTTCTATGATAGCCGTCAATGTGTCAGAGAGCGAGTCGTCCCAGTCCTGTCGGAGTAGGATTATTGGTAAAGCCTGGTGATCAAAGAAAGTCTCAAAGCTCTTGGTCAGGCAATATGTGACTAATACTTTCAGTTCATCTATGCCGCAATGTTCCATCTGCTGCACTGCTGAGTTGGGTTCGATATTTAAACCATGATGAATCAGTAGCCGCATGATCTGAACTCTTGCTTCGCCAGTCCGATTTTGGGGCCACGGCATCATCCCGATATTACTCAGGGAAAAGACGTCTCTTTCGTAATTAGGGTCAGCGCCTTGATCAAGGAGAACTTCTGTCGCATGGATGTACCCAAAGTGACTCGTGTACTCCACGGGATAATAATGAATGTCTCCAAGTAACACAGATCGATCCATGAGACTCCCTGGGTTGATGCTCAGGATGACGTTTAGAATCGGTCCATCCCCTAGGAATAGTGCCGCACGGAACACGCTTTGTATTAAGGCCAGGTCGTATGGTGATGGGGTGGATTTAATGATACTGCTGAGAAAATCTGGTCCGAGCGAGAAGCAGTATGTTATTCCCGACTTGAGAATCTGGTCGAACTTTGTCTTGGGTTTTTCGAGTGTACGCACAACATCGTCGTGGTTGATCAGATGATGTACGATCATGTAAATGATTTGATGATCGATGCTTTGTTCGCGAACAAGAGGTAGCGCGCTCGGATGAGACATGCTGAGGATCGCAGACTCGATTGCAGTACTGTCACCGAAAAGAACCAGATGAGCGGATGACATAGCTCTTGGAAATAAATGCGAGATAACGGGTATCATTGACGATGCGAAGTCCGATACAAGAGGTTTGCCAAGCAGGTCCGTCGCACAAGGTGGAAAGCTATCCAGGACGCTCCAGGCGGGGTCGCATATACCATATACGCCCGAAGTTGCATCGTGAGACGATGTATAATTCTGGGAGAGCAACGATCCAGCATCGCAATGAAACATGGGAGATGGAAACGAGACATTAGTCATCGAGACAGATGAGATATCGTTCCATAGGCTGCCTGAGGTCGACTGGACAACACCGAGCGCTCGGGGACTGATCAGAGCGGACTGCATATCAGTGCGATATGGAGAGGAGGTTCTTATCGCAATATTGCGAAAGTTGCTGTTAGGCGCTTTGATGTTTCTCTCCGTGTTCAGACCATCCTCTTCGCAGTTGTTAAGCATTGATGCTTGGTATTGTCGATCATGTGCAGATGCGTATTTGTAGGAGCCCCATTTCTTGAGCCTCGTCTCATACTGTGCTTTGCTGCCGGCAGGTCAATATTTCTACGTGAACTGTGACGAAAGTTTTGGTCATGCACTCACGTTGCGGAGAAACCGTAGTGGGAGTACATTATGTCTTTGACCCCACCTGAAGCTGTCAGGGGCCTATTTTCAGAGAGATATAGGCGCAGAATGGTGGATTTGTGCAGCTGCCATATCCGCTCTGGGATGCGTGGTGAGTATCTGCTCTCCGGCATCATTACATTCAGTGAAGTAAAATGTTAAACACCATAAGGTGCCGACGCGCGCAGAAGCACCGAAAGGAGTGTAGGTATGAGGGTGGGAAGAAGAATGATGTTTGAAGATCAGGCTGAACGCGGGGCACTTGCCCGTTGCGTGAGAGACGACATCACGTGAATGACGCCTGTCAGTCCCGTTGGCGAAATCTGAATTCAGCCATCTCGTGCATGTATGCTGAACCAATGGCGTCTGCAGTACTTACCGATGTATGCAATGCGTACAGCAAAATCTGGTTTGAAGCTCGCACCTGTGGCTGATTCGTTGAAACTGTAACTACTACGCCTGCTCAATCCAGATTTCGGCATGTGCAGTCTATTCCAGTTCAGATTTCGATACGCTCAGCCTCGTTCAATTCGGATTCCACCACGTCTAGCTTGATCTGATCGCGATGCGAGGCGGAAACACTAAACACCAGCTGTGTTCATCAAATTCGAATCTGGAAACAGCGGCAGAAATCTGCTTTCACGGCGTATATGATGGACATGCAAGGACTTTGACGCGCTCAGAGTCCTGCACATTGGACGATGAGTTGGTCGAAAGATAATACGATCTCTGTTCTCGCTCTTCTCGCAACATGCATACCAATGATCATCCTGATGGCTACATGTTTGCTCCGTCAGAAAAGACCGCGCGCGAAGCAGCGATGTAAGTGACTGGTCGAGGAAGCCGCGATAGCAGCAATGCTGACAAAGACAGCACAAACAGACGTTGAGGCGCCGTTTGTATTGCCTCGCTTGCAGCCTTTCCACTATGGGCCGGTGCGCAGAGAATCTGCGCTCATGGCACTGATTCTCGTCCAGAGGGAGGTGCAAATTGCGGATCGTGGGTCTTATCAGGCGATGGGGGCGTTTTGAGAGGAGCAAATGTCGCACCTCTTTAATTTCAATCAGTGCGGACCCTTCAGAGAAATCGTCGTTCGGGTTTTTTGAGCCATCTGCGTGGTTGACGTTGGACTGCGGATATGCGATGGTTTGGTTGCACGGGACTGATAGCTGCACACCTGGGCAGGTGCGGAATGGCTCCGCTAGCGCGAACGCGTAATTGAGAGGCTCAAGCACGCGATCAATGCATGAGGTTCACTTTGCGCCAGACCACACCTCAACGACATGCCACCCCACAGTAGAGGGGAGTCACTTCCTTCTGGGTTCTACTCGAAATCCACACCTAATCTGCCTACCTTGACGTCATTCGATGGGCAGAGTCGCGATGACAGCACAGTAGCATCCCCTCCACGCTCGGCGACTCGTCCAGGAGCAACTCCTCTATCGCCAATTTCGAATAGCGCGCTCTCCGAGGCGGCGTCCGTAGAGGATAACCAAGATGAAGACGAGGACCCTTTCATGGTGGAGGACGTAGTTAGCGAAGATGAAGAAGACGAAGAGGAGCCAGCGCCCACGTCTCGACCACTACAGAGCTCCAAATCGTATAGTCACCTCCCGCGACATACTGCGACTGCGCTGTTCCCGCCCTTCTACAACAGGCCTCCGACACCGCTACCGCCGTCTCCATCCTTGACATCCCTACTTCGCCCCGCGTTCAGCCGCCCAACCTCGAGGCCTACAACACCAGATTCATCGGATGTAGAAGGGTATACTAGAGCTGGGTCGCATACCACAGGCACAAGCACACCCACGAACCTCGCGAGCTCGGCACGGCATGCGCCGACGGTACCCCGGGCCTCGCCGAAAGTGCCTACATACGAGTACTATGGCTTTGCACTGTACCTAGGCAGCTCGGCTGCCTTCCTCATGTACATCCTCTGGGCCTATGTACCAGCCCCGATGCTGCATCAGATGGGCATTCACTACTACCCAAACCGGTGGTGGGCACTCGCGGTGCCATGCTGGCTGGTCGTGCTAGTCATCTACATCTACGTTGCCCTTGCAAGCTACAACACGCGCTACCTCACCCTACGGCTGAGCAGCTGCGAGAACCTCGTCGATGAATGCGCACAGATAGCCGTTGTTGATCGGCTGACTGGGAAGATAGTACGCGAACCCGTGCTAGTCACCGACAAGCTACACGACAAGGATAAGGAAAAAGGCACTAGAGCCAGTGCACCTCCCAGCCGACGAAACTCTTTCTCGGCATATCAATTTAGCGCACAAGATGAAGTGGACTGGAAAGGCTTCTGGAGCACGGGGACAGATGCCGTGATGGATGTGCCAATTGGCGGCGTCTGCGAGATACTCTACGGCAGCGACAGATGATTAACGTATCGTCATTCTGACTACTACTTATTCAGCGCGACTGTCATTCGCGGCCAAAGATACCTTGTGCGCGGAAAAAGCTTGTCGCGGGCAGTGGGTCGCTCTAACCCCCACTTACACCTGCCCCTCCCGAACTGCGAGATTCGGAAAGAACCATGCTTCTCAGGCAAGCGCCCCGCTACATTATGGGCTGTTTGTTCTTCGGATTGGGCGGATGGCTCCTGCTATCTAGCTGCTGTAGCTTAATCCCGAGCTTGGTTTACTTACTCAGCGGGGCATGCAGCGAGATAGCTGGTATAAGTCCTTCCTGACGTCCGCTTCTACTCTTTCTCCATCCCACCTCTGCTCGTGAGACTCGCCGCTTTTCCCAAGGTTCAATTGCTTCACTCGTTTTCGTGGACAGCTTCCTTCGTTGATAAGCGTTCAATTGCCCATCATGAAGTCTGTCGTCGCGCTTTCCGCTCTCTCTATGCTCGCCGGTGCCGAGGCAGCTGAGACCGTTCTTGGAGCCTACATCTTCCACCGCCATGGCGACCGCACACCAAAGGCTCTTGCTCCTACCAATCTGACTGCTCTTGGTTATGGACAGGTCTATACATCCGGCCAGTACTACCGCTCACGCTACCTGTCCGGTGACTCCAAGATTCACGGCATCAATGAAGATGAAGTCAAGTTGTCCCAGCTCCAGGTCCAAGCACCCGTCGACAATGTCCTCCAGAACTCAGCCATGGGTTTCCTCCAGGGACTGTACCCCCCTGTCCAGACAGTTCAGACTCTTGCCAATGGCCAGAATGTACAAGCGCCAATGGATGGCTACCAGCTCATCCCAGTCAACACCATTGAGACTGGCTCTGGCTCCGAGGACAATGGCTGGCTACAGGACGCATCGAGCTGCCAGAACGCAAAGACCAGCTCAAACTCATACTTCGACAGTGAGTCGTACAAGAACCTGGCGTCCAGCTCCAAGGACTTTTACTCCTCTATTGTTCCTTCGATGAACGGCGTAGTTAGCGATGAGCAGGTGTCCTTCAAGAACGCTTACGTCGGTATGTATACTTTAATTCGCCTCTACGTTCACGACTAATGCCTGCATATAGTCTACGATACCATCCACGTAGCCGAGATCCACAACTCCAGCATTCCCAACTCTGACGCCCTTACCAACACCACCCTCACCCAACTCCGTACTCTCGCCGACGCCCACGAGTGGGGTCTCGCCTACAACGCCAGCGACAACATGCGCGCAGTCGCCGGGATGCAACTCGCCGGAGAAATCCTTGAATACATGAACAACATCATTTCCACCTCCGGCTCCAAGAAATTTGGCATCCAATTCGGCGCCTACGCAACCTTCATGTCCTTCTTCGGTCTCGCCGACCTGCAAAAGGTCAGCGACGACTTCACCGGCGTTGTCGACTACGCTAGCTCCATGGTCTTCGAACTCTTTACCAACGCAGATGTTGACTCTGGTTTCCCCAACGGAGACGACCTGCAAGTTCGCTTCCTGTTCCACAACGGCACCGCTAGCAACACTAGTGAACCCACCGTCTTCCCTCTCTTCGGCGGCAGCGAGAACGCTGTCTCGTGGAACACGTTCCAGGATAAGCTGAATGACTTTGCTATTACGACTACGGAGCAGTGGTGCACTAAGTGTGGTAACACTGCTGGGTCTTGCGCTGCGTTTGTCAAGGACAATGGTGCTACTACTGCGCAGCAGAGTGGAAACGGTAGCAGTGATATCTCGCCTGCAATTGGTGGTGTTATTGGTGCTTTTGTCACGCTGGCTGTGGTCTTGGGATCGCTCGCGGCGCTTATGCTAGTTGGTGGGTTTAGGCTTGTTAGCAAGAAGGCGCTGCAGAGGGGTGTTGCGACGAGTAGTGTTGAGCCCAAGGCTTAGATACTGCTTGGATGAGATGGCGGTGGATGGCTATTCGGTGTATCGGAACGGCATCCAAGGTTCTGGACATGAAGATGACGAAGGAAGAGTATCTGAAGAATTATCACGATTGGTATGATATCAATGAATAAACATGATCGAGACGGTATGTTGTCAACCTTTTGGTCTAAGTCTTCTTATATGATGAATGGAGTTGTGGTACTGCGTAGGCAACTTCTCTACTTGTTATCTGAAAAGACCCAAAGTGATTTCACAAATATATCTTTCGTCTAGATCTTTATTCCACTATGTACTTGGTACGGGTATAACATAACCTAGCCTTTAACCCGAGCAGATCCCTTTTACCCACCCGCCCAAACGCCGACAAATGCATCAGGTCATTCCAGTCATAATGTCCATGCCGTAGAAGAAAACAGCCCTTCACTGACTTTGCTCTCAAACCTTCAGCACACTAAACCTATCCTGCGGCTTAACCTTGGGCGCCCCCAGCCCCTTCCTAACCTCATCCAACTGCTCCATGCCACTCTGCTGCTTGCCCTTCTTGACCCTCCTTCCACTCTTACCCGCCGTATGATGGCTCCCCAGGAAATCATCCATGATACTGTCGAAATCACCCCGAAGTGGCGGCGCCTCACTACTCGACCACCCACTCATCCCACTCATTTTGCTCATGCCTGACATCTTTGACATACCACTGACCATGGAAGCAGAGTCGTCGTAGCCGTAGTCATCTTCGGGAAAACCATCGTCGTCAGCGTACTCTTCTTCGATTTTGTCAAAGCGCTGGTCGAGGAGTGTGAGGCCTTCTGTGCGGTGGAGCGCGGAGGAGGACATGGAGTACCCCGATGTAGATGTTTTGGCGCCTTTGCGCTTCTTGCGGCGGCCGCCCGCTGTGAGGGCTGAAGCACCAGTTATGAAGGATTGGTTGTCTGCCGCGGCAGCACCGTTTCTGGGGTTGCCGGTCGTGGGTTTCGCGGCTTTGACGTCTTGTTTGAACTTTTTGAATTCGTCTAGGTACGCCATGTCTGCTGCGTCGGCGGGGGCGGGCGCTTCGTCTGGAGCGGGGAGGGAGGATGGGTCTGTAGGGTCTGTTGAAGGTTTCTGAGCGCGCAGCTTGGGGGATGAGGCTTTGATTGTGTCGTCGGTTTCCCAACCTGGGTCTTCTTCAGAGAGGAAGCGGTCCATGGGGTCTCTATCGTCGGTCTCGTCGTCGAAGAGGTCGGCGCTGTCCCATTCTCGTTGGTCGACTTCGAAGCCGTCTTGGGCGAGTTCGTTGAAGATGTCGTCAGAGTCGTCGACGTAGGCTTCGTCTTCGAGCGCTTCGAGCACTTCGCGTAGGCGTGGGTCCATGTCTGGTTGGAAACCCTTGAGAGCGTCGGGCACGTCCTGCTGGTCTTGGTAGGTCGTCTTGCGCACAAATTCCGAGGGTGCCATGTCTTCTCCGAATAGTTCGCTCGCGCTACTGATGTTGCTGCTCACGCTGAGATCGGCCTGGCTTCTGTTGTCGTTCAGCGATGCATCGCGCAGCATGTCTGCCAAGTCCATCTTCTGCTTTCCCTTCTTCTCCGCCTTGGGCTCGATGAAGTATGAGTCGCCGCTGCCAGAGCCCAGGTCGCGCATGTGCTGCATGTAGTCGTACTCGGTGTCGTCGTAGTAGATGCCGTAGTTGGCGGCTTCACCCTCGTTCTTCCGTACTTGGGCGCCATATTCGCTCTCTAGTTCGCGTCTCGACTTGATCTTGCTGCGTCCCGTCGCGGCTGAGTATTGCGACGCACGCGAACTTCCTGCGGGTTCGTCGGTTTCGCGTTGGTTGGGTGCAGCCCTCTCGGCAAAGACCATCTGTGGGGCATCTTCGTCGTGGATTCGGGGGTCATTCTGGGCGCGGTGGACGAGACGGAAGTTGGTCGCGTTCTTCTTATCGCTGTCGCGGGGTTAGCGGGGTACTTCAAACGCGCATCTCAATTTCTCGACTCACATGAACTTTCGGCGAGGCATCTTGGCGGCTTATGTGAGAGTCGAGGACAAGTCGTATGGCGGTGGCGAGTGTGCTGTCGTGGAAGTCTGGGGAAGGCGCTTACAAAAGGGTCTCAGAAAAATAATTTAGGCGAGTCGACTGGTGAATGACGTGGTGGGGCAACTTCCGTCGCAACTTTCTCTTTCCACGCACCCCTCTATTTGGGCCAAAAACACCACAACCACACGATACACCACTTTCAACCGCAAATATGGTGCTCGCGAAATCCAAAAAGAGTGTCGGGCTGGGCAACAGCTTGATGAACGACAGGTTCAGCAAGGGAAAGGGCGACAACCTGCGGAAGGGCAACTTCAACGCGGGTATCGAGCGAACCGGTCAGAATGGCGAGAAGGTGTGTTATCCATATTATAACTTTGCTCTGGGTGTCCGCGCACGCGTAGGAATATCGCGCAATGAGTGGCATCCGGTAGAGCACGCGACCAAATTCATACTAACATCCCCCAGTACATCACCAACGAGAAGAAGGAGGCGTCGTACATGAAGATGCGCTCCGTCACCGAACAAGGCGCCCTCGATGACTTCCTCTCTACTGCGGAGTTGGCCGGAACCGACTTCACCGCCGAGAAGATGAACAACGTCAAGATTATCCACAAGGACCAGAAGAACCCATACCTCCTCTCGCCGCTTGAGGAGCGCAACGTCACCAAGAAACACAAGGAGAACAGGAACCGACTGACTGTACCGAGGCGACCTCACTGGGACAAAGACACTACACCGCAAGAGTTGGACGAGAAGGAGAGGGCGTCGTTGCTACAGTGGCGAAGAGGCTTGGCTGAGCTGCAAGAGAACAACGACCTTCTCCTCACACCTTTTGAGCGCAATCTCGAAGTCTGGAGGCAGTTGTGGCGTGTCATTGAACGGTCGGATCTGGTCGTGCAGATTGTGGACGCCCGTAACCCGCTCATGTTCCGATCAGAGGATTTGGAGGACTACGTCAAAGAGGTGGACCCGAAAAAGAACAACCTGTTGCTGGTCAACAAGGCAGACATGATGACGCTGGAGCAACGAAAAGCGTGGGCCGACTACTTTACCGAAGCGGGCATCAATTACAAGTTCTTCTCGGCTGAACTCGCCAAGGAAATGAACGAGGCTCGTGCTGAACTTGAGGAGAGCGACGATTCGGACGATGCCGGTGACTCCGATGAGCTTGTGACCGACGAAGGCGAAGACTTCGAGGAAGAAGACGACAAGCTCGCAAAGGAAGCCAAGAAGATCGACCTGCAAGACAAGCAGGAAGAGAAGGAAAAGTGGGTGGATGAAGAGACAGTCGACGTACCGGGCGCGAGCCAAGCAGAGGCCGATGGCGACGAGCGCACGCGGATACTGACAACAGAGGACCTTGAAGCCCTCTTCCTCCAACATTCACCTGATGTCGATACTGGACCCAACGGCGAGCCGCGAAAGACGTCGATTGGTCTTGTCGGTTACCCTAACGTCGGAAAATCGTCCACGATCAACGCGTTGATTGGTGCAAAGAAGGTGTCGGTCTCTGCAACACCCGGAAAGACTAAGCACTTCCAGACCATCCATCTCAGCGACAAGGTCATGCTCTGCGATTGTCCTGGTCTAGTGTTCCCCAACTTTGCCACAACCAAAGCCGAGCTTGTATGTGCTGGTGTACTGCCAATCGACCAACTTCGCGAGTACACTGGTCCCGCAGGCCTCGTCGCACGTCGCATCCCACAACCCTTCCTGGAGGCGCTATACGGAATGAAGATCCACCCACGGCCGATGGAAGAAGGCGGAACTGGTATTCTGACATCCGAGGAAATTCTACGTGCCTATGCCATCGCCCGAGGTTTCTCCACACAGGGTCTGGGTCAACCAGATGAGTCCCGAGCCGCGCGATACATTCTCAAAGACTACGTCAAGGGCAAGATTCTCTTCTGCCACCCTCCACCCACCGACCCACCGCTAGACCCCAAGCACTTTAACCGCGAACTCTACGACGTCAACCATCTTCCCGCCAAGCGCCGACACCACCCTCTTGCCTCTCTCCCCGGCAACACCTCTCTCGCCGGCGCGCTAGACGACGGCATGTCGCTAATGGACGACGAGCTCGACGGCGGCGTTCCCGTCCAAGGTGAGAAGACACAGCGCATGGACAAGCGCTTCTTCGGCCCCGGACAAGGTATGGGCAGGGTCAACCAGCCCTTCCACTACAAGTACAGTGAACAAGGCAAGGAGCTCAGCGGTAGGAAAGCTAAGATGGTTGCCGCGCTTGAGGCAGATGTCGACCCGGCGGATATGAAGATGAACAGCAAGAAGCACTTCAAGGCTAACAAGAGGAGGGCGAAGAAGGTGCGATCCGAGTATGTGGATTAGATGTTGATGAGAATAGGAAAGGGCAAAAGGAAAGGAATGGGAGGTTATGAATGCATGATCGGCGTTTGGATCTGTTTCTTGGGATGATATACCGGGGATTCAATGCATAGAATATAAAAGTCATGTTATCGCAAGTCTATCAATGCTCATGTTCCGCGCGATTTATAGGATATCCTTCTCATTCAGGGTGTTGGACATTGCCTGCGATCTTGGTGTGGTGCATACGGCGGGAAGGCAAGCACTGGCTGACTAGGGCGCAACTTCACGAAGGTCCACCAAGTCATTGGCCGTAATCCACACCTCATGCCAAAACTTGCCTAATCGGGACTGATGTCGCGTTTTCTCCAAGACTCGGTACAAAAGTCGCCAGAACACGTGGGATTAAAGTGACGCATTGTAATTTTTTGGAAAGTGCTGTAATCGATGGTTTGAAGGGAAACTGCCAGATTGGGAAAGGGCCTAGGGGACCTAGGGAGTGAATGTGTGCTGTCTATAGCAGGGTCAAACTCGCAATCCTTTCACAGCTTTTGGACATGTTACGATACCAAGTGCTATCTTCTTGCGGATGTGGATTCGCCTTCTTGGCTGTTCCTTGAATAAGAGGAGTGAGCTATTGTACCGCAATCTCCAGCGCAGACGAGTGGGCCGAAGTGCAAGGCTGAAAAGTAGCCTTCGCCGTAACAAACCCATGACGAACGATTGGGTTTCGCATTGTAATCTGTAGCGCAGGCGAGTAGACTTATGTAGCTATTCACAGGTATGTTGGATGACTCATCGCGTAGATAATCAGGAACAAATATCGGGTGCACCTTCACCGTAGCACTGCAATCTTTAGCGCAGACCAACAGTCTCAAGATGTCCACATCGGGCCGCATGAATGGGGTATGGTATAGATATGTGACCAATAGCGAGCGGCTCGTCACCGGAAGATCGGGTTGCTTTTCGAGCTGAGACTGCTGCCTGAACAACTTTGCACTGCAATCTCTAGCGTGAACGATCAATGGCCATGCACACACAAGGGGGCTGTGTGCATGAAAGATGACAGGGCTTGTACCAATAGCATAGTCTGACAGAGTGTACGCTGAAAACTGAGTGTACTGCAATCGCTAGCGCGGAAGAGCATGTTCATCCCCTGTCGCTATTGGATCACTAATACCTAGGTACTTCTACATGGGTTCGAAAATCCTGGTACGGAATTCCGCGCTGCAGACGGATTTCTTCGCACATTGCATATTGTACTGCAATCTCTAGCGGAGATGAGTAGGTAAGACAACAAGGCTGAGATGACGAGGCTGAGCATGGGGATGAAGAGCGGCGGTACCTGGGTAGTTAGGGTACATTCTCATCATATTGACGGGTATTTGCTCGAGCCAAGATGGCGCCCTGATTCTAGAACTAGTATTTCAGAAGTGAGCTCAAATGCTTCCAAGGTTGTGTTGTTAATCAAGTAGTCTGTCGCAGTTACGACGCGCCGTCTCTATGCCTTCACCTTTAGTATGGCTCTTTCCTTGCTCAGTATGATCTGCGTCGCCCGAGTCTTTCGTCCACTTCTTCCAAGCCGCAGAAACCCAACACAAAACACTACTAACACTACTAACACCCCAGACACCTCGCAGGACAATGGGTGTACCATCTCCCGCCATTGCTGCGCTAGTCAGAGTCGCAAACACAGAACCAGCCGCGACGTTTCCAATACTCGCTTGGATCCACGCTGCAAGACTCCCTGACCAAATGTCAGTCGTAGTGACACGAATACATGGTAACTGCCAAAGATGCCATACCTGGCGCAACGCCACCAGCTGTAAACCCAACAAGCCCCAGGAAGGCAGATGTACATGCCATAAGAACCACGGGAACAACAAGTGCGGCAGTCTCCCAACGGCACAGCTTTATCCATTCCATTGCGCCTTTCATGAGCGTCGTAATGTTCAGGTTCTTGAGCGCTGCGATCGCTGTTCCTAACGCATCTTCAGCTTGCAGTTTGGCACCACGAATAGCGATTATGAGGTGAGCAACAGCAGCATCGATAGTACCAGGAAGAATGGGAGTTCCGCGAATCGATTCGATCGCGCGCACGTCTCTGAGTGAGCCTCTTAGCTGCCGGTTGCGGGTCAAGAAAAGGCGCGAAATATCCGAGCCGGATGCAAACCCCTCGTCTATGTTGACGAGTTGTAACGGCTTGCTAGTGCAGGTTTGGAGGTTTGTTGGAATCGCGGGGCTTCTGTCATTGTTACTCCGACTGCGATGATGCTTGTCCAGGTAGTACCGCAGCCTTACCTCCTGAGTGAGTGGCCGTATTTCTTTACCAAAACGCTCCTCAAATGTCTTTTCTGCACATACATTGACCTTTGACTATTGTGTGATATTTCGGCGGGTGATTGTATATGTACAGCAGCGAATGTCACTTGAGTGATAAATCAGCGCCTACCGCGCCGCAACAGTGAGGTGCGTGGTTTGTGTAACCTTGCACGCTGGCATCCTTGCCATCATTCTTTGGTGCAAAAACTGCTTCATAAAGGACTTCTGTTGGACTGACTCATCGTTGATCTTGGGATGGATATCTCCTCAGTTCTCAAGGGTAATTGGATGTCCACTGACCATGCATCATAGCTGTGTATACTTCCGAATGAGGCATCAAGCGATTTTGAGCTGGGACAGGTATTGGTTTGATCATGAATCGCATTTTCTACTAAACACCCAAACTACTAGCCCATGTTTACCATGTCTATAACTGAACGCCCGAGAGTTGAGAAACCACGTCATAAAGCGATCCTCCAAAGAAAGAGAAAAAATCATCGGAAGACCCAGAATGATCGAAGTAGAAATCCAGAGAAGCCTCTGCGAACAGCGTATCTTGCAAATTGGTGACATGTCTTCCCCTAGCTCCCATCCCCGTTTCCTGCGAAGTTGTTCCACGCTCCAAGATGTGTAACCGGATCGCTTAGGCGACGCTGGCGCAGTTGAGGGCCTGGAGGTTGACGAGAGTGCCCTATTGGTATCGCAGATTAGTATGATTTCATAGAGCCAAGCGAAAAAGGGGATTATTTACCTCCTCGGCATCGGTGTCGCAGCATCGGATGCTACCATCGCAGCCGGCCTGCTGGACGCTGATGGGGAGAGTGATGCACTGTGCGGCGCCGAGCAATCCCTCGCTGCTGCAGCACACTGCCTTCTCGTTTCCGCCCTTGCAGATAACGTTGCCGTTGCCGTTGCCTTGGGGCACAGCGGAGACGGCGACAGCCAGGGAGAGGATGGTGATGAAGAACTGCATTTTGAAGTTGGTGTTGGGATCGAAAGACGATTTGAAGTTGTAAGAGTGAGTGGTGTTGTGAAAGGTAAGTTGCTTGTTGTAGTGATTGTTGTGATGAGCTGATGATTCACTTGATGTCGAAGGATGCCAGGTCTTATATACACATCTTCGGCGTGCTGAACATCGTGCCTCTTCCGTTCTGAGCTCTTCTTTGCTCTTTTTCGCGCTGGTCTCATACAATCCGGTGACGATACAGGAGATCGTCCAATGGAACGTGCAAGAATGTCAGACCGACAGTTGCTGAGAGCATGCTGAGGGCCAAGCGCAAGCTTTCACGACACCAGTTTGTCTTTTGCATAGTTTCAGAAGCGTTGGGGTAGTAAGCCGGGTACGAAACACTGTAGCGAACCGTGCTTCGATGTTTCGGACATCCGGTACCTGATTCTCCTAAGGGTGCACTGGCCTCTCTAGCCTCATCAGGGAAAGAACTACAACGGATATGGTGATAATCCGTAACCAGAGAGCGGTCAATCTGCTGCATTCTGAAGCTATCCGTGTTAGTCGCTGCTGCAAGCAGCGGATCTACCCTGGGATGGTGTGGTGGGGGTAGGCGTCATGGTGGGGTGCAGCCGTTGTTGCCGCTGTCCGCATGCGGTTCAGCTTCTATGCTAAACTCGATGAGGAATCGCCTTCACACACCACGTACCTTGGTAGCATCAGCCTGCTCGACCGCCTGAAAGAAGCAACCTTTGAGGTTTCTCGAGTGGCTCGGAAGGATTCTGCGAAACGACAGCCTCGTCGACCAGCCTCACCGACAGCATCCCGACCGCTTTCCCGATCGCCTTCCCGATCGCCTTCCCGATCGCCTGGAAGAAGCAAAAGTCATCTAGTACAAGCGCATGTTGTGACAGGTGTCAGATGAATTTTGTGAAGCTCTGAGACTACCTGCTATTGCGCTTGGAACATCTCTTTGGAGCTATTGACGAGCATCGCAATTAGAATTACAATAGTTGGCATCGTCTACCAGAGCCATCGCATGTAGATGTGCTCCTTCTAGATTAGTCTCTACCCCTGTACGACTGCGACAACCGGCTGATCGATACTCGGCTATCTTTGGGTGTCGATCAGACATTGGAAAGTCGTGGGGCCGCAGTTTCCCATACTCCTCTGACAAGATTCACTATTTCGGGACTTCAACACGTGCGGAGTCAAAGTCAAAGGCGCACTATATTCTCCGTTTAAAACAAGCAAAGTTCCGCGCTCGCTCACTGGACGCCACCAAACGGATGTTGTCTTCCGACGACTATTCGCTGTGCGTGTCGTTAAGGAAAGGACTGTAAGCGCCGCCCAGCTGGGCATGTTTCCGGTAAGTCCATCTTTGCGGTTAGTATCGCAGTCGACCTCATTTGTTCATACCGCCTATTGCTCAAGCTTTCCCAACGCCTACCTAGTGCTTTGATAACGCATACCGACTGTCTGACGTGGGAAGACTTGTCTTCGCTCCGGCCCCAGTGTCTTCCAATCGCCGATCTGGATCTGGCCGAACCCAACTCTCCCAGTACATCCACCTTGACATTCCAATAGCACAACATCATAAGCGCCCTTCGGATCATTCCGCTTCGAGAGTAACTGTTCGCCATGTCGGTCAACCGGATAGAATGCGGAACATAACCTGACACCCCGTAGAACAATGGCTCGTAGAACTTCCACACCATCCGTCGGAAGAGAAACAATCGCCAGAGCCACTTCCGCTACTTTGTAGCCGTTCGTGCCAAGTATGGGGCGTCGCGTCCGCTCTACTTTGACCGATTTTCGATAAATCTCTTCTCCTTCCGAACCAAATCCGCTTCGATATCATTGCTTGAAGACCAAGAATTGGACGTGAAGTCGACGTAGAACAAGACATCTGGATCTTCGGCATCCCTGCGTTTCGGTCCGGATACTGCATCGAACCAAAGACACGCCCTCTCGTACCGCGACCAAGCACGACCCTTGCATTCGAATATCGTCTCCCGCAAACTTTGGGCGTATTCGGACACCTTGACGATGAATTGCTCGATAGTGATGGTTTTGCCATCGATATTCTCGATGAGTAGAGGCGCTGGGGGTGGGTTGTCCTCGTACCTCTCCCAACACTCCCAACCTTCGAGCATGCCAAATACGATACGCATTCGAGAACGCGGTACTTCGGTAACAGCTTCATCAGCTAGAGGGTGCTTTGGGTCCACCAGTATTGACCGCCAGATCGGCTCGCCCTCTTCGTTGACATCGATGACCTGAACGGTAGACGGTGGGGCGAGCAGGTCCCATCGTAGGCGGTCTAGAGCTTTCTTGCACAGCAGGCTCGTCTCCTCATGAGGTACCTCTTGAGGAATGAGGCGGAAGTTCCTACTTGCCTTGGCGAAATCTATCGACCTTGGCGCGATGTAGCTTGTCGCAGGCGTACGTGACAGATATTCTTTGAACTTCCGTTCTGTCCACACCCAATGTTCCCTGATACCATGCACCACGCTCGCTTCGTTAGACGCCGAACTCGGAGAGTTAGATATGAAATGAAGAGGAAATACTTCCTCCATCCCTCCACCATCCAGGCTCTTCAATGCACCAGCGTCAAGATAATAAAGACAGAGTCTCTCCCTCTCCTCCAAGCTCGAATCCCCAAAGCTCAAATCCTCAGTTTCGTATATCATCCCTCGCAGCCCTTGCGTGTACGCTGAAACTTCACTAACAAATTGCTCAACAGTGATAGCTCGTCCGTCTGGATTATGAATGAGTAGAGGTGGTGGGCTCTTATCTATCATGCCCAAGCATTCCCAATAATAAATCTGGGCTAGCTCGATATGAATGTGGGAAGTTGATGGTGAGGTTACTGGTTCTTCGGCAAGAGGATGCTTATGGTCTGTTGATAACGGCTTCCAGCAGAGCTCGCCGGCTTTGTTGAGGTCGACGACTTCGACTGTCGATGGTGAGGCCAGGACATTTCATTTCAGACGGTCTAAAGCTTCTGTCCTCAGACTAGCATCATCTTCTTTGTGTATCTTTTGCAGAGGCGATGTATCAGCAGAGCTTCTGCTCGCATCAGCTGCATCGTGGTAGGTTTGCGATACTCCCTGGCCTGACTCGAAGGCTTGCTCGCCGGGAGTGACTGGTTGACACATCCCGATCTTGCAGCGTCTGGCCAGTGGTGTTCGGACAGAATGGACGTGTCCAGAGAGGAGGTTGGAGAAGAATGATGGGATATGCGAGCGCCGCAATGAGGTCGCCTCCCTTAATCTAAATCTCGGCAGGACGTGATCCTTCGCCAAGGTGGCGTGGTCGGAAGAATGCCGTCTGTACTGTTACTGAGCTCTATGGCCTGTGGTGAAGCATGAAACAGGCTACTGCGCAGCGCATATGCGATTTCGGAAAAGCAACCAGTAGGAATAACACAAGGATGTGTTGACAGATGAACATGATATCTTGAGAACGGAAAGGGTTGAAACGAAGCGAGCGCGGCCTCGGTAGTTTCAAAGACGCGCCATTTTGCCTATGCTACCATTTGACAGGAACAAACATTCGGATTACTTCTGCTTGCATTTCATCGCTAGCAGGCATCGATAACGCTTTCATTTGCTTCCCTTATTTCTTCTTTCGTATCAACGCTGCCAGTCTTATTCAGAAGCTTCACCATTTATCTGTTATAAGTTAAATCCGCAGCATCATGCGTCGAGCTCCTGTTTGAAGGTTTTTCTGTTTTCTGCTCACATTACATCCAGCCTGGTGATGGTGCAAGAAGCTAGCTAGATAGAGTAGGAAGGTTCTAGACACGTGCATGACACTGCCGTAGAAAAGCGAGTCACTGTACAATCTACTTTGAGCGGGAGAATGAGGAGATATCCTTCCTCTATTCCTATAATAATCCTACGCTACATCGCAGAATCGGCAGCTCAGCACCTCGTCTACAACCTATGTCATCATCGTCTTGTCGTCTCACACCATTAATCCCGACATGCCCTTCTCCATATTCATCTCCATCGTATCATCCTCCACCATCTTCCTGGCCCTCTCCGCAAACCTCTCCAAACCCTTCGGCGCTGCGTTGGGGCCAACCATAGCTGCTGCCTTGCAGTACTCTTTCTCCTGCGTAGTCTGGTCCCACATATTTCCTTGCATCTTGGTATCAAAGGCATCTGCCGCTTCACCCTCCAGCTGCTTCGCCAAAGTGGCGAGCTGGCTTACGGAAAGAGGAGTGAAGTTATCCCAGAATGGTGGCGTACCCGCTTCCATACATGCTACAATCAGAGTCACGTTTGAGCCCCGGGCTAAATTCGGTATCTTCGCGTTGAGATCGACGAGGGTGTCGTAGAAGTCGTTGATCGTCTCGTTTCTAATGCTGTCCATTGTTGTTAATGTATGACAGGGTAGGTGCGTCATACGGTTTTGTAATTACTCCGCAGACTATTTACCTTTGCCACGGGTGAAGAGAAGAGGTGAATCAGTGGGACGATTATGAGAGTCAGGTCCATCCGCCTTTTGAATACTCGGACTCTGTTGCTGTGGGACAACTACAGCTGCGTACACTGTTTTAGCACTGTGGTACGGTTACTCACCAGTACGTCACTCCTGCATTGTGATTACATTAGTATATACTCGAACGGAAGCTATCAATCTCGTGGTGTGACGCGAGGGCCGAGAAAGTTCTTTGTTATTATATTTTAAGCGATGAGTCGCGATCTTCTTCATTACGTGAAACCAGTCGACACAGAATCCTCCTTAGCACATCTCTGCGTCCACTCTCTCGCATGTTTCTCAAACGCGCCTCTCGAGTTCGCATACTCATTAGCAATCTTGACCTCCACCGCGCTCTCCAACTCCGGATGATCCAACAGCGTCCTCAAACTCATCAACACCTTCTCCATCGTGTTGTTGTGATGCCAATCTTCGCCTAGCATCTTCCAACTCACAACCCCTGTTCTGCCGTCAACGTTGGGATGGTAGATCTTGGTTGTGAAGTTGACTTTGGGCGGCTTCTCCGGGTAATCCTCGGTGAATTGGACGTGGAAGTTGAAGTTGCCGCCTTCGTAAGGGGAGTTGTCGAGACCGTGGAGGGTGCCTATCCATTCGAAGATCTCGCCGTATTTTAGTTCGACGTGGTAGCCGTCCGCGGGGGTTTTGCGCAGGCCGTGGAATTCTTTTTCGAGGCGTTTCTTGGTTGGCGTCATAATCGTGAAGTTCAATCAGTCGTATGTCTTTTTATATGGAGAGCAACGAAAATAATGCGAAACTCTGTCGTGCAGTTGAAGAAGGAAGATGTTGAGGATAGTCGCTTGGATTGGCACACGTCATAGCGTGACTGCTGTGGTGCGCGTTGGTCCGACGCGACTTCCCGCCCCTTTCTATTGACGCGCCTCACATCTTGCACTATTGGAACGCATGTTCATAGGACTGACATGTGCTTACTCTTATCGCAATTCTACAAGTCATGTTTCTCTATAGCGATATGCGCGAGCGCATGCGCTTAGCAGACTGTCACACAGCTTCTCTACTACATTTATTATGCGTAGCCCCGTCGACCATCTAGAGAGGTATTTTTGGAAATCTCTTTTAGTACTTCTGCGGACCAAGCGCTAGAGTTCCCGCTATTTCAATAACACACATCCTCAATCTCGCCAACCTCGTCGCGCGTCGAATTTTGCCGAAATCCACTCTTGCATCGAACCCGAGAGCTGCGCCCTTCGCTTACTCTATGGTTTCCATCTCGATACAACTAGCGGCGTACAAACCGATCCATTCTTCTCATTCTCGCGCCTTCTTACCCTCCCGCCTGGGTAGCAGGTCTTTCTTAGAGTTTGCGGCGCTGGCGCTATCTCTGTAGCGTGCCGCGCATCCGAAGAAGAGACTCTGCACCCTATGTCTCCATTCGGTCGAGAAACTTTGCAGCCATAGCTGCAAAATTCCTAAGGCCCATGGCATCAGTTCCCAGACGGTACCTCGCCGTTGGTTGATTGTATCTGTTTTCGCGAAGAACCTCGAGCTTCCCACCCTGTACATTCATTAGCAGGCGGCCAAAAACATCATCTTCGACTTGCTTCGTCAGTTTGGCGAGATCCGGGGTCTCAAGCGGTATGAAGTCATTCCAGAACAGCGCTGTGCCCATGACTTGGTAGACTTCAATGAGCGTATGCTGAAGGGCTTCGTCGTGCTTGAGGTGGGATACCAAGGTGTTGGCCTCCACGAGATTGTCGTAAAATTCGACGAGTGTGTCGCTGCGAAGACCGTTGGCGAGTTTGATATTATATGGCTTGGCAGACGTGGGCTCTTTGAGGAGGGCCATATCAGCGTCCATAAGCATGTCGCTATACGCCGCGAGCGTACCAGGTGCCAGCGAGGAGAGGATTGGTGTGAGACCGTTGAGGAAAGATAGCTCGATGTTGTCATAGTATATACATGTATCAGGTAAACAGAGGCGAGAAGCAAGGGCACGATGAGAATTCGCACTGCCGTTTCCTTGTCAGTATTGATCTGGATAGTTGCAAGATTGAGGAGTTCTAGTTACATGTTTTGTATGGTAGTAATATAGACGAGCTGCGAGCACAGGCATTTGTAGGTTATCATTTGTACATCCCGATCAAACCTCGCATCCCTTATCCAAAGCAACGGCCTACTGCCTCCTGAACATCAGCTCAGCCCATGAAGGTGCGTTGATCCCCGAATGCTCAGGAACACCGAACCACCTGCCTCCATCTACCTTCACCACTTCGCACTTCTCCCTGTACTCGCTCTCCACCGCTGATCCTCGGGCGTACCGCGGAGGCAGAGGTCCTTCATGTCACTTTCCATTCCATTTCTCTTCAACGTTCTCAAAGCCAGGAAGAACCAGCATTCCTGCAGGTCCGTTCGGTGCAGTAATCTGTATAGCCGGCTCAAGGATAACAGACTTCGAGTCGAGACAGACGATGAATGAGTGGTCGTTGACAAGGTTGAAGCCCTGCGCAACGAGGGGGTTGGCGAAGTTGATGAGAGGCTCAATCTCTTTGAGAAGGATCTTGCAAGCCTCTGTGTACCGTACATCTTGAATGAAGAGGTGGACGACATTTCCCTGAATCTGACCTAGCGTTCGGGCAATATTCATGGCTGCGAGATGCTGGACAAACCCTGACTCATACCCTGGTCCAGGAAAGAGAGGACCCAGATCGAAGCAAAAGACGTCGGTAACTGGCTTGATGTTGTGCGCATTCTGGTGTAGGACCTGTACAAGATCAACGCGAACGGCGCTCTCTACCCAACTGTTAGTCCATGAATCAACGAGGGGGCGCATGAACTTCAGCGCGTTGTCGAGGTCAATGGTTTGAACCGCGCTACTCCAGTGGATGTTGAAAAAGAATGGACAGTGTCGTTGCATCTCATTCATCGCCTGGAGCTGCAGTGGGCGGAAATGTGGTACATCCGCACGTCCCTCTGGCATCTCGACAGGATCTTGGCAGGCAAGATCCATGGTGGTATGGGCATCGATCTGTAGAAGGTCTCCTGGTCTGAGCTCGAGCTCTGCTGTCGTGCCATTCTGCTCGAAGGTAAGGATCCCTCTGCCGTCGTGCGCGACTAATGTCAAAGAGGTCTTGGTGCCAAACAAGTCAGTCAGATGTGCTGAACCGTTTTGGGATGAAGAGTACTGGTGGCGAATTTCATTTAGTCGTTGCGGTGTGTGGGTTGACCTGCCAGCCCCTCCGCTGATCGCGTAGATTTGCACAAAGTCAAAAGGTTCGCGGTTTGGGAACTCCGGAGACGCCATATCTGTCTTTGAGCGTTAGTGATGGAGTGGTTAGTATGGCTGATGAAGAGGATTGCAGAAGAACAGGTATTTATGTTAGCGGTAATCATCAAGCTGCTTTCAACAAATTCTCATTCACGCAAGATTAATTATACATGGGGTGTTGCTATTGTGCACAATAGCTTTGCGATCATGCCTGGCAATCGGGTTGCACGAAGTACTCGCGGTCACAGCTAGTTAGTGCACAGACCAGATCGCGCTAGGCGGCTCAGAGGAAGTGCGTCCTGATGACGAGAATCCTTTAATACTAGAGCTAAGAAAGCTACATCATATTATATACTCATGGCTGCCTTACGGTATCGTCAGTGGCGCTGTAGATTAGTTAAAACCCAAAAAGATGAGATCATCAAGTGTGGTGAGACAGCTTCCTGCGCTTTCCTGCGACATGAGTTGCACTGCGCACACTTGGCGCGTCATCATAAGCCCACATATCGTACGTCGTTAGGTCATCGTCATCGCCGGAAGAGTTGGTAAGCTGGCGGAGGAACTCAGGCTGCGTCTCATATACCAGTATTGAATCATGGCCTTGATCCTCAGCCCATTGTCGTTGATGATAGACCTCAACGGGCGTCTCGCCTACCAGGACGTATTCATGTTCTGGAGGTGGCGGCAGATATTCGAAGTGTTCTTGCTGTGAGTAGTTGTTCGTAAAACCGTTCAGGCTCGCTTCGGAGCCGTCGGTGTCATCATCTGCATCTTCACGTGAACGATACATACCTGTTCCAGTCGCGCTTGTGGCCGAGAGTGAATGACGCTGTTGGTGCTGATTGGATGGATCGCTGTTGTCGTATGATGGGGCCTGCAACTGACTAGCGAACTGGGCTGCTTCATGGTCTTGCATGATGGACGGCAATGGGGTGTTTGCACGCCAGCGCTGGGACGAATGCTTCCGGAGCGTGTTTGTAGGCTGGCGAACAGCGAAATAGCGTGAAGTCATCGCTGAAACCCGACTTCCGCCGATCAGACCTGCAGCGACGCTGTTCGCCATAGACTTGGGAATCATCTCGACAAGATCATGGCTTGTTTCACAAGGCCCCCAATCTGTAATGGAGTTCGCGTACATGTCCTCAAGGTTTTCGGGGTAAGAGGAGAACCAATCATGCGTAAGAGCCTCCGACGCTGTCATTCGCTCTTTTTCCTTGAGAATGAGCAGATTCTTGACGAAGTCTTTCGGTTGGTCGCCGACATTGCTCCATAGTGGGTGATGTGGATCGTCCAGATGACTGAGGTCACAGAGTGCTGCGAGACCTAAGATCACAGCTTTAGGGTTCGTGTCGTACTCTGGGTGTCTGCGATCAATGAAAATTGTGTCTCCGGTAAGTAGTGTAGCTGCAATCGTGCCAATGGACCACATGTCGACGGATCTTGAGTAGCCGTCCTCGGCTGGAATGGCTCTATTGCGCCGGTTAATCTCAGGCGCCATGTACTCCAAGGTACCCACGAGCGAGAACATCCGTTGGTACTTGTTGGCTTTCGCTGGATTTTGGCTGCTCTTCCCTGGGAGAAACCTCGCACTGCCAAAGTCGGTGATGACGACGCGAGCGCTGTCCTCGAGAGACGACATGAGTATGTTGTCCGGCTTCAGATCTCGGTGTACGATGTCCTGGTCGTGAAGGTACTTGATCCCCTTCAAGATCTGATAGATGATAGTCGCGGCCTGCAGACTATCGATGCGGCCCTCCTTGTACTCAATGAAGGAGAATAAGTCACCGCCTGTGACGAGCTCTTCGAAGATGTAGATGGTATTGTTACTCCGAAATACTTTTTCAATAGTGATGATGTTCGGGTGGCTGAGGTCTTTGAGGATGTCAAACTCACGGAAGCAGTTGGTAACCCTGGTCGGCAGTTGTTGTTTCACTGACTTCTGATGCTTCGCTCGCTTTCCGGTAGGAAGGCGTAAGTTCGATAGCACCAAGGTGTCATACATGTTGTCTAGTCGAACGGTTTTGCACGCAAGTTGTCGCTGTGTCTCTTGATTGATGCCTACAAGGACTTTGCCGTTACCACCTTCGCCGAGCAAGCGGCCGGTGAGGAGATAGCGTGAAGCGAACGTCAGCTTCTCTCGCTCCTGAATGTCGGTCAACTTCACAAGCTCTACCGGCGTATTCGAGCAGTATATCAGGGTGACGGTTTCTGATATGCGAATCTCATCCCCATCCTCTAAGAGGAAGGTGCTCTTGGGACCCATCAGGATGCCCGCGTCTTGGGACGCCGTGTACTCCGAGTTGCTTTTCTTGAGACAAGTGCCGTTTGAAGAGAAATCGGTTACATAGACGAATGGTGCGATCTTCGCGATTGGGTTTTGCTCGTAGAGGATGCAATGGATGCGAAGGTGCTTTCTTGAAATGGTGAGGTCATCAGCCCATGAGTAACGACTACAGTGGGGATTAGAACAAGCTCCTGTCAGAGCGAGGAAGACAGTGCTCTAACCAGAGCTCTGGATCCCTCCCAAGATTGAACTGCTCGTTCCCACACACTTCGATCCTGCCTCCGTGCGTTCCTGCATGCGTTAGTCTGTTGATCATGAATCGAAGGACATCGACTCACCATAAGCACTGTCACCCACGACCTTGATCTGCAGCCATGCCACTGCTTCACCCGCCATCGTACAATACTCCCTCCGCTGCCGATAACACTGCTCTAGAATGATGTTGGTGATGACGCGACTGAGGTTTGACGTAAGGCAGGTGACGCGGTGCGCGTGAACGCTTGGCGCCTGCCTCAGGGCTGGGCGCTAAGCCGTTCTAGCTAAGCGAGCCCCGCACCCACCTAGGTATTTCGACTCGCTGAGCTCCTACCTTTGTTCTACACTCACGACACTCATCTCGACAGCAATGTAAGTTCTATATTCCAAGCCATGGCGGCGCTCGCGATACTCAATTGAGTGCAATGGTTGCTCTTTGAATGTCCTTGCAGCCGCCGGCAACTCTACACTCTCAAGTGCAGCCGCTGACCTCATATCACAGCCAGCCGACAAGATGAGAGCCAAATGGAGGAAGAAGCGCGTTCGCCGTCTCAAGCGCAAGAGAAGAAAGACTAGGGCTCGTTCGTAAGTTCTACCACATCACCACCGCCAGCTTTCTCGAGTCTAACAACTTCGCAGCAAATAAACGTCTCGCCCCTCAATCTCAGCATCACCCGCCTCAGTTCTGAACGAGAATGATCACTGAACGACACGTTTTCTACGCACAACCTTCCGGCCAGCTCGCAACTCACTCTACTCCACCGCGCGATTCGGCCCTAAAGCTACGTCACACGGCGGATTGCGGCACGCGAGCTTTCAACTATTACTTCGGGAGGTGACGACTGTGCTGGACTGAGGAATGGTATGGAATGCTGGTCAATGGCCTGAATGGCACGTTGGGGTTCTTCGGGAGTTTACTTGAACACGATTACGACGGTCACTCTAACACCGGCTCGCTACCTCTTGTGGAGGCTTGCCTTTGACTGATACGTCGCCATGTGGACATGCGATACGGAATCAAAAATGCTTCACGACAATATTGCTCTCTTTGTGCGTGATGCAACTTGATGTGACGTGATGCGAGGACCCTTGATATGATGCAATGTGTGTGAATCATGGCTTAGCCGACAAAGCACTCGAGGTCCCGCCGTATTGATGTTCGGTGCTCGCGGTCAAACTTGGAAGGCCAGACGTTGCCCTATTTGTAAACAGTCCAAAATGACGCATGGTGGTGACGGGAGCGAAGATACTCACGACCATGATATCTGGCCATTCACATCTTGTTATGACGCTTTCGGGACACGAACAGGTAGAAGCAGCGACCAAGTTCGAGCGCGTACACAGGATACCAATATATTCATTCGAGTCTACAGAGTTTCCAAACCATGTAACCCCATTACTCCCACTCCATAGTACTACTCCCAAGAAAAGAAACGAAGAGAAAGAAACAAATCCAGCTAAGATGTCGTAAAACCCCTCCTTACACCCACATCCACCCCAAAAAACCCCCAACTTCATTGCCCTACTTTACCCTCCCATATCATGCTCGTCATGCCGACCAACCCAAGACGCACATCAAGCCCAATCCCTCATCTCCCTATCTACCCTCTCAAATTCACCCCCTCGCTTCTTATCCCGCTGCTGATGCACTTCGCGTACGACATGAACGCTCCTTCCGTGACTGTGTGCCTCGTTCGTAATCCCGGCGGAGGAGGGAGAGGAGGAGATGTCTTCGGCCCAGGCGCGGGTGTGGACGCCGGATGGGAGGGTAGGGGTGGGCGGTTTGGTTGGGTTTGTGTCAGTGGTGATGGTGGCGGTGGTGGTTGAAGGGTTGGTAGATTTGGTGGAAGGATTGGAGGATTTGGAGTTGATTTCGGTGATGTTGCGGTAGGAGAAGAGGTGGAGGATGGGCCCGTTTAGAGAGGGGCGGGTGAAGTAGCGGGTGAAGAATGTGGGGCGGGGAGGTGTCGGGGATGCTGATAGAGAAGGGGAGGTGGACTGGTTGTGCTTTTGCAAAGGCGTGTCTTGGTCGTTCTTCTTTGAGATCAAGGTATCTTGCGTTGTGACGCTGTGTAAGCGGGGGACTGCGTCGAGAGCCACAGAGTTGTATGTAGATGCGGTCCAGGTATCGTTCTTGAAATCCGTGCTTGTCGAGCTCGACCTTGTAGAGTCGGAAGTACCGAAACACAGCATCTTCTTTGCTCTGCTCGAAAAGTATGATGTCCAGCTATGAGGAGCGGAGAAACTGGTCGGTCTCCTCCAGTTGGCCGATCCGGGTAATAGACTCGGCCATATCTTGCCCGCTCCCATAGAGATCAATATTCGTCTGTAATGAGCATTTGCATCTACTCCCGTGCCGAGGAAGAGGAAGATAATGTATCCCGTGGCGATCTGGACCCACTTCTCGATACTGATATGACCCATCGAGGGCGTCCTTGTGATCGTGTTCCATCTCTCGGGATCGTGGACTCTATCCCAAGAGTACTTGTCGGTGAGTCTCCCGGCCATTTGTATAAGGAGTACGATGGTGTAAATGAGGTAGAAGGATATGACGATCAGGCTAACCAGGAAGAGGCGGATGAAGCGTGAGGATGTGGTGTTGCGCGCTGCTACAAGGCGATGGAACTCGCGTCGGTACCGGTAGAGACGGTAAATGAGTAGGGCTGTTGTTCAATTAGTAGAGTGATTTGAGTAAGAAAGCAGATGAGACTTGCATGCCCAGTAGGAATCGATTACAATGCCAACGGCTGACCACATGAAACTAATGACCATGCTAGGCCATGAAGCATCGTGGACAGACCAACAACCCGCAATACCGATGATTGCGTAGCGATTGTACTGGGTAACGTAGTAAATGCCCATCAAGAACAACGGCACGCCCCAACACCAAAAGACTTCCCAGATCTTCGCTTTGACTTTGCTCTTATGGCTGGTCGACACTGTCATGTTGCGTGTATCCATAACGTGGGCGAGCTTGCGTAATACCAGGGCCAATGAGGCGGTCAATCCCACATAGCTGCCGACCTGGAGCCGGATCTGAATGTCGCACAAGATACGACCGTCCCACCATTCGGTTAGGTTGTCGCGAGGCCAGATGAGCGGGTTGATGCAGTTGAAGAGGTTGTGTAGGACAATCCATAAGATCAGTGACCCGGCTGCGATGTTGGTTTGGCGGAAATGCCAAATCATTGGTGCAACGCAGAGGAGAAATGCTGGAAAGGCGAGGGTGATGAAGAGGATTGCCTGTGTGGAGATGGGCGCGTTCATTTGCTCCATGGTGATTTCTGTGTTGTATTCATAGGTCCCTGCCGCATCGCCAGTCCAGCTAGGTTCGTAGGAGTGTGTCTTGGTTGACATAGTAGCAGATGTCAATGACATAGCAGTAGATGTCATTGACATAGCAGCAGATGTCATTGACATAGCAGCAGATGTCATTGACATGGTGACGGATGTCAAGAGGAGGGAGCAATCAATGACGATGGGCAATCTTCTTCGATGCTGCAAATTGGTAGACCTGAATCCAGTTCAAGGATGTAAATTTCGATCAAGTGGACGTTCTCGAGCTGTCGATTGTGTTATCTCCAGGATAGTGTCAGGCAGTGTCGAGGAGTATAGATATAGGAAAAATTGTATTAGAAAGAAAAGCAAATGAAGAAACTGGCAAGCGGCAGGTAGCCTCGAAAATCCCATCACTCCTGTCGATACTGAGTATATGGAAATCCTCAATAGAACGGACGCGTGTCTCAAGCTTCAATAAGGCTCAATAGGACTTACTTTCACTTGAGTGGTGAAAACGAGTATGCCGCTACGGTAGCATGTTTGCAGGCGCGTTCGCCCACGTCAATCACAGTCTTTTTGAAACGGGCTGACCCGTCGCATGGACAGGGCGTTGCCTAGTACCTGTGATATTCGGTTGCGGTGGTATGGTTGCGGTGATGGGAGTGAGACTTTGGGCTGTCCGCATTTGGTTTTGAATAGAAAAAGATGACTTCTGAATAGAGAGCCAAAGAGAAAGAGACGAGACATGTCTGTGATAAGTAGCAGCGCAACCAGAGAGGGAATCATGGGAGACGAGGTGCTAAGTCCCCGCAGCTGCGGCATGGTTGCAGGTCGGGTTGTACGTGGCGGGTTTAGCCAGATTATTCTACTCTGCCGCTTCGAGCATCTAGGAACCGGTGTTTACCTGCCAGTTTGGTGTGCATCTGTTACATTATCGGAGTCCGAACGCGCGCGTTGGGACGATGGGTCACTCTACGGCAGATAGCTGCATCCCAGTACGAAGCACCAGGGACCAACAAGTGGCGATTCTGTATGGATTGAATGATGAATAGCCCATGAGGCATGTGCAAGCCTTTGCAGCGCTTGGTCGTTTCCTCGGTCATGGTGTAGGCTGGGTTACACAGCAGGAGAAGCCTGGACACGTGTGGCATGGTTGTCACGATCTGGCTGGCCGTGAATGCGGGATGCGCACAGGGTACCTGTTGGTGTCGAGATGGTGTTCGCAGTGAGTCGCTTGCAAACTGTGGGAAGCTAGGCCATAGCGCATGTGTGAGGAAGCTCGGAGAGGGTCACAGCTCTACAATTGACCGCATCGAGACATGACGTAAGACTAACGACTCGCCGAGGCGTCTTCCACTACGGCACACGACCGTCGAGTTAGTACGTGTGAGCGTCACCAGAGCCTCAGCGATGCTTCCGCGGCGCCTGCAACCATCGCGATCAGGTGACTCACATCTCTACTACATCGCGCCTTCTTGAAGCGGCGTCTAGGCATCATTGGCAACGACGTCGTTCACGTTGCTTCTTCAACCTCAACCGGTACTCCGCCATGGACGGTGCGCCCGCCGACAGTCCCAGCATCCACCCTCAACTTCGCCAGAGGATGCTGAACCGCGCCGCCACCTTTGCTGAGGGTGCGCGACCTTCTACTCCACCTACAGCCGCCCCTCGACGCCGCAGCTCCCTCGTCTCCGACCTCTCCGACTCGCGCTATTCCTTGCGGTCATCCAGCGACAATCTTCTGAGAGCGGGTGGGAAGAATGATATGGGCCGACATGCATCTTCAGACGAGCCGTCACGATGGATTGCGCTGCCTGTGGTCGCCGCCGTGGTCCCTGCCATCATTGGATTGACGGTAGAGAACGGCGCAGATGTCGCGACAGACGTGTTGATCTTGGTATTGGCGGGATGGTTCCTACACTGGAGTGTCAAGGTGCCTTGGTGAGTTGCAGCAAGCATGAGTGATATCCACAGCTGACGCGACGCAGGGACTGGTACCACGAGGCACAGCAACGACGATACCTGAACGACGACGTGGATGACGCGACATACGATGACACGATACATGAGGAGGAAGAGGATGTGACAGAGGCTGTAGAAGACTCTGCGGGCGAGATGCAGGACTCAAAGGTCAACAACACGACGGCCGATGCGCCTATCTCGCGAGCGCAGAAGGAGGCTCGTGAAGCACTGAAGCGGTCGGAGATGCTGGCATTTGTCGGCTGCTTCCTAGGTCCTCTACTCGGCGCCCTCCTCATGCACACCATTCGAGGCCAGCTCATGCGCGCCGAAGGCATAGTATCCGACGCGAACCTCAGCATCTTCCTCCTCATCGCCGAGATACCCCCCGTAAACCGCCTCATCAAGATGCGAACAGAGCGAATCCTCCACTTGCAGCGCATCGTCCGAGAAGCCCCAAGAGAGCCCGTTCGATCAGCCGACACCCAACAGCTCTCACAGCGAATAGCGGAACTAGAAGGACGGCTCGATGGCCCTCCGCTCGCCAACAACAACGAGGTAGATGTAGAAAAGCTCAGCGCCGAAGTCCGCCAAACAACCCAACTCCAACTCGACGCCTTGAACCGCGCAGTTAGGCGCTACGAGAAACGTCACATGGCGCAATCCCTACAGATCGAAGCTCGCTTCCAAGATCTTGAAGCTAGATTGGGAGACACACTTGCCCTGGCTGCCGCGGCTGCTAGAACCGGTCAGCGGCCAGGTGTGATTGCTATGACGCTGAGCTGGATTGCCGGTACCATTAGCTACATGCTGCAGATGACTTGGGACATCGCCATGTATCCCTTCCGCACAGCAGCGATCGCAGTCTCAGTAGCTAAATCGCTTTTTGTCCGGGATGAGCGGCAGGCAAAACGGAGGGTGAAGGGAGGGCAGGTAAATGGGCATACGGGTATGACAACGAGTCGGATGCAATCGAAACCTGTGCGGTAGTCTACATAGTCCTATTAATACTTTAATAACACCTTCTTCACCTTTCCAGCTCTGCCCTATCTGCGTGAAAACTGGGTTATATGTTATCGCATGACGTTCAACATTGCTGTGAGGACAGCGCCGATACCGGCATCATCCATCCAACAGGCCCATCGCAACCGCACTCCATCCGGCCTCATCCGAACGAGTAACCCGAAAATGCAGGTACAGAGCCCTCTCACGCGCCTTCGGAGATAATACTCGCGCGTACACCAACCACGAGGTCCGACACTAAGCACTCTTTGTACTTAGCCTGGCCTTCGTGGTAGGCGTACCCCGCCCCCACTTTGATAGCTGGCAGCTAGGGAAGGAAGACGAGGGAGTACGGCCGATGGGGATGTAACGTAGTAATCGCATGCCTTATTAGCTTCTCTACTTCTTTGATGTATTTCGATCATCCTGCGTTTTCTTTCCAGATCCCCTATCCTTTAGACATTGGTTGTGAGGAAGACGTTTCGCGACTCCCGAGTATTCAGTTGGGTAAAGAGCAGGGAAAGCAATAGGAAACTACAAACTATGTATCCGAAGTCAGACGTCACAGTCGACGCCTCGAAGTTCGATCGCGATGGTATCGACAAGCAGACGCTGGAGTTCAACGAGAAGTTGATTAAGATTTGGGCGGATGGACCAAGGTGGTATGAGGTATGTCTTCTTCTCTCCCTTCCCAATCATCCTCCTGACGCCCCTGCTCACTACGTTCCCCCAGGTCGGCGCAGCAGCGTACCGCCAAATGCGCTGGGAAGGCAAAACCCCCTTGCCCAAACCCGTCGTCTTACCCGAAGGTTTCAACGGTTCTCTCCCATCTCGAGACGCCGGAAGGGAGATTCCGTACCGCGTTTTCAAGCCGAGCGGAGGGGTAAGTAGGGGCATTCATATGCATATTCATGGTGGGGGGTGGGTGTTGATGAGTGAGGCTTAGTAAGTGCGTTTTCCTCTTTATTCACTGTGTGAACCGTAACTTTGCGTGAAACGATTCCGCACGATGAAACATGGGGGATGTTTGGAGACATTGAGAGATTGAAAAGAAAGGAGAAAGGAGATTGAGATTGGGATTGAGGCTGACTTGAACAATAGTCAAGACCCGTATCTAAAGTACATGGCCGACCACTTCGAAGTAACAGTCGTATCAATCGGGTACCGTCTCGCACCCGAAGACCCATGGCCTGCTGGCGCAGAAGATTGCTACGACGCTGCGGAATGGCTTGTGAAGAACGGCCCTGAGGTTTTTGGTGGGGAGTTGATGTTTACGGGTGGTGAGGTATGTCCATCCAACCATCCTTCCCTGCTTCCCCCTCTTCTCCAACCCCAACGCACATACTAACAATCCCCCCAGTCTGCAGGCGGCCACCTCGCCTGTCTTGTCGCCTTTCACCTGTTGAAAACCCTCCCATCCTTCTCCTTCCGCGGCCTGCTCCTCCACTTCGGCTGTTACGATATGTCCTCCTTCCTGCCGCACGTACTCCACCACGAATCGCACCTGGTAATCGACTACGACGTCATGAAATCCTACATCGACGCCTTACTCCCCAACACCACGGAAGCCGAGCGCCGCGACCCGTCGATATCGCCCTTTTGGCAGGACCTACGGGGCATGAAGTTGCCGCCTGCGCTGTTTACGTGCGGCAGTGAAGACCCGTTGTTGGATGATAGTGTGTTAATGGGGGCGAAGTGGGGGATGTGGGGGTGTGAGAGTGTGGTGAAGATTTATAGGGGCGCGCCGCATGGGTTTATTGGGTTTCCGCCTGGGACTATTAGGGCGGTTCAGGAGGTGCTTGATGATACTGAGGCGTTTGTTAGGGCGAAGATGGGGGTTTGAGAGGGTAGGTTAGTAAGGTAGGATGTGCCGAGAAGACGTACTTGGCGGATGCCCTCCAGAAAGGTTCTACACCAAATCGAACTCATCGTAGACATATGTACACCCGTAATTGGATAGATAAGGCATGATATCTTTTGCGGTCAGCTGACCGTCCGGTTTTAATGTATCCACCAGGACATGGGTCGGATCATATATACGGCCGGTGCCAACAAAGCGATAGGCCGGGGTCTTGTCGATAGACCCTTTCAATGTATCAGCTGGGCGGAGTATTATCGCCGCCATTAGTCCCTGATACGGACAGCCTTTGATCACTTTTCCCACAGGTACGATGTGATCACCAACCTCAGGTGATACATTGCTGTAACCTATGGAGTTTGCCTGAGTACCTGGGTCATGGAATACGAACAGTTTTGCAGTATCTTTTGAGGCTTGATCTGACTCACGGATATGGTCCTGCCGATTGGCAGATGCCCACTTTGGCCTGTACCCCGGACGCTGTCCTCCGAATTCTGTTGTTCCCGGCCAAAAGTACTCAATGAGATTGTGCAAGAGATCCCCATTGTCGAGATTCTCAGGTTGAGAGGAGTCGGAGTCGGAGTCATGGCCGAGGCGAAGCATGCTCCTTCGAATTATCTTGTACAGTAAATCTGGAAATTGCGTGGTTTCCAACACCCAGGATATGGGCTCCATCAAGTCAGTGGAAGGGTCGGAATCTCGTGTTGTCTCCGATTCATTGACAATGTTACAAAGCTGAAGGAGTTGTGACTCATACGAGACTCCAGAATCGATAGATTCCCTTGGAACCTTTGATCTGACGGTATAAGGCTGCATGTTGTCCTCATCCAGTAAACGTCTGTCCCTGCCAGTCTCTACGCGAATTCCGCTTCCCGTGACACTGGTAACTCGGCAGTCAAGGTCAAAGTCACCCTCGTTGACGACAAGGGTCTTTTTCGGTACAACCCGCCAGTCTGGCACCCAAGAAGGCCAATCGTCCGGTGGAGATGAGTGCTGACGCAAAAACAAAGCCTTCCACATGTCCGCATGCGTATGTCTTTCTCTCCAGCAGCTGATCGCAAATGCCTTGTATGTTTCAAGTACATCTAGCGAATAATCTATGCTTATAGAAACCGCGCCCTGTTCTTGTGATGCCGAAGAGGGGAGAATATCGGAGACATAGCCGGCTGGTTGGATATTGGCTGCCATACTAAATAGAGCAAACACTCGATCTCGTGGATCTGTGCATGCATACAACGCAAACTTCTCGACCAGATTTGTGATGTCGTTACTGTCAATGTCAGAGCGACTCGGCGATAGCGGAGCCCCTAACAATTGGGTAGGGAAAAGCGAACGGCGGCTCCAGAGTCTCCCGATCTTGACAATAGCATCCACTCTTGCCCTGTCATCGTCATTCAAAAGGCCAAGCTCCTCTTGAACAAAAGATAGCGCGGCAATAAAGCGAGGAAAGGCAATCTCTGTGTCACCACAAATCAAGCAGACTTCTGAACTGAAGACGACTTCTTGTACTATCCAGAGTCTGTTGAACCAAGGCAGATTGATGAAACGGGTGACTTCTCTGTAACCCCTTGCCCATATTATGTATCGCTGCTTTGACGTCCGGGACAGACGCTCAATTATCCGCATACCTGTTTGCTCGACCGTGGTGTCTCCACCCGGATCGAGCCAAGCCATTACTCTTTGAGCACCACGGAAAATGTCGACCATGAGAGGGATTTGCACTGCCTTTTCTGCATTATCGAGTTGATTGATGCACGCGGCATCCGCCCAGAGGAGTCGGTCGCGGTCGTTGTAACGCAAATACCGTAGCGCGCCGTCAAGGTTTTCCGTCACGCACACCTGCGTGCCGTCGTCCAAGAGTAGAGCGAAGGATAGGATAGGTTGACTCCATGTATATGAAATGGCGTCGTATCGGCCTTCGAGATTCTCGAGTGTTGATGAAACAAAGTCAACTCGTAGAGGTGCGTCTTTCGACAAAGCTGGATGCAGCACCAGAAGCCTGATGTGCTCTGGGCCCTCGAGTGCTGCATATGAGTGTCGGCGGACGCGGGGTTCACAGGAGAGAGCCATGAATCCGCGTTCCAAATACAACGGTACAAGAAGAGACGCGAATGGAAGTCATGTGGTAGGAGAGATAGTTGCGCAGGCTGCAGCTGGGCTTACAGACGACGTGCATGGTGCGAGGCTGAGTAAACGGTGTAGCTGAGCCAATCACCACATTGGTGCGCAGTTCCCATGGCGGCATGATAAAGTGGTTAGCGACTCGCCATTGACATACCCACCGCATACACTTTGTTCATTACGGCAGACATATTCACCGTTCGTGGTGTTGAAGGTGTCGATGTCGGGATGAAAGCACCCTGAACGGAGGTTGATCCCTGACTAGCTCAAACGTCATACACCGCACGGCCTATCTCGCAGGCCCAAGGCGACGCGACAAGAAAACTTCGTGTCGCACAAGCTTACCATGGCCCAATAGCCCACCATTCGCAACACCAAACGTCGCCATGGCAGACGACGAGAGCCCCGAGAGGCGGCGGCCGCGCCGGATGAGCGCCATGTACCGCCGTGGCTCCCACTTGAGCGAGTACGTGTGACGGCCAGCTCAGCGTTGGGCGCGACTAATTCACGGCACCAGGGCAAGCTTCATGGAAGATGTCGAGATGGCGCAAGATGAGGTATTCGAACTCGGCCCCATGCCTCCTTCCCGTCCTGCCTACAATCCCCGTGGAAGGAAGCCTGGCCAGCAGCTGACGCCAACAATCCAGGTCTTCTCCGGCCCCATGAGCGAGAGCGTCCCCACGAGCGTGTCTGGATTCCACCACCGCCGGTCGCGCGCCGATTCGAGCGCCAGTTTGACGAGTTTCGCATTCTACGATGAAGAGCAGGATTCAGAGGGTGAGGATGAGGATAGCGCGATTTTGGAGGATGGCGAGAGCACGTACAACAACGGCTATACTGTGTCGGAGTTGGAGGACCTCGAGGCGGGGATATCGTCGCAGTCGTCGCATTCCCCGTCACCATCGCGGCGGAAGTCGAGTGGCAGCAGGAAGTCATCCGAGCGCCCGCTGTTGCGCAGACACTCTTCGACAGGCAGCGCAGGCTCAGGCATTGACTGGAGAGGGCGCAGGTCCAACCAGAAGATCTACATCATGACCGAGGACCTTACCATTGTCATCGCCGGCTTCAGAACATCCCCCATTGGCTATGCGCTGTATGCGCTCCTGTGTTTCGCGACTTTGGGTCTCGGCTGGCTCCTATTCAGATGGCTACCAAGATGGAGGGTTGCGATAACGGGAAAGAGCTCACCGCTGAAGGAGTGTGACTGGATAGTCACAGAGAACCAATGGGGCGAGTTTGCGGTGCAGCACGTTAGCAAGCAAACCTACGGACGGTCGCTTTCGACTGTCTTCGGCGACCCTGAAAAGGGACGGCCACGGGAATGGGATGAGGAAGATGACCCGCTCATCGGCGAGCTTAGGTGCCTGGACTACCGCTACATCCGCTTCGTATACCACCCCATCAAGGACAAGTTCGTCCTCGCAAACACCTGGACAGATCCCACCTGGACCGAAGTCTCCGCCCTCCGCGAGGGTCTTGACAACGATGAGCGCGACTACCGCGAGCTGGTCTTTGGAAAGAACGTCATCGATATCGCCGAGAAGACCATTGGCCAGCTCCTAGTCGATGAGGTCTTCCATCCCTTTTACGTCTTCCAGATTGCTAGTCTAATCCTCTGGTCCATGGACGAGTACTATTACTATGCCTGCGCCATCTTTATCATCTCCGCCGTCAGTATCGTCACAACACTTATCGAGACCAAGGCTTCGATGAAGAGACTGCGCGAGGTTTCAAAGTTCGAATGCGAAGTTCGCGTATTGCGCAGCGGTTTCTGGACCCACATCGACTCTGCGGAGCTTGTACCTGGAGATGTCTACGAAGTCACCGATCCCTCCCTTGCTCTGTTCCCCTGCGACAGTCTGTTGCTCTCCGGAGACTGCATTGTCAACGAGAGTATGCTCACTGGCGAGTCGATCCCTGTTTCCAAGGTCCCTATGTCGAACCACGCTCTAGACCTCCTAGACCTTAGCGCATCGGCTGTTCATCCCGAAGTCGCACGACACATGCTGTTCAGTGGAACCAAGATCATTCGCGCTCGCAGACCACATGAGGACCACGTCGATGACGAAGCCGCTGCATTGGCCATGGTAGTCCGCACTGGGTTTAACACGACCAAGGGCGCATTGGTCCGTTCGATGCTCTTCCCAAAGCCATCTGGATTCAAGTTCTACCGCGACTCCTTCCGGTACATCTCCGTCATGGCATTCATTGCGATGATTGGCTTCGTCGCGTCTTTCATCAACTTTGTTCATCTAGGTCTAGCGTGGCATTTGATCGTTGTGCGAGCTCTCGACCTGATCACCATCGTCGTTCCTCCTGCGCTTCCGGCTACACTCACCATCGGAACTAGCTTCGCCCTCTCGCGATTAAAGCAAAAGCAAATCTTCTGCATCAGTCCACAGCGAGTCAACGTAGGTGGCAAGCTGGATGTCGTCTGCTTTGACAAGACCGGAACCCTTACCGAGGAAGGTCTTGATGTTCTTGGAGTCCGCGTAGTCGAGCGACCAAGGAACAGATTTAGTGAGCTGCTTCCAGATGCTTATGACATCCTGCCCGCGTCCCAGCATGACCGCGACCCCACTGTTGAATACCTTGCACACAAGACGATTCTGTACACCATGGCTACTTGTCACTCACTCCGCAAAATCGATGATGAGCTAGTTGGTGACCCGCTCGATGTCAAGATGTTCGACTTTACCGGCTGGAGCTACGAAGAAGGAGAACAAAAGGCTGGCAATGCTGGTGATGACGACCCCGAGCAGAAGCTTTCGCCATCTGTTGCCCGACCGCCACCAGGCCGCGAATATGATGTCGACGATGTTGAAGATGAAGCAAACAGGAAGCAAGTCGAACTTGGCGTACTCAAGGCCTTCGAATTCGTCTCACAGCTACGAAGAGCTAGTGTCATTGTTCGACAATTTGGTTCCAAGAGCGGACAAGTATACGTCAAGGGTGCACCCGAAGTCATGAAAGAGATCTGCCGACCTGACAGCTTCCCTACCGACTACGAGGAACTCCTGGCCTTCTACACTCATCGTGGATTCCGTGTCATCGCCTGCGCCACCAAATCGATCCCCAAGCTCAACTGGCTCAAGACCCAAAAGATGAAGCGTGAGGAAGCAGAGAGTGACCTGGACTTTGTCGGTTTCATCATCTTCGAGAACAAGCTCAAGGACAGCACGGCCCCTGTCATCGAAGAGCTCGAACGTGCCAACATTCGCAAGGTTATGTGCACTGGTGACAACATCCTCACTGCTATCAGCGTGGCTCGCGAGTGTGGTCTCATTAACAAGACGGCGCACTGCTTCGTACCCCACTTCGAGGAGGGTGACTCCCGGACAGCGCTGTCAAAGCTCAGCTGGGAAAGTGTGGACGACCCCGTCTTCAAGCTTGACGACAACACGCTCAAGCCCCTGCCACCGCCACCCGAAGCCGACGTATCCCTCCCCTACGACATCTCCAACCTCCGCAACTACAGCTTAGCCGTCAGCGGCGACGTCTTCCGCTGGATCGTCGACTTCGCGTCCGAATTCATCCTCCGCGAAATGCTCGTCTGCGGCCAAGTCTTCGCCCGCATGTCCCCCGATGAAAAGCACGAACTCGTCGAGAAGCTTCAATCCATCGACTACTGCGTCGGCTTCTGCGGTGACGGCGCCAACGACTGCGGTGCCCTCAAAGCAGCCGACGTAGGTATTTCCCTCTCCGAAGCCGAAGCCTCGGTTGCCGCGCCCTTTACATCCCGCCAATTCGACATCTCCTGCGTTCCGCAAGTCATCAAAGAAGGTCGCGCCGCCCTCGTCACGAGCTTCAGCTGTTTCAAATACATGTCCCTCTACAGCGCCATCCAATTCTGCTCCGTATCGTTCCTCTACGCCAGCGCGAGTAACCTCGGCGACTTCCAATTCCTTTTCATCGACCTGCTGCTCATCCTGCCCATCGCGATTTTCATGGGCTGGTCCGGCGCCTACCCGATCCTCAGCCGCAAACGGCCCACTGCCAATCTCGTGTCAAGAAAGGTGCTTACGCCTCTGTTGGGCCAAATGGTCCTATGCATCCTCGTCCAATTCATCGCCTTCCACTACGTCCAGAAACAGGAATGGTACATGCCCCCGGTCCTGGACCCCAACCACAGCAACAGTCTCAACAGCCAGAACACTGCACTCTTCCTAACAAGTTGCTTCCAATACATTTTCTCCGCCGTCGTCCTCAGCGTAGGGAAACCTTACCGCGAACCCATGGGTCGCAACCTCCCTTTCATTACCACCATCTTCGTTACCCTCGCCATTACACTGTACATGCTGTTTGACCCCGCGGCCTGGGTTATGTCAGCCATGGAACTGACGTTCTTGGATACTCCTTTTAAGGTTTTTATCTTGGCGTTGGGACTTGGGAACTTCGCGGCGGCGTATGTGGGCGAGAATATGCTGTTTCCCGGATTGAGCAAGTGGATTGGCGTGGCGAAGGTTAGGTTTGGGGGCGTGGGCATGCAGAAGAAGAGGAAGGAGTATAAGGTTATTGCGGAGGGGATGAGGATGTGAGTTAGTTTTGGGGTGGATGGTATTGAGGAGGTGGGAAGGTTCGGGGGGATGTGTGTGTATATATTGGGACTGGGGTCTGGATAGACAAGTAAAATATTATGGGATTTTGTTGTTAAGTGTGCTTGACCTGGCTGAAATATAGAACTCTTATTCTTCGTGCGTCGTGCTGTTCTTGCGGAGATGCTTCTCTGCCTGAAATCACAGTGAAGGCGCGGTATCTCACTTTCACTTCTCCTCGTCGCCCAGTGGCTTATCTTAACTACTTTCTCTCACAACCTTCTGTCTCTTTCTCTACATCGCCACCCAACGTTCTTCTATCGGACGCTTCGCACGGAACTCAATACACATCACTTTCAGCCGTCCTCAGAGGCAAACCCGTCTTCAACAACCAATATGCCACCCAAGAAGAAGGTTACTGAGGATGGTGCCGACATTGGCGGCGACGGCGTAAGTACCACAATAGTCACTCACATACACACGCCTACTAAAGCCCTCCCAGAAATTCTGCTGGACCCCCGAGAACGAGCGCACAGTAAGCCCATACCCTCATTCCCATCCTCACGCCTTACTAACCACACCCTCAGCTTCTCCTGCTAGCCATGAACCGCGGCACCCTCACCAAAGACGACTACTACAAGATGGTCGGCGCCTTCCCTGGTCCTGGTAAGTTTCCACTCCCCACTCCCCATTATCTGTGATACTAACGTACGACTCATTAGCTGGCACTAACTGGGACGCTATCCGCCAGCGGTTCATCAAGATGCGTAAGGAGCAGCGTGCGCTTTGTGAGCAGCTGGATTGGCCTCTGCCTAGTGGCGCAGAGAAGACTCCTAGGAAGACTCCGAACAAGTCGCCTAAGAAGAGGGGTGCGGGTGGTGAGAAGGGTGAGGAGGGTGGGGATGCTGAGGTAGCTGGAGAGATGGAGTCGCCTACTAAGAAGCCGCGTGCCCGCAAGCCGAAGGAGGAGTTTGTTAAGAAGGAGGTCGAGGAGGATGATGGGCTTGGTGATATTGAGTCTGACGAGGACCTGAGCTCTTGTCTCTCCAAGGGCTTTCGAGTCTGATATGACCGTTGACTGAATGCTTGCTGGAGGCGTTGCTTGGCGAGGAGTTCTGAGTCTCTGGACTACTGAGATGTCAAGCATAGGAGCGCATGATGAGCTATACTGATTCCTCATGATACGAAACTTCTGAGCCGGCACTGCCTCGTACATGGGCAACATAGTAGCATAGATGCACTCTACACTATCTGCGGGATTTGATCCGCCTAAAAAATGCCATCTCCCAAATCCGTCTTCTGTGGTTTCCATCTTCTCCGTGTGTATGCGCAAGGCGAAGGTGAGCTTGAAGTGAATCAGTCTGCACGGATCTAGATTGAATCTCACTCTCACTATTCTCAGTCCCGCACTTTTCAACGTCTAGTTGAAGGGCTCCCCCATATCTTCTCCTCTCTGCTCTCTTTTTCCTTGACCACGCTGCCACTCTCTTATGCCATCTACCAGCCCACACAAACCCAACAACCCAATTCCATTCCCACTTCACACGAAACAACTGCAAGAGTGATGCCCCCTAAGAAGAAGGTCGCGGCAGCTGAGGGCGGCGAGGCCGAAGGCGGTGTACGTTACTCAATTCCCGCTGATCACCTTGCAGCGGTCTGAACTAACATGCATGACAAGGCATTCCGCTGGACACTTGAAAACGCAAACAAGGTAGGCGGCCATTTCCTACCCATGCTGAGCCTTGAACTGACACAACCAAACCAGCTCCTCATCCTGACCCAAGGCCGCTACCTCACGGGCGAAGACTACGAGCGTCTTGTTAGTGTCTTCCCAGGTACGTCTCTCCTCTCTTTGTCCTTCACACCCACACCCGCATACCCATCACCCACATCCATATCCACATCCACACCTACCCCCTCCGATCTTCCCTCCAAACCACCCCATCCCATTAACACACTGCAGGAACAAACCTCAACGGCGTAAAAATTAAAGTCTCCCGATTCCGCGTCGAGCAACGCAAGCTTTTCGACGAATACGGCTGGACGCTTCCTGATGGCGGCGCTGTCTTGAAGAAAGGTGGTGGAGCTGCTACGCCGCGCAAGACACCCGGTAGCAAGAAGAGGAGCGCTGAAGCTGTCGATGGCGCAGATGGTGAGGAGGAGGACGAGTTGGCTACACCAACCAAGAAACCGCGCGGCAGGAAGCCCAAGGCGAAGAAGGAGGATGTTGAAGAGGAGTATATTTCGTCTGGCGGTGGTGAAAAGCGTGAGAGTGTTGGTGTCAAGGAAGAGGTTCTCGACGAGGAGATTGAGGACATGATCTAGGTCATGTTTTCTCTTCTTGTCTTTCTTGAGAGACCAATGGTTCTGCTTTCGTTGCATATGCATTCTGTATCAGATATCAGAAGTCGAAAGTTTAGTGGAACATTGGTGGTCGGACGGTAGTACATCGGCTTTAGTAGACGGGGGATACTGCTTGACGCGCGGTGGAAATGCGCTGAGCACGCTGCCTTGATCGTCTACCCTGAGCAAGAAAACCACACTTCGATGACATGATACTATTGCGTTTGGTGATGAGTATGCTGTTGGTGTGCTTAGACGAATGAGTCAACTTCGTTATGATGCGTGAAGAAAAGACGGATTGAGGTGTTGCTCGACAAGTGTTGTACTGCAGGACTGGGGCATAGAAACCAACTTCCTAAATCCGTAAACTTGTCATGTTCGCTCAGATGGAAGTCACGCTCGGAGTTAACATGTCATACTTCGACAGTCACCCGGATTCATAACATAAAATGTGAGACATGGAATCAGGACACCTATAAGCAAAACAATACCGTCAAGATTCAAATCAACTCAAAAAATTGCACACCTTCCATTACAATCATCTGCCGCACCACCTGGGAGCACCAGCACTATCCAAAGGACTATAGTAATAAGAAACCGCGAATCGAAAAACCAAGAGAAACGACAGACAAGAAAAAGGGCGAAAACTAAATAACAACAAACTACAACGACATGATCCCATATGTTCATGATTGAAAAATATGCTTTTTGCTTTGCAAAACCCCCAAAATGCCAGGTCTTGGAACGGATGAATGAATGGATTGGAGGGTGGAAATATTTGGGCAGTGGGCCCGCACGGGAAAGTTCTGGATCTCTTGTTATACTAATGTCTTAATCTCTACCGTTTCGTAGCATCATTCTTCGTATGCATCGTAAAGGTTCAATCCAGGGTGTTTGTTTGGCGTGTGTAGTAGCGAGGGCCGTTAAGGGACGTTCGTGGTCGTTCATTGGGGGTCGGGTCAGGGCGCCATCGCACGTTTTCGTTTGCGTGTGGGTAAAAGGAGTGAGGATACGTGCGTCGACATTCATTTTCGTTGCGTATTAAAGCTATTGGCCTACGAGGATTTCGACGTTGGATTGACTCGACAGCTCATCGCTGTTGCGATTCTGATGGCCATTCTGGCGGGGGCGTCCGAAGCCTTGTCCGCGTTCGGGCAGAGGTCCACGGGGTTGGCGCGACGGGCGGTCATCGTAGTTTGTGCTGAAAGAGCGGTGGCCGCCAATAGGGCCAGGGGCGTCCCAAGACGTCATTTGGCGCAGAGCACGCGGGCTGCTGTTTTGCGGGTAGCCGGAGCTAAGTTGCATTCGGTTCATTTCGCGCTCTAGCAGGCTGTCGTCACGTTGCGACATTGAGCCCGTCGTGGGGGTGCCGTTGGGGTTGGTGGAACTTCCGCTGTAGCCGAGTCCTTCGAGCGAGATGCCGCCTGGGCGGCCGATGGGGTGGCTGGCGGTTGAGGGCGCGGGCGAAGGCGTGTAGGAGCGGAGGTCAGCGTAGGACTTGGCGCCGCGGAGGTTGGGCACTGCGTTCAGGCCGCCGGGCGAATCGGGGAATCCGAGAAGACCTGATGGCTGCCTGTTGAAGGCGTTGTAGAATCCACCCTCGGCGCGCACATCGCTGAAGTCGGTGGTCGCTGCGCGGTTGAGGTTGCGGCGAGGCTGCTCCATGTGGTTGCTAGGCATCTGTGGCATCGGAGGGCTGAGGCCCTGGTTGTCGTGGACCTTGAAAATGTGCACCTGTCGCTGTTCGCCGGTGCCCTTGGACACATGCGCGAGGCCTAGCTGATGAGCTAGAGTGTGGACGGTGCGGCGTTGGAGAGGCGCCAGATTCGGGGGGAAGGTCATGCTGTCGCGCTCCTTGGTCTCCTTGAACAAAAGCAACTGCGTGTAGAATTGGAGCACTTGGGGGTCGTTCAGGTCGACATCTAAATAGTCATTAGCAATGTTCCCGTCATATAACCTGTCCGCAAACATACCAACAGTCTTTGATGCCGATCCACTTCGCATGGCCGAAACAGGCGAAGGCGATGTAGCTGGCATGTGCGAGGCAAGGGAGCCAAACGAAGCCTGTGATTGCAGACCGCCGCCGAGGGGCCGGTGCTGCTCCTCGAGCTGTCCACGACGTTCACGCTTCTCTCGCTCAATACGCTCCCGTTCGGCCAATGGCAGCATCTTCTTGTACTCGACACGCAACTTCCGGCCGTTGAGTTCAAAGTGGTTCATCGACTCGATAACGGCCGCCGTCTCCTCGGCGGTTGTGAAGTTGGCAAAGGCCAGACCCCTGAAGACGCCGTTGTCGAAGTGGTAGTTGAAGGCATAGGGCAGGGGTAGGCGCAGTTCCGTCATGAGGGAGACGAGCTGCTCCTTCTTAACGGCAAAGGGGATGTTCTTGATGACGATGGCGGTGGGGATGAGCTCTTCGTCGACGTCGTGGCCGTAGCTCGTGTTCTGCATGGCGCTGAGGTTGTTGTTGCCCAGGGCAAAGCTAGGCAGACCTTGGGGCTGCTGGTCCATCCATCCCTACAGGGTCAGTATCGATGCGAGCCAAACGTGGACAGTGTGTTCTTACTGATGGCAGTGCGCTTCGCCCTCCTCCGCGCTGCTGCGACTTGATGCGGGCAGCCTGGGCGCCCCCGAGCGAGCCCAGGCCTTGGTTCTGCGAAAAGGCATTGGTGTTCCAGCCCTGGGGCGCGCCCATGTCGTAGCCGTAGGCGCCGGCGTGCATGGTCTGATTGAGGCGCTCGTAGTTGCGCGGCTGGTCGTACTGGCGCTGGTGGTCGTCTTGCGCGTACATGGTGTTGGGCTGCTGGACCTGTTGGTAGGCGTCGAACTGGCGAGAGGGCATGCGGTGCAGGGTGCCAGAGTGGGGCTGGTTCCGTTGGGCAATGGGCGAGCGCGACGTCGACTGGTCGTACGCCGACGAGTACATTATATGTGTGCTGGGAGGGAGGGCCGGGGCGGTGTTTGGGGTGCGAGAGCAAGAAAATTAACAGCGGAGGTAGGAGTAGCACGTGGTCCAAGCTCGTAATGTCGTGAAATGAGCGGAAGGCGACCGTCGCAAACAGGTCCAGGTCGGATCGGAGGAGAAAAGGGGTCGGCGTGAGCTCGAGCTTGCGTGGTCGAGGGTTGGCTGGCGATGGTAATAATCAGGGATGCCCGGCGGACCCAGCGCAGTCGTCCCCTTTCGAGCCGCACTTTTCGGTGGGACGCGAACAACAGGCTAGCAGACGTCAGAGGGGTTCAATATCGCTAACACGCGACGTGGATGCGTAGGCTGGCTGGATACGACGACGATGCCCGCCGCTTAGAAGCAAAAGTCGACCTGACACCCACTAACGGCGCGGGGAGACGGCTGCACACGTGCACCACGACGACAGCCAGATGTTTCAATAGTCTCGCGCTGAGCGAACGGCTGGCCAGGTCAGGAGTCATCGACTTTGTCATCTTGATTGGCTGACGCCCATCGTAAACCATCTCCCGCTGCACGTCGAGCACCTCTGACCTAGTTCATGTTTGGTATTAAGTTGTGTATACGGCTTGTTCTTCCCGCCGTCTGAAGCCGCTACCTCTACCATGACATCTCTCTTAAAATATCTTCCTCCGCACAGATACGCTGGCCAGAGCCCAACCACGGCCATTACTCATGCCCTCCATGTCGACTCACGCGCCACATCATCGCCCTCCATCGACGGGCCAGCCTCACAAAAGGGCGACAGAGGGATGGCCCGGCGTTCTGGAAGTCGCCAGGTGGCGGGCCGTAGCGTTAGCTCCCTGCCAATAACGTGGAACAACACCACCTATGCTTTTCCCTTCCATCAGACGCCGCTGGCAGGCGTTGATGTCAACGGCGTCGAGACAGGTCAAATCTGCCCCGTCGTGAACTCGAGGGACCTGCTCTTTTGGCCAGAATCCTCCGAGACGCTCGGGGTGCATGATGAGCACACGCGACGTCGTCAGCTGCACCCTGCCACCGGTAATCTCCCCATGTACGGTTCATCGTGCTGCACCCCAGATGTGCAACTGGAATAAGGCTGCATATTCACGATGATCGCTCAAGACATGTTGTTCATATTCTATTGTGGTGTACACATAACTCTGTATAATCTGCACCCGCCCAACAGACGCTGCGCAGTCCACGCCGCACAGCGTACTGACGCATCTCATTTGACAAAGCATCTGAAAGCTAGGCATATACTCGGCCATGGAAGACGATCAGGGACGGCTTCCCGCTTTTATCAAGTTTCCGACTGGCTGAGCACAGCAGATGTGGTTTGTAGGATCGCTTAGCCTGCATGCATAGCTGATCATGTGAATCCGGCCACTGGGCCGAACACCACTCTCGGGCGCGACGTATCGCCATCATCCCTTTTCTGCGGACTCGTTACGCGACAGACGGAAATCGTGGCTGTGCTTACATCAATTGCATACCCCTTCAGTCCTCAAAGTCGAGCAGTCGCGAGAACTCAGTCTCGCCGACGCGTCGGAACTCGGCTCCTGCTGCGAACTGCCCACTTGCTTCCCACGCTTGCATGGTCGCCTGGTCGTATGGCCCATTGATCTCACCTTCTGGTGCGTTGAGCCAGTGGAACTCCCACTGCACTGTTTCCGGGTTCGGGTTCTTCCAATCCTCTCCAGTCTCACGCTTGTACTGCCGCATGATGGATTCGCGGGGGAGTTCGTAAATGTCCTCGACGCCGCGATCAGACAGCCGACTGGCGCATTCGGTTATAGAATCAATCACCTCTTTTGCTTTGATCGCTGCGGCGTCCTGCGACGGATCTGAATCGACTTCCATAGCCTGGCTCTTCTTTTTCTTTGCCCAGTTCTTGGCTGGCTTCTTCGGTGCTGCCTTGCCATATCGCACGAGAGCTTCCATGGGTGTCTCGCCAACGTCCAGATGCGCGATGAGGGTCGATAGAACGTCACTGGTCACGATGGAGTCTTCGGCTCGTTCCCGGGCCTTTCGCTCGGCATCCAGCTTGTCTTGCGCCTCCTTTGCCTTCTTGATGTCCTTTTTCGATATGCCATCCAACCATGAGTCTTGGGCAGCTTCTGGGTCGAAGGCCTTGCGCACAAAGTTTCCGGCTTCGTCAAAACGACCCTCCTCCTGCTCAGCGCTCATGTTGAAAGCATCCAGCTTAGGCGCATGCTTCTTCTTGCCACCTGCACCTATCTCCTCGTCGACGTCGGATGGGACGTGGTCACGCAACTCGTCATCCCCCTCATCGCTACTACTCTCCACTTCGTCTGTTCTGCTCTTCGGACCCTTGGTGAAGTCGACAGCTACGTGACCCCCAGACTTGCTATTCGCTTCCTGACCTTCGATCTCGGCATCGTCCAGGAAGCGCAACTTCTTCTTCTTGGTCTGATCTCTCCGTGATCCCTCGTCCATGTCATCGTCCTTGTCGTCTTCTGCAAACATGTCGTCGTCATCATCCTCGGTTTTGGGCGGCTCGTCCTTGTTGGGTCGGGCTTCTGCGCGCGCCTCGAAGTTCTCCGTGGAGCTATCTGAGTCGTAGCCGTCGATGTTGACCGCGTTCCGCTTGATGCCTGCGCTTTTCCCTATAACGTCAGCCTCGAGAGCAGGATCTTCCTCATCGTCTGCATCCGGAGCCAGCGTGGAGGGGTTGCGCGGGTCAAAGCGGGGTTTCTTGGTCGAATGCTCGTCGCCGTCCATGTGGTGGGTACGCGTGAATTGCTCGCCAGCGCGCTTCGGTCGCGCGGGATTGTATGTTCCACTAGAGCTGGCCATGATGATTAGCAACGTTGCGCGGTATTTCGGCGGAGAGGTTCGGCGGAGAGTGAGTCCAGGCGGCCAGGCAGTGACGTCGGACGCGATTAATTTGAAGCTTGGGCCATGACGCGCTAATCGGAGTTTAGCGGACTTCTCACTGGCTCAAACGGCCCGCTGTACTGCTACCAACCACGGTCGTCATCCCCAGGCCTCTGATCGAATACATATTACTTCCACCACCTGCCCGCCCTTTCCTGATAGTTCCCAACTCATTCACTCTCCGCTCTAAACCCGTTTACCTAACTAATTTCCCACACTCAAAATGGTAAGAGCAACCCCACCACCTTCTTTGTCCTACACTCACCACGTACAGTTCAACCCAAACTTTTACGACCAAGACGATCCCATGGCCATGTACCAGTCCCTCGCCGCACGTCGCGGCGGTGCCCCTCGACGCTTCGATGAGTACTTTCGATGCTATCCCATCGTCATGTTGCCTGGCCCGGAGCGCCACGAGGCAAACCACGGCGGCAAAGTGTTCCTCCCTCCGAGTGCTCTCGACAAGCTCACCAGGCTACACATCACATACCCCATGCTCTTCGAGCTCATAAACGGCAAGGCGGATGGCAAGAAGACACACGCAGGTGTATTGGAATTTATTGCAGAAGAGGGCAAGATCTACCTGCCATACTGGCTCATGGAGACACTACAGCTGGAGCCCGGTGACCTGCTACAAGTCAAGTCGACCGACATCCCTCTCGGCACCTTCATCAAGCTACAGCCACAAGACTCCTCCTTCCTCGAAATCTCCGATCCCAAGGCCGTGCTCGAAAACGCGTTCCGCAACTTCTCATGCCTTACGGTCGGCGACATATTCACCTTTTCGTACAACGACAACGTGTATAGCATAGCAGTATTGGAGGCAAAACCAGAACACCCAAGCAAGGCCGTCTGCACCATCGAGACCGATCTGTCAGTCGACTTTGCTCCACCAGTAGGCTACCAAGAGCCGCAGAGGAACAGTGGCACAAGCACACCCCGTAGCGGAAAGGGCGTCATGAGCGGCAAAGGAGGCACACTACACGCTCACGGCACCATGGCGGACGCGATCAACTACGCTGCTATCGCACCATCATCGACGACCGCAGCCAACGGAGCCAAGGCCACTTCCTCAAATTTCCTCACCACCGGCCACAAGCTGCTCAAGAAGGGCAGCAAGGCGCCCACCCCGCAAGCCTCCACCCCCATCGCAGGACAGTCATCAAACCCACCTCCAACAGTACGACGTACGAACGGCCCGCAGCCGCTCAGACTACCACCTAACAAACTGTTCTTCGGGTACGAGATCAAGCCACTCAAGGGCAAAGAGGAGGAGGGAGAGCAGAAAGAGTCGAAACATTTTGAAGGGTCTGGGCAGTCACTGCGCAAGAAGAAGGGCGATAAATGAGGTAGAAACCCGAGCTGGTGGTGCTGATGGGATTTGCAATTCGGATGTTCCTTAGAGCAGCATTGTGTGGCGCTGATAAAGGGTGCTGGGATAATGACATGGCGCACGGCGTTTGATACCTACATTGGAGCTATCTATGGAATCAATGAAGCTCACTTTTTATTGCTCTCTTATGATGGTCTATTCAAAGTTTAGATCTTGGTACGTGCGATAATGTCGACCCGATGTCATGGCTATGCTCATAGGCACAGTGTCGCTCATCTTCGCTACACCACTCCGTGTATAAGACTGCCCGGTTCAATCACTTCCAATCTCCAATACAGGCGGGTGGAAGAGGCGAAGAGGCGGTGGATCTCTCTATCTGTTCTAATCGTCCCATCATGAGCATGCACGTGCCCGATGTGGCAGTCGAGTAGCAGAAGGTAAAGTAATCGTATGTGCGGCTGTCGTCGCTAATTGCTATTTATCACGCCCCGAACTTAGTGTTCGGAGTGAAGGCCCCTGTCGAAGTATTACATATCAGTTCAGCGCGTAGCTTCACGTCATCACCTTATTTCTGTACATGAAACGATTTTGCCCCGACTGAATACACATCCTCAAAGTCAGAGTATCGCTTATGTCCGAAACACTATTCCGTTTATCGGATTGCTCGGGCCACTCGCTGCTGGTCTCCAGCCAATCCAGATCCGCACATCTCACCTCTCCGGAGATGCTTTCTCTGTCGAAGCAGTACTGCGTGGCACATGACTTTGGACCCTGGTTTTTGAGTTGATCTGACACCACATTACTTATCTTGCAACGTACGAGTCAACAAACATTATACCAGATCAGGTGATATCTAGAACGTTCGATGGGGAGTCCCTGGTATGAAAGAGTACTATGCCGGGATGGATCATGATGGGATGCACTGTTGATCGGGGGATTATAGGAGATCTGTCGTAAAGCACGGGAGGTCAAGGCACGGATGGGTGGGGGAGGTAATGATGGTCTCTCGTTGGACGTCGTAAGCCCCTGCCATGAAGCATTCCCTGTTCCGTTCTGAATCTCGATGAGTGGCGCTGTTGATCGGGGGATAATATGGGAAATCTGTAGTAAAGCATGGGAATTCAAGGCGAAATGCCATCGTTCCACCTCAAACGGGCCGAATGCAAATCATGCCGGCTGTCATGGGTCGACGTGGCTGGGGGGCGGGATGACAGACTTTTGACGCCCTTATGTCGTTGCAGAACGTGTGTTGAGAGATGCAAATGAGTATGAATACCATGGTGTAAGTCGTCGAAAAGTGGATGATGTTAGCACAACACAACTGACAGGACCCAGAGGATACCGCGAGTCATGCTAGCGTGCGGCTAAGCGAATGACGCTGGGTGCGGTGAAGTCTACTACTGATCTCATCGTGAGGCATTCGTACGCGACAGTGCCGACGCTGCCTTGCACCCCATCCAACCGCTCCCCTCCAGGCTTCCGGCGCATCTGAACACGTTGCGCATACCCTTCGACATCGCCATCACCTGCCTGCCCACCCATTGGCCGCCAGTACCCCGGATTTCTCCACCAAAAGTTAAACGACCCGACTCATCTTGCTCCGCCAAATGCCTGCCTCGCGACGCCCTTCTTGATCACGACGCCGCTGCCTTTCAGAACCGCCTTTTCAGCCGTTTGTATTTGCGCCCTTTGCTGGAACACCCTCCGATCCTTTGTGCGAGTCAACGGACTGTTTCGAACAATCACCCGGTGGTGTAGTAAAACTGCGACAACAAGACAACAATCTGGACTGCGCCGCTACATAATCGTGACGAAATCGCGCAACCTAGGGCCTACCATCAAAAACCATCGCTGACTCCGAGTGTCTGTTGGCACTTCTACGGCTTCGCAATCTGCGCGGAACTGGTAAGGCTGATAGCCGCGCTCGAGGACACGCGAAGATCTTTTCAGGCCGGCGGGATCACCGGATACACACAGCAGACGCACACATCAAACATCTCTCTTGCTCCAGCCACACGAGGCGCGCGAGCACTCATGTCGAACCGCAAGCGGCGCGCGCCGGGTGCTTCACCACAGGCTCCCACTCAGGCGTACCAGCACGACATTCCCGCGACCGACTCATACATGAACTGGAACGACCCCACGGCTGGCGCAGACATGAACTTCACCGACCCCCCGCTATACGATTACAACGGCCAGAGCATGGGTGGAGGCCACAGCCGCGTTGTGTCGCTAGATGGATACAACGACGGCACGGAAATGGCGGGGCAACTGGTACGGCGGAACACAAACCAGCAACTTGCGCCTGCACCACGGCGGAATCAATGGGATGGATTTGCCAGTCCGACGCAACAGTGGGAGACGGTGGATGACGATGAGGAGCTGGAGCAGAAGGCGGCCATCGCGAAGAAGGACGCACAGGCGAAGCGGAAACAGATCCCGCCATTTGTGCAGAAGTTGAGCAGGTGAGTATCTTTACACACTGTACCTAGGACAGTGACTGACGTTGACAGTTTCCTCGATAACAACAAGAATGAAAACCTCATTCGCTGGTCGGACGACGGCAACTCCTTCATCGTGCTGGATGAGGACGAGTTCGCGAGGACCTTGATTCCCGAGCTCTTCAAGCACAACAACTACGCATCCTTCGTACGACAACTGAATATGTATGGCTTTCACAAGAAGGTCGGACTGTCGGACAATTCGATGAAAGCCAGCGAGACCAAAGCGAAAGCACCTAGCGAATACTACAACAAGTACTTCAAACGCGGGCGACAAGAATTGTTATGGCTGATCCAGAAGCCGAAGAATCCTGTCACCGGACCTAAGCGGAAACGAGACGAAGAGAACAAGGGCGATAGCGACGAGGACCGCAAGTACATTCAAGATACAGGGGGCGGAGGCTATGTTGAGGAAGTAGCCGTCAGAGGGAACGAGCAGATGGCCATGATCCCACGATCCGAGTACAACAGCTTGCGGGTTGAAGTCAGGGAACTCCAGCAACAACAGAAGCTCATCTCCAATGTCCTTACCCAGATCAAACGCCAGAATGAGGAGCTTTACTCCCGAGCGACATCCTTCCAAGCGCTGCACGACCGCCACGAGAACTCCATTAATGCCATTTTGACATTCCTCGCCACCTTCTATAATAGGAGTCTAGAGGGTAACGCGAATATGAATCTGGCAGACATGTTCCCCACGGCACGACAACAACATCACGGCAATGTTGTAGACGTTGACGACTATCCTATGCAAGAAGCGCAAAAGTCACCGCAATTGCAAAGGAATAAGAAACCGCTTGCCATTTTACCAGCGCCAGCTCCAAACCAGCAAGACTACCTCGCTCCAACGACGACAGGCCGCGCCACGACCATGAGCCCAACAGCCCGGCCACTCGCTAGTCCCATTACACGGCCTGGCAGTCGACAATCAGTGTTCAGACCCTCAGTATCGATGAATCGCCAACAATCCCAGTCCTCATTTCCCCAGCAAGCCAGAGACAGCATAACCCCCTCTCAAGTCAAACCTGACCCCGCCTCCAACCTAGGGCCACTAGCCGACAACTCCGCCATCATGTCCGCCATCCAAAACGCCAACGCCACAGCAACCAACCACTCCGGCACATCGCAACCCCCACCTTCAGACTTCGACTACGCCGCCGCTTTATCAAATTACCAAACCCAAGACGGCCATGTCCCTCTCACCCCACAACAACGCAACGATGTTCTCTCCCAAATCGTAAACAACACGTCCGCCCAAAACACAAATAACGCGCTTACCAACCCGCATCCGCCTGAAATGGACCGCTTGCTGGGTGATCTGGCGCAGTACCAAGCGACGCAGCAACAACTAGAGATGCTACAGAAGTTGTCCGACCAGCAAAACAGCAAGATCCAACACATCCACGAGAGAATCCTGCCGCTATCCCCAACCGGCCAGATCTCCGGCTTAGGCGAGGGCAACGACGGATACTTCGGCGGCGCAGGTAACGACGACGGCGGCCTAGGCGAACCCGGCGGCTTCGACCTCAACATGGGCCATTTCGTCAACGACGACGATTTCTTCACCGCAGACGCGAATCCCCCACCAGACCAAAAAGCCACAAACGGGATTAATACCAACACCAACGGCGGGGGGCTACCTGATTTCACATTTGATGACAGTACGCCGTTTGATGTTGATCCGGCGAACGGCAATGCTGGCTTCGATTTTGCGGATGAGACGAATGGGATTGGGGGGGAGGATCCCGGGTTGCTTAATGTAGATGATGCGACCACTGCGACAGGTGGTGCAGGAAAGATTGAGAGTACGGCGAGTGGGGGGAGTAGTAATAGTACTAGTCCCGCGGCGACGGTGGAGGAGGTGGAGGATGAGACGAGGAGGGGGGCGGGGGGTGGGAGTGCGAAGAGGAGGAGGAGATGAAGGTCGTTTTATCCATGTGAGGGAGGTGTGAGAGATCGTACACAGAGGAACAGAGCGGAGGGGGAAGTGTTGTATGTGTTGTGCAGGATTACGACAGTTATGATCCCGGTGGGAAGTTTATCAGCCGCGCTTTTCGCTGGCGTTTTCTACGGACATGTTTTGAGATACATGCACATGTCCTGTTAGCTTTCTTTCTTCGTAGTGTAAGGAAGGAATATTAGATACCCCACTTCTTCATATGGTTGTGTTTGCTTGTGTTGTTGGAGATGTAGTGATCTATTGATAGATGGCATGCATTAACGCATTCGGGGTCGTGATTTCTGAGTCGTAGGCAAGTCGTTCGTATTTATCACTGGGGCAGGTGCGATTGCCTAAGAATGACTGCAGTTCCTATATAGATAAGAGCATTTTGCTCTACCATTGTAGAAAAGCTACAAATAGAGTGTACGCAATGTCACCTGCTAGTGTCAGAAAAGAAGTTGGATATTCGAGAAAGGTCTAATGCGTCTTAATAAGTGTTGAAAGCAAAGAGCTACGCTACAAGTAGTTTGTAAAGATGCGAAGAACGATGATACGTTTTGTTGATGTGAATAAACATCTAAGATGATCATGTGCCGAAATCTTGGGGATGCTTCCCCAATACTGATGAACATACGTTGCCGACCTCCCCATTGCACCGGTCGCATGTTCGTTTAGTCACTGCTAAAGAGGCGTCAGACTACCTATTCTCGAACTCCGTAACAAGTCATATTAGTTGCCTGCTCGGCTATATAGGTGAAGACTGGCTATTCCCCAGCAGATCGTGCCCCGCGGTATCTCTATATCTATTCCACTCAAGATCGAGCCACTCCTGCTGTCCAAGACTTTCGAACAAACTCATAATCTCCTCGTTGGGTCTCCATTCGCCAACCTGCCACTGCACCACCGGTGGTGTTGGTGCCGCAGCAGCATCATCTCCATCTGTTCGCTTGCCACTACCACGCCCAGCAATGAACTTGACACCCCATCTATGCCCCTTTTTCATGCGCAGACCATATTCTTCTACTTCTCTTTCGTCTCCAGGACGCCACCACAAGTGCGTGAACATCTCCGCGTCCTCAATATATGGCATATTGTCGCGAGCCAGAGACTTTGCAAAGGCTGCAAGTAGGGGCTCGATGCGCTCCCTGCAGGGCTGGATGCGAAACATGTCTACATCATATTCGGGTCCATCTGTCACTTCGTAATCATACTGCTGGTGGAGATCCCCGCACTCATCCGGGTCGATCGCGCGGGGGTAGTGTCTTGTATCTGAGATCTTGTACCCTCCTTGTTCAGAGTCGTGGGGATCCTCGCCACGGGGACCGACAAAGTACCACCGCCCGTCTGGACGCAGGGAATGGAACTCAAGTCTGAATCGCCGCATCTGTGACCATTGCTGGGAGGTTGGTGCTTCGAGACTGGGGAAAAGATCTGGAGTTACCATGGCACGTACGTCGAAGATGCTTAGCTGCGCACCGAGCTTACATAGGCCGATAGAGACTGGATCCTTGTTTGCGGGATGGATCAGATTTGGCCGCGCTATGGACTGGTCATGCTTGGGGAGCGAGAAGAAAGGCCAGAAGTGGATTGCGGCTTTTGTCAAACTGGCGGGGATCCTTCTGCCGCATAGGTACCTCTCCTGGTCCATGATGGCAGCGCCGAACTCGTGACGGGCGTCTCGTAAGGGGCCTTCCCACGGCCAGGTCCAGTGCTCGCGTATCACCCTACTCGAGCTGGCGGAAGGCATGGGTCGCTCCCATAGCCAGCGGGCGGTCCACTCTTGGACAGCTGGCAGGTGGACAAGGCATTGCAGCGGTACGAGGGGAGATAGAGGGCGTATGTCTCTCGCGGTATCGGCTTCGGAGCAGCTACTTGATCTAATGGACAGGCTGCTTACAAAGGGTAGATCTGGTAGTGTCTCGGGGTTGTGCAGCTGCAGGCGGCGCGAGTGATGCCTGCGATGGTAGCACACCAGACATTCTAGGTCGTCTGTGTCAAATCTCTGTGTCTCGATTTCGAGACTGAGGGTGATGCTGGCTGGCGGATTCTCGACTGTTTTATACGCAGCGGCACTCTGCTCGTAGAAAGCATGGATGCGTGCGGATACGTGGGCGCTGATGGCGAGGGTCTCCTCTGCAGGTTCATGGCATGGCAGTGGCGGCTCCGCCTGTTCATCGACGAGGATGAGCGGTAGTGGGAGCCAGTATTGTGAACCCCCGTACTTTTCGTTGAATGCTGCCTTGGATTGTTCGAAGAGCTCACGTTCGAAATCGGGGTCGGTCTCCCGGAGCGGCATATTGGTTCATAGCTTAGCATGCTACCGCCATACTGCGTTGCAGGCTCTCCGCTTAGGCCCCGCCTCTAGTCTCTTGTTAGAAACGCAGACGCACGTGGGCGGCTCCACGCTGCACTTGATCTCACACATCGCTGCACTCGCCTCTGCCGTGACTGAAGTTGCTCCTGCGGCATAATGTGCATGACTCAGCCGCCCGTTTGCGAGTCCGGCCCGTCCAGACGGGTAGCCATCAGTAACGCCGTCGCTCATGGTAGGCCAGACGGGTAGCCGTGGTGACGGGAGGGTTGACGGGAATGGTGAAAGTGGTGACGGGAGTGTAGTAACGGGAGTATAGAGGTATAGATAGCAACATGGCTGTTCGGGGCCGGCATCGCACACCATGAGCGCAACACTCGCACCCCCCAGCGTCGACGTCGGCGCCCTGTCGCCCGCAGCCGCCAAGTCACGTGCCTCCACAGCCGCGAAGAAGCAGACCCCGACGGCCTTGGTCTCGCTGCTGTCCGGTGCCGTCGCGGGCGGCGTCGAGGCCACGGTCACATATCCTTTCGAGTTTGCCAAGACGCGCGCCCAATTGCAGGCCGGCACCGGTGGCTCCAAGAACCCCTTCGCCGTGGTCGCTCACGTCGCCCGCACCCATGGCGTCGGCGCCATCTATACAGGCTGCTCCACGCTGATAGTAGGCACCGCCTTCAAGGCCGGCGTGCGCTTCCTCTCCTTCGACTCGATCCGCAACCGCCTCGCCGACGAGCATGGCGTGCTGTCTCCCGCGCGCGGCGTGCTGGCCGGAATGCTGGCCGGCAGCGTCGAGAGCATCGTCGCCGTCACGCCCACGGAGCGCGTCAAGACGGCCCTGATCGATAACGCGAAGAGCACCACTGCCGCGCGCTATCGCGGGGGCTTCCACGCTACCAAGATGATCCTGCAAACCCACGGCCTGCCTGGCCTGTATCGCGGGCTCGTGTCCACAACCATGAAGCAGTCGGCCACCTCTGCCGTCCGCATGGGCTCCTACAATGTCTTGAAGGACTTGTCGCGCCAGAACAACTTGCCGCAGAATAGCTTCGTCACGTTCGGGCTGGGTGCCATAGCCGGCACCGTTACCGTGTATGCAACACAGCCGTTCGATACCATCAAGACGCGCGCCCAGAGCGCACAAGGCGCAAGTACAATGGAGGCCTTTTGGAGCGTTATGCAACACTCCGGTGTACGCGGTTTCTGGAGTGGCAGCACTATGCGACTGGGCAGGTTGGTCTTCAGTGGCGGCATAGTCTTTACCGTATATGAGAAGCTGGCAGCTCTTATGACTCCATCATCGTTATAGACGTCGGGCAATGTTTTTTAGTGGCGTTGATTGATATCCATAGAATTTGGCTTTGCGCCATGTCGTCTAGTGTTACGATAGATACTATTACTACTACTACCACCATCACCACTTTTTCTATGAAATCGCATGCCGCTGAACACTAGCCGAAGACTAGATGTGACATCATGATCAGATATCTGTGTATAGATGCGCTATGCCGTGTAACTTCGCTGGCTTTGACAGAGTAGTTGCGTTGTGTTGTGTTCTGTAGTCATAGTACAATCCTGACTGTGCACCATCCGACGTTCTAGTGGTGTCGGGTACTTTGAGCGCCTCATCTGGTCCGATAACCGACAGGCTGGTACAACGTCGTGTAGCGCACGTGGCCAACGGCGCATCTTCTCTTGTCTTTCGCGAACGGCGCATCTTTTACTCTGCAAACTCCCGCGGCAGTGCCATGCGAAAGGCGACTCCATGGAATTTGCAGTCTAACGTCCAGCCGCGGAACGGCAAGGGCTACACATCCCGCGGCAACGCTCGCGGCTTCGACCTACCCGCGGGAAGGAAGGGCTCGCTTCGGGGCATGGCGTGTCAACAACGCTCCGAGATCCTTCGCGTACCGGCATCCCCTCGCTCTAGCTTCTTGGAACCAGCCTTAGTTGCCAAACGGCAACTGACAGTGGCGCATGTCCAGCGCCATGGTTCGTGGTTTCCTGGGGCCCCGCATTCCCCAGGCCTGCTCGCATTCTTAGCCTTTTCTCTAGACCCTTGGTATGCCTGCTAGACGTCTTTGGCAACCAAATCCGTAAGACGGCCCGCGACCAAGCGTGCAAAGGCTTTCAAATGGCCGATTATCTATATAACGACGAGGTGGGTGTCGTGAAGATCCATCATCAACTCACAACTAGGTCATCGGCGCACTCGACTCAACAACATGACGAACACCGACGAGAAGATGACGAATACCGACGTGAAGATGGCAGATGCCGAGTTCAAGGAGGTAGCTCCCGAATCGCATCCCATTACACCGCAGCAGATCCAGGCTCGCTTCGAAACATTGAAAGATTTGAGCCAAGAAGAAATGGATGCGTTGAACAAAAGACTTGTCAAACGACTTGATTGGAGACTCATGCCATGCATCACTCTCATGTTTCTCATGAAGTATGATTCCCAAAGTGTACTCCTGTATCATCGGGCTTACCAAACCTAGCTACCTCGATCGCATCAACGTATCCAACGCACGCCTGGCCGGGCTGCAAGAGGACTTGCACATGACCGACACCATTTGGAATACGGGTATAGTATGTTCTTCCCGCCGCCACAAGCTTTACCCCTACATATGATGATTTTGAGAACATACGCTGACCTGGTACCTCTACCTCCAGTCAACCTTTTACGTTGGCTATCTTGTTGGCCAACTTCCCGGTAACCTGTGGCTTGCAAAGGCGGACCCAAGATGGCTTTTACCGTCCATGATGATGGCTTGGAGTATCGCCACAATCTGCATGCCGGCTATGACCAGCGGAGCTGGCTTCGCCGTGTGTCGCTTCTTCATCGGCTTGTCTGAAGCGCCTTTCTTCCCCGGTATCACACTAAGTATGTTCCCATGCATCAGGCCCACATTTGACGACCTCGAACTGACTGACGGGTAATAGTGACATCTTCCTGGTACACCAAAGAGGAGAATCCCATGCGCATGGCTATCTGGCATGCGGGAAATACCATGTCGAATATCTTGTCTGGCTTCTTGGCCGCCGGCATCTTGACAAACATGGACGAGGTTCTCGGACTCCACGCCTGGCAATGGTTCTTCATCATCGAGGGCGCTGCATCTATTGTTGTGGCCGCCGGTGCCTACTTCCTGCTTCCTTCGTGGCCGCACAACACCAAATGGTTGACCGCGGAAGAGAGCGAAATGGCCATGTACCGCGTTCAAGTGTCCAACGGCGGCCATGATGAGGGCGTCGGTGGCACGTGGGATGGCGTCAAGGCTGCAGCCGCTGATCCATTTACTTGGTACTTCTGCCTGATGCACTTCTCGCTCGTAACAGCCCAGAGCTTCAAGGATTTCCTGCCATCGGTACGTTCCCATGTCCAGCGCCATTGTGCTATTGTATTCCCAGCGGCTAACCCTGAGAAAACAGATCATGAAGACATTCCACTTCGACCAACTCACTACCTACCTCGTTCAGGCCCCTCCATATGCCATCGCCTATGCCTTCGCGTGCGGTATGGCGTACACATCCGGCCGCTTCCAAGAATCCTACTACCACATCGTCCTACCCATTATCATGAGCGCAGTCGGCTGCGCCACGCTCATCGGCACCCTGAACGTAGGTGCGCGCTACTTTGGCCTCATCCTGCTCATCAGCGGTACCTACTCTGGCCTCAACCTCCAATTGAGCTGGGAAACGACGCTCGTGCCTGCCCCCAGGAGTAAGAAGGCGGCCCTTATTGCGATTGCAAACTGTATCAGTCAGACGAGCCATTGGTTTAGCCCATACTTCTTCCCGACGAGTCAGGAGCCGTTCTACCGTTTGGGTGGTGGGTTGATCTTGTTTGGATGTCTGGCTTGTGTGGTTTCGGCGTCGCTAGTCTTGATGCGAGCGAAGTCGCTGAACAGGAAGTTGGATGAGCAAGAGGGCTGGTCCGAGCACACTGGTGTTGAGCGTGGTTGGCGGCATGTATACTAATCGGTTGGGGAATGGAGAATAGTAGGTCGAAGATAGCAAGAAGGATTTTACGAATTTACGAATGGATGTTTACGGTTGCTTTTATGAGTCCTCGTACCAACGATATCAACGCTATTATTGGCAGATAAATCGCTATAAAGCCTCATACTGCCTACACCGTAAGTGGTAGTGCTGGTCACGAAGTTGCTGAAAGAGTTTGCTTGATAACGTGATGGATGGCCTCGGAAGTCTTGCAGTTGGGTCTTTGCTTAGTAAGAGAAGTTAGGGCTGACGTCGGGTGGTCAGTGCTTCATTCCACTTTCGTCCCGAGGTCGCGTCTGACATTGTCACCCCCTGCACACATACGACACCACGAAGCTTGTTGCTTGTCCACAAGGATGCTGATGAAAAGACGTACGAATCCTTCTTGCCACTACGCTGCATGCGTCTGCATGCCGCGCACTTTGGGCACTGGAATTTCTGATCTAGCATCGGCACTTTCCTCTGGCATTGAGAGATGCATCGTCGTCAGCCCGTGCTCACAGCACAGATGCCGCCGGTAGCGCACTGCGGTTGTTGCCTTCTGGTGATCTAATCTCAGCTCTGCTCCCTCCGAACGAACCACAAGCCACAGCTGTCCTGTGACCGCGAAGCCATGTGCGCCGGTGAGACATCACCAGGATCATAGCAGGCGGCTCTGGACTGTCATTCGGTAGCCAAGAAGCATACCTGGACGTAAACTACGAGGTTTTGCTCCGTGGCTTCGTGTTCGTCGTCGTCCTCCTTACTCGCACGCGGGTGTCTGCGGCCGATTGAGAGATACAGCTCACAGCACCAATGAAACTGTATCTCGTAGGCGTATTCGATGATTTGACTAAGCTGATCAGCTTCTTTCGACATCTCCGCTAAGCGCATCAAAGGAAGAACAACCGCTATGCTTCACACCAGGCAAGGATCATATCCCACTAGCCCCGAGCTTCGAGACGGTGCCCTCAGAGCTTGCTCATCGCTGGTGATGCGATCTGTTCAAAGGGTCATCTCCCCTCATAAGCCATCTTTTGGACTTCTTGAGGTACTCATGTATCTTTTCATTGCGTTCCACGTACCTTGCGCCACCCTATTTCAAGACGACGCCACCATCGGACCGAACACTAGCCCCACAGTATGTGTATTCGGGTAGTCGAGAAGTTTCCTGTTTGCGGATGTATCTACCACACGCATTCGGTGGATCGATGCGCTTACTATGGACGGCATCCTGTGGTTGACAGAGTCGTCTGGGTTGGGGCTGCTTGTCAGAATCACAAGACGTGCTGATATCAGGTACGTGCATAATTTCATATGTATCTGGTGTCTCGTTCTACTCGGTATCAATTGAGATTGCAATGAGTATGGTCAGCACCTCCAGCATCAGGGCGATGTCGTCTTGGGGTAGGATATTGACTTAAAACCTCGGTGGTCAAGTGGGAGGCTTTCACACAGAGATAGGTAACAAGGCGCTGACACACTATGATCTGTATGCTCGCGATTGGATCCAAAGGACATTGTGCTAACATATGGATGCAGAACACGGCTAGAGTCACGACATTCACCCTCTCGTCATGACAAGAGTCCGCAGGAAGGGATGTCTGAGTACGGTCGATCGCCAACTTATGGTTGATCACTATCGTTGGACCAATATCGGAACCATGCGCTACCACTCTGAACAGCGCCCTCCTCACTCCAACTTGAAACGCCGTCAGAGCTGCGACTACGTTGTGCGCCATTCATCAAAACAACTCCTACACTGCTTTTCGAACGTTGGCGACGAGTAAAGAAGGTCGCAAAAAGATGGACATGACGTCCGCCGAAATGGACGTGGCGAGTGACAGCCTACGTCCATCACTCACTGCTGCACAATGTTCTGGCGCTTGGGATACCTCTCCTCGTCATGACGGCTCAGACTTGTGACGACGTCTTCTCCTCTCCCACGTTCTTCGCGCCTTCCCGTACGACTCGGCTCACTGTTCACGGAAACACCGGCTGACGACGCATGACGTGACCGACTGCGGCTGTGGAATGTTCGGATACTCTGCATAATCCTATGGGCAGTCGCACGACTCTGTTCCTGAGGCCGAGAACCTCTGCGAATATCTCCACTGTCGCTAGTCTCTGACCGCTCGGGCGGGGCGGGCTGGATGGAAATACTCCTCGTCTTCGCAGCACCGCCGCTGTATACTGAAGAAGATCTCGACGTAACATGTCGACGCGATCTCGGCTGGTCGACGAAAGGGAAAGACTCTCCGGTCACCAAGCGTGCTGTCGTAACGCTCGCGCTACGGAATCTGGGCGGACTCTCCACAATAGTATCGAGGCTAGCTGAGGTGCGGCACTGCTCAAGATGGACTGGAACCGGCTCGTCCACAGGTGCATCGGGAATCTCTTCATCTACCATCAATGCCATTCTCGCTAGATCGTTAAGCTCGTCTTCCAGCGTCTTTCTCTCCAGGGCCTTTCCACGGACCTTTCCACGGTAGTCGGTCGGCAGTAAATGCAAGGTCGAGATGGAAGTGCCAATAGCACGCTCCACGCACTCGAGGCGCTCGATATCGCGCCTCAGCTCCTGCTGCCCCAAGAGCAAATATTGCAACGTGCCGACATCGGATATCGTTCGCGGATAATTGGATCCACACGACGTGTTACGCGGTGCCTGGAGATTGTGACCATAGTGGCACCTGAGTGCCTCGACAACCTGTGGAGCTTTCCTCAAGATTCTATCTTCTTCCAGCACAGCCTCGAGCATTGTTCTGTTGTTGTCATAGTGCATGCCTCGCGCTTTGAGCGAATCATCTTTGAGTGGCAGGTCTTTGCTCATACTAGCCATTTCTACAGATTGAAGGCTGTGATACTTTGACCGGTATGTCCAGGGCGTGAAGATGCTTGGAGAAGGTAGCTTGTTCCTCAGTCGTTCGTGCAGCGGTAAATTGACGTACTTGCAGCGGTCACAGGTCGACGGCGGAGATGCATCGGCATCTGGGTCGTCGATACAGATCGCCCGCTTCCTTCGATCCTCGTTCAAGACCTCTGTGTCGTCGAAGAAGACGCCTTCGACTTTGTGCTTGGGGTAGACGCTGTTGATGAGGACCTGCATGACTTTGTCTCTGTTGGCTTTTCGCTCTGAGAACTCTGGCGGCTCGCTGTGCTTGGAGCGGGAGGGCATCTTGCTGCGGTGGTAGTCAATGTTGTCAGAGGGGTAGCCTAGGACTGTGAGATGGCATTTGTCAGTATCATCACACTGAAAGCATACATGGAGGAGGGATAAGAGAGGACGTACCTTGCTTCTTCTCTCGAAGTGCATCATCACCTGCTTCGTTCACGTTGGTTAACACACCATCCCAATATACCCTCGCCTCCTCTTCTTGCCCGGCATCGGTTGACGCGAGCCAGAAATCAGATGGTGCGACAGGGGGGCTGACTGCAACGACACCCTCCTTCTCCCTATCCAAAAGTTTCTTCGCGTCACGTCGATTGCTCGCCTCAGAACCCGGAGGAAACACCCCCTTGGGCCAAGACACATTCGGTATCTTCGACGATACAACATCTTCATCCTCTTCCTCGACAAAATCTTGTCTCACCCCCGAATTCGCACTCCCACTCCCACCCCCACCCTCACCCCCCTCCCCAACCCCAACACAAAACTTCTTCGTAGCAGCATCATAGTACTTCCCAAACGGACTCAACGTCGGATCCACAGACGTCCTCCGTCCCTTCGTCGCACCACGCGTAGGTGAGCGGGCGGATGCGGTGCGTGCTTCGTAGGACGCGATGCGGGAAGAGAGGAGGTTGCTCTGGCTTGTGCTGGGGCTCGGAGTGGGATTGACGTTGACGGTTCTGGGTAGGCGGGAGGGAGTTGGTGGGGACGATGGGGTGTCTACTAAGGCGGCTTTTCCTTTCCCTTTGGTACGGGAGACTTTGTTGGTGCTGGGGAAAGGTGGGGGTGGTGAGGATGTGGAAGTTTCGGGGGTGTCGTGGAAATGGGAGGGGGTGGAGATGGAGGTTGAGGTTGAGGAGGATGGGGATGGTGAGGCGGAGGCGGATGGAGATGGCCATGGGGAGGAGGTATAGGTGGTTGCGTTGGTGTGGGTTTTGGGTAGACCAGTCGAAGATGCGGATGGGGTGGCGGGGAAGACGAAGTCTTCTTCTACAGCGGCGGCTCGAAACTTTAGGGTGTTGCGTCGGAGCATGGTTGCTTGCTCACGAGTGAGTGTGGTTCTTGTGACGAGAGGAGTGGCAGGGAAATGTGAGACGATGTCGTGCCGTCTTGTATCCCTTTGTGTTGGAGGGTACAAAAGACAGGAGTTCAGTGTTGTGAACTGAGATGAACAAGGAGGAAGCGTTTCCTCGCAGTGCCACAACAGGGCGGACACCGTCTTTACAAAACCTCTCTCATCTACCCCTCAATGGACCATTTCCACCTCATTACTGACATGTCGATGAGCTGGTTTAAGTATCGGGGTGCTGTGCTGATGTCGTGGATGGGTAGGTTTTCGGGATCAGGGTCATGACGATGTAATCACGAGCCTCAACATTGTTAACGCGGAGGCCCAGCAGGCGCGCTCAGGTTGTGTGTACAAGTCTACCATGAATGAAGGCAGTAGATTAGTGTCCAGAGAAGTACACGGACAGACTGTCTAGCGAGGGAGGTAAGTAGCGAAGTCTGCATATCCTCGACCTGCAATGTGTAGATCAGGCGTGAACATGAAAAGCTTGGTACAGAGAGGGTTCATGTAAGTGTAAGTACCAATTCCTTCAGACACAAGGGTTCACGACCATATTTCCAAATTGTCATACATCACCCAGACCCTTTACCCCTTTTCGTCTCACACCTTCCTCCACATCACGTGTCAATACATGGAAAGAGAGACCATGATCACTGCATAGCCATAATATCGTTGCAACTATATGTACACCAAGAAATCTACCACTGTGGGGTATTGAACCTAAGCCAGAAGAACCGTAAACTCATGATGCCCGCTTTCGTATGCTTGCCATAACACCCGTAAAAACTCCTACTAAACACCCTTGACCCGCATGTCGAAGCTCCTTCCAATCGGACCCGGATAACTCTGGAGACCCAAAATTCGTACGGCACCTGAAACACATATAGCCAAAGCCCAACGCCGAAGTTGAAGCCGAAGCTCACCGATCGCTTTTCCACCTCCTATCACCATCCCTTCACATCAGGCGCAAAGCCTTCACCACCATCTTACTTCCACAAATCATCTAGTAAACCTCCCCATGTTCCTCCTTCGGTTTATACATGATCGTAGTCAAAAACTGTCCACATATTAGCATCATGCACCCACCCCACAAACGTCATCAAACATACCTTCTGTTTATACCTCGTGGTAGCACTAGTAGCCAAAATGTTATCCTTGATACTGCTCGTCGCAAGATGATTCAGCACGGTATGATTCGGATGAATCAACACGCTACTATCATCCTTCATCGGCGTCGTCCCGTTGAGTATGCTCTTGCCAAGGAAACCGGGGAGTGAAGGTGGCGCAGGCAGGTTATTCGTCATGGCGTTTGCGCGCGCAAAACGGGATGATTCCTCAGGCGCGTCGAGATCGAGGAGGTAGCGCGGGATGTTTTGGTGATATTTCTTCGTAGGTTCAGGGACAACGGGTTTGGCTGGTTCGATCGGGGGCGCGGTTATCGAGGCGGGGTCTAAGTCCGGGGTGGGTGGTAGGACTTGGGGTGGGTACATGCCGGCTGGGGCTTCGCGTTCTTGGACGGGGGTTGCGGCATCGAGGGGGTCGGTGGTGGGGGCGTCTTTTGTTGGAGGGCTGGCGGGGAGGGGTGTGAGTTCGGGGTAGGGGACTTCGATGTAGTTTACGAGGATGTTGGTGTAGTCTACGGCGGTGGGGAGCTTGTCGCTTGTGCGCATGTCGTTGTCGACGAGGAAGGTGAGGTGGTGGGTTCCTGGGGTGACGGAGACGTAGGCGGAGAGGGCATCTTTCTTCTTGCTGGGGCCACTGCAGAATGTGTTAGCATTGTCTGTGTGCAGTGTAACCTCGAAGGAGGCAGATGCAGAATTGAGTTCGACGCGCAAGCCTCGTATACGTCTGCCTGCATCGACCGTTGTGGCCAGCCGCATGGCTGTGCCGCCAATCATCTCTGAGACATCGAAACCACTTACTTGCGATGCAATTTATATTTCCGATTCCACCCCGCAAAAGTCCCCGTAACATAAACCCTCTCCCCACTCCCCTCCCACTCAATAAGCGTCGGCACAGTCGGCCTCCCCTGCCCGGGTCCCTTGAACTCTTCTCCCAAATCCTCATCATCCGCCGTCGTCGTACTCAGCATAGAACTTCTCCGCGGCAACATGCCATCGGCATCGCTCTCGTGGACAGGCGTCCATATTTCCTGGGGCGAGATGATGGGGCTGCCGGGGGTGTGCACTTCTTCTTCTATGGGGAGGGGGAGGCGTGGTGGGCGGCTGAATTGCGAGGCTGGTGGCAGGTAGTCGGAGGCGGAGGCTGGGTCGAGGGAGGAGGGGAGGGCGGAGGTGTAGATGGGGGAGGAGGAGGAAGGGAGGGTGGAGGGGACGTCGACGGGGGCGGTGGGCGAGGGTTCTGTCGAGGGTGCTGGATCAATGGGTGCTGCGTCGGGTACGGGAGCTGGCTGCGGCGGGGTGGCATCGCGGGAGGCGGCATGGGTCTGCTTGTCCTTGTCCTTGTCCTTGTCGCTGCGGAAGTGCGCGCCCTTTTGGCTGCTCTGCTCGTTGCCCATGGCGGCGGCGTCGTGGGTGTGGGCCGAGTGGTTGCGGGCGGCGTGGTTGTTGTAGTGGTCCTGGGCGGCCTGCAGCTGCGAGGTAATGGCCCTGGTGCTAGTTCCCACGGTTTGCGCTCTCCCACGCGAGATGGGGCGGGCCGACGTGGGATGGCTCTCAGCGTCGACGAGGCTCACGCTGGGAGCCGCGGGGGCTTTGGCGGCACTCAGCGCCTGGATCGACTCGCGGCGGCGGGCGCTGTGGTGCTGGCTGTGTGGGGGGTGAAGATGCGGCAGGTGGTGGTGGTGTTGGGGTCGCTCGTGCCCGTGGCCGCTGTGAGTGCCGTGGCCATGTGATGCAGTCACGTTGTTGGCGTGGGAGCTGCCCGCGCTGTTGTTGGTGGGCGAGGCCGGGTTCGACGTGGGCGTCGTCGACCGCGAATTCTGGTTCCCCATGAATACCCGCTGGCCGAACGCAACGCGGCGGGAGAATGTGCAAGAGGGCGAGGTTACAGAGGTCTGCAAGTAGACTGAAGCTATCGCTGGCCCCGGCCTTGGATTGCATGCGAGGCTCACAGGGATTAGGATTTCCATGACTGCACCCATCGCCGATAGCTCAATGCACGAGCCAATGACACCTATCGTGGGGCAATCGGCCCTGTATCGTGAGTCGCGCCCATCCACAACCAACGCGTCAACACATCTGCCCGGGCGGATATGGACGCGAGCACCGTCTTCTCAGTCGTTGCACGCATCTCCGTGCAATTGGCGCACGTGATCTGGTTTCCCATCAACAAACTCATCAATCTGATCGTCATCTTCTTGCTTCCATTCTACAACGTCATCACATTCGTCCTGCTACCCTTCATCCACCTCGGACAATCAATCATCGGGGTGTTATCGATACCATTTAGCGTCAAGTGGTTGGAGAGAATAGAGGTATTCAATCTTGATCCATTACGTATAATTTTACCATGCTAATCTGTGCAAAGACACTCTACGTCTACTTCGGAACAGCCAGCCTTATAGGCTGCATCACCGGCACCATCATCTTTGTCATCTTCAGATTCCTGTCATCGACCCTCAAGATCGATGCACCCATCGTGCCCAAGGAGCGTGAACAGGGAAGGACAGCCGCAGAGTATAGGGCTGCGCGGCGTGTAATGAGGGAGGAACCCATCGACCATTCACCGAGTGCGACGCCCGTGGTGTTGAAGAAGGTTGCTGGGCCTCGCAGGCGGGGTCTGCTCTCACAAGCCATCATCGAAGAGGAGGACTCTGACTTTTGACATTGCCCAGTCTGGCTAGATAGTATTGTTGGGGACAGCCACTAGAGTAGAATGACCAGAATCTCTCCACTGTGATTCCGAACTTATGCTGGGACTTTGACGATCCGTGCTCGATGTGAGGCCTTTGCCCAGGTCCGGTCCATCGGAAGTCTTCCCCCCATCATCTTTGTCTGCATCGACCGACACCAGGTCCAAGAATAGGTCCGACATGGAAGGTTTCTTTCGCATCGCGGGCTGCGCTACAGGCCGTGGAGGTTGCGGACACGGGCTCTGGGGTGCCGGTGGTCTACAACGTGTCAGACGCGAGCAGATACAAAGCTCGTTACTCACGCTGCTGGAGCGCCCTCTTTCTCGTCGGTACCAGCCAGTGTGAGCCAGTGGAAAACCACAGCAGCCCACGTGACTGTTGACATTCGGTTAGCCAGGTTCACAACAAGCTGGTGGTAAAAGTACCATCCAACGTGCAAATCGTGTAGCAGACCTGTTGCCACAAGAATACATTAGTGATTGTAACACAGTTTCAGCCTAGAGCTCAACGGACGAACGCCAGTTCGTTTCCCTGCAGAATGCACAGAGAGGCAAGATTTGCTCCAGTAGGCACAATAACAAGGACTGTTCCCCAAAAAGTCTTCCACAGCAGAGCTTCAACTTTCTTTGCCATGACTTCGTTTGATCGATGAAGGTTGGGCGTGACTTTATTGTTTGTCCGACTACAGATGTTGCCAATCCACAGTGCTAAACGGCTCGTGAAACTGGCGCTTGAGGTTTGGCCGCCTCTGACCAATGGGTTCAGAAGGTATACAAACACCAGTGTGAGGTAGATGTTGATGACGATGTCGCATGTCAAGAGCGGGACTCCGGTGTATCGCTTGACACCAATGCGGCAGCGTCCATCGTCGGAGATCCAGAACACCGGTAGAATGAACGCGACACATCCAATGGTACCGAGGCTCACTACGATGCCAATTGTGCTGTATAGCCATAATGGGTCATGGTAGCGTGTCATGTAAGGTGCTCGTAGGGCGTGCGCTCGCTCGACCAGGAAGAGATACCTATCCGCCAAGCCGGGAGTTAGTTTCCCCAGTCCATCTATGATCTCTCTAGAAGGGACAGCCTCACATGCTCACTTTACTGCCGGCATAGAAAACGATGCACAGCCTCATGGCGACCTTGCAGACATTGTTTGTTCCGAGACCTAGGCCGTTATTTACGACTGCGGCCGAGAAAGCGAAGCCAATCGAGAGCAAGTAGAGGATGAAGACGTAGACCTGGGTCAAGGTTATATGATTGAATGGCTGACGGTCAAGTATCCGAACGCGATAGCCTGTTCGCGTCAGTTGTACGTTGCATGCAGACGAAGCGAGCAGTCTTGCGTACCGAGCAGCCCAGATAGCAGGATGACACAGAACTTGGATGTTACAACAAATGATGTACGCGGCCCAGGTGGTTCACCAGTTGGTTCACCGAACCCAACTTCCGCTTTGTATAGCGATGTAGGCCTATCGATCGAGATGGCTGCCGATATAACCGCGGCCACTAGCAACGTCCACAGTCCAAGGGAGATCAGCATTGCGGTAGGAAGCGTTGTGCGGAATATCAGCTGAGAAAGGATTCAGGTAAGAGGATAAGTTGGTGACATGGCTAGGAGTTAGCGATAGGTCGTAGGCGTTGTTCGAGATGGCGAAGTCAAATGAGGTAAGGAAGTGAAAGTGCATCAACTCTCACGTTGCAACTTCAGCATGCTGCGATCGGCATGCTCGAGCGCCACTTCCTTCATATGCCACGTGATGGGTGACACGATGGGAAGTAACAACCACCTCATTCAGGCGCGATTCTTTGGACGAAGCAGGAGAGGCCATACTCGTAAGACGACTATGCTTTACGGGAGAACAACCTCAAGTTCTAAAAGAAACCATCGCAGCTACTTGCTCAATGGAGACACAACCTATAGCGGGTGATTGACTGGATTGCACAACCGATGTGGAGTCAAGTGGGGTTGAAACCAGATGGATATTCGCACGCACTGGAAAAGACGGAGTAGAGAGAGTTCTTGGCGAAGACCCTTCTCCACACATTCTGATGCGATGCTAGTTGCCACTGAATCATGAGATGCGCAACCTCTTTAACCTTGTGACATTTTCCTGCGAAGTCGGCAACATCTATCGTCATTGTGTAGACGGGGCTTGCTGTTGGTACGTCATGGAGCTCGCTTCCTGCCGTGGGAGAGGGAGACCAAGGACCAGGGTGAAGATGCCAAAATCTACCGAGACGTCCATGGATACCACTGAAAGCGCCGACCGTCGAGTTGGGCGCTAGTCTACCAAGGTCCATCTCTTTGCTGGGTTTTCTCCCAGTTTGGTGGGTCCTGATCGACTAGCAGCAGGTGCAAAAGAAATTTGCCCGCCAAACACACGCCAGGGCGCCTAGCAACTGTGTGTACATAGACTGCGGGCTGTTGGGTTATCGCGCGTAGTGCGAAACTGCTTGGTCGACGTAGGAGACATGTGGGCTACGCTTGGCTGGCTGCGTAGGAATGTGGGAACTGGTGGGAAGCGAGTGTGAGAGATGTAGCGCGCTGCAGCATCGCGTCATAGGCGGGACGGAAATGCCTCACTACACAGCCTCTCGCGACAATGACCGCGTATGGAACTGGCTGCGAGTGAGAGACGAGGCTGTTTGTGTTGACTAGACAGCGAAATTGGACTCAAGGGCGGTGGAGCAAGGCAAGCAACAGTCAGATATTCACCGCAACGGTGTGGGGTGGAGTGGTCGCAGCTCGAACCGTGTTTGACATGTGAAGTGCCTGGAGGGGGCAGGCGCGAACCCCGTTAGCGTGCCTCCTGAGATTGGGCGTCTGTGCACAGCCTCACTCTAGCCCTCTAGACGCGCAGCGCCCGTCTTTTGTCTCACGCCCACGCCTCTGCCCTTTCTCCCTCCCTCTCCCGCCAAGTACTAGACGGACGTTGATGCTTGCCGGATGCTTGATTTATACCTCTTTTAATACCACATCTCTATCCCGCCCTCGCGACTTTTCTTCACTCACAACCTAGTCCGTGCACAACGATCCATAGGGAAAGGAGGCAGAGAATAGTACCAGCAACCATGCGGAGAGGCGTCACCATATTTCTGCTCGTCACCATCGTCGTCCTCGGCTTCGCGGTACACAGCGTATGGACACTGCTCGGTCTTCTGATTGCGACTGGACGCGAGGATGCCATTCTCCGCGGAGAACTCCCTGCGCCCAACTCGAGCGCGATCAGTGATGCGCCGCAATTGATTCCCAAGATCATCCACCAGACGTACATCAACGACAGCATACCATTGCACTGGAAGGGCCCCCAGCAGAGCTGCCTGGACCTCCACCCCGACTACGAGTACAAGCTATGGACCGACAAGAAGTCGCGCGAGTTCATCGCAGCCGAGTACGCGCTCTTTCTCCCACTTCACACGAGACTTTGACTAACACCGTCAGATACCCATGGTTCCTCGAGACTTTCGACGGCTACCCCTACCCCATCCAGCGCGCCGATGCTATTCGCTACTTTGTCCTGCACCACTTTGGTGGAATCTACATTGACCTGGACGATGTACGTGTTGCATGTTCTTTTAATTGCCACGACGCTAATAATCTCAGGGATGCAACCGAAGTCTCGACCCTCTGCTTGCCTACCCAGCCTGGGTTCGCCGTACCATCCCCACCGGTATCTCCAACGATGCCATGGGCGCGGTCCCTCGTCACCCTTTCTTCCTCAAGGCTATCGACTCCCTGACCGACTACAACCGTCGCTGGCCACTCCCCTACATCACCGTCATGGCCTCCACCGGACCTCTCTTCCTCAGTCTTGTGTGGAGACATTACAACAACGCTGGTCCCATCGACCAGAACCGCGTGCGCATCCTGTTCCCCGAAGAATACAACAACCACCCCTGGAGCTTCTTCACCCACCACCTCGGAAACAGCTGGCACAGGACCGATGTCAAGATTATTTTCTGGCTCGCCAAGCACTGGCTCCTCGTCACCATCTTCGGATTCGCTGTCGGATTCACCGTTCTCGGCATGTTGTACAAGTTCTTCGTTCTCAACAAGCGATCGACCGGACCCGGCTCGCCAAAGATGCGCTACTTTAACCAAAGGATGCCTTTCTACCGTCGCATCAGCCAAAAGCGGAGCTTCGAGCTCGACGACCGCCACGAAGTCTAATCGCGACATCCAGTCCACGCATTGCATTGTTTCAGCGTTACGTCCGTACACATGTCTTGCATTTATCCGGCGTTTTCCCATCATCATCATCATCATCATCACAGCAGCCGCCTCGTATTTTCGCTTCTCCGTTATCCTACAACCCTTTTTGTTCGCTTCTATCCACATTATTGATCGAGGGCTGCGTTGCCCTCCTAGCTTGTTTAACTGTTGTTTTCACTGTGGTGTTCAGGCCACAACCGGCGCTGTTGGTATACATGAAAAAGGCTGGACCACTGTCTTTGTCAGAAGAGGGAGAATCTGGGTGGAATCCTCATAGAAAGAGAAAGGGCCAGACCGGGGCCGGACCGCGGAGGCATCAGGAAGAAAGACCGAAGAGCTCGGCTTAGGGATGCGCAGTGTTGTTATGTAGATAGAAGGAGAAGCGTTATTGCTTATGTTAATATGAAATGTATTGAGTAATTACCAGTCCGGTTTATGAATTTTCATGAATGCTTGTTTGAGCAGGGGATCATGGCTGTCGACAAGACTGCAGACCACCATCAACGAGAACAATAGTAACGACAACAGACTTCAGTCGAACAAGCCATTCCATGTTTAATCTCACTCGTGAACACTTGAGGAACCATGTCTTTCCGAGCTTTCCGAACGGCATGCGAACACGCAAGTGTTGCCCCACTTGTTTCCCCCGACCGTCCATGATTGGCGCACCTCAGCCCGGCATTCCCGTCTCGCTACTTCCCTCCCCTTGTCATCAAGCTTACTGTGTTCGTAACCGTATCGCGACATCGCATGTGCCAGCATACGGGTCTCTGGGCGATGCGCAACGGAATAGCGGAGTTAATTTGTTTTTCCAATGATGTGAGATCGGCAAGTTGCTGTGGCTCCGGCTTTGGGGTTGATGACGTGGGTGCGTTGGGAGAGGGGAGGCTGAGGAGAAGGTGATGGAGGCTGAGGTGGAGGGACTGTGTAAGATAGCAGGGGATTAGGTTTATTTGGCAAAATACAGATTGCCTGGTTGGTTCTGGGACTGGTTTCCAAGGCTGTACTCCTAGTCTGTGAGCGGGATCATCATAGTAGATCTTGATGTTTCGGAGAGAGAGTTGTGGAGTCGGAGGACGATGCCGGCACATCATACCGCAGCAAGATACCTAAGCCTCAAGGATCTACATCTAGGTAATGACTGTGTCCCTGGACCGAGTGCAGCATCGCATGCACTTTATTGAGTATCAACAACGCCAGATCGACATGAGTTGCCATAGCCACTGCTCAGCGGCCAATGACGCCAGTCCGCCACTTCCGTAACCGTTGCAGACCTTCCGTCATCGCTCGGCCCTGCGCAATCAAGCAGCCATTCAAGTTTGAAGCTCCCAATGTTAGAAACACCGTTCTCTAAGTTTAGGAACTTGACAGCCGGTATCCGTCCGTCTGGATCCACATCGTTCCCATATCCTGATCTCGTACCTGACGTCGCTTCCTCTTTCTGCTCATCAACTTCGATGGATGTGACTTGAGCGCCTACTACTTTCACAACCAACCCAACTCAACCCGAATCATACCAATACACGCTTTCTGTGTCAAATTCCTGAACCTCAATTATCTCGGATCGCCACTTCACAATGGTTGGAGCTACAGTACAAATGCGCGAGGGCGCTGAGCTCGTCGGCGAACACGGCTACCGGTACCTTCTCGTCAAGCCTCTCGGTCAAGCCAACGTATGGGTAGCTGTCGACGCGGCTTCCCAATCGAAGATCTTCATCGTGAAGCAACCCGGAGACGATGACGTCGGTTTTGGATGGCCAAAGTTTCAACACGAGATGATCATGCACGAGCTGCTGAAAGGCATTCCCACAATCCGACAACAAATCGACCGCATCCCACCATCCGCCAGAGGCGATCCGCCTCGAATCGTCCTCGAGATCCTTCAATCGACTCTCTGGGATGCGCGGAAGAAGCGCCAGTTCAGCGATGTGGAACTCAAGGGTATCATGCGCTCGGCGCTGCTGGGCTTGCGAGATGTGCATCAACGAGGCTTGGTGTATGCGGGTGAGCTTCTACACACACGAGCGGGATCGCAAGCAAGAGCTAACTCCACCCAGACCTGAAGATGCAGAACATCCTCCTAAGCGGCTTCGAAGACGAACCCAACAAGAAAGCCGCTGTTGGAGACGACCGCATCACCGCCAAACTAGGCGACTTAGGAATCGTCATGGAGCCAGCAAAAGGCCTAGTCCAACCCATCGTATACCGCGCCCCCGAAGTCTACTTCCGCAACGAAATCAATCAGCCAGCCGACATCTGGTCCTGGGGCGTCATCTACTGCCAGCTCCTCGAAGCGCAAGCCTCCTTCAACAAATACGGCATCTACGACGAGCTCCTCCAAGGCAACACCGGCCAAGGCCAGAAAGAGCGTTCCGTCGAACGAGCTATAGCGCACGACTTCGGTCTCAGCGCGTTGGATTACTACGAAGGCTGTAGACTACCATACCACGACCGATCGCACCACGAAGGACAACACTGGGAGAGGCTCATGAAAAAGGGTGTTCCGGAGAAAGAAATCAAGTTTCTGAGCTGGGTTCTCAATCCTGTTCCCACGGATCGGCCCACAGCGCAGGAGATTCTCGATGCAGGCTGGTTCACCATGGACACAGCGAAGACGAGCAAGATCGCCGACAAGCTAGAGAAATCCGCACAAGACAGCCGACGAAGAAATATCCAGCGCAAACGCAGTGAACCACTCCTATCCACCTATTCCACACCCACACAACAGTCTTCTGGCCTATACACCCGCGAGCAACCCACATCCTTCAGAAATACCACAACTACAAATCCGACAGCATGGTCTCCGGCTGGTATGCCATGGCAACCCCAATCTAGCCAATCGTACTACCATGCGCCGTCGTCACAATCTCAATCACAACCCCAACAACAACCTTCTTCCCAACAAGGTGGACCGCCGTATCAACCCATGTCCTTCAAACCTGTTACGGTACAAGCGAAAGAGGAATTGGATCACAAGGCTAGGCCGGTTACGCCGAGGTCTGCGACGCAGAAACCGAGTGGAAGTACGTTTTTGAACTTTGGGAGCTTTATGCGGTGAGTGTGGGGTTTTCGTTGGGTGTGTTTGAGTGGATGTATGGAGATTAGAGGGTGTAAGGGTGTGGTGGTTGGGTGTAGTAGAGTTTGGTGTAATGATATTGTTTATTGTTCTAATAAAGAAATGAGATGAGAAGGAGTTGATTGAAGTGACGTGAAAATGGAAGTGAGATGTTGTCGGATTCATTGGTGACGCGCCCGTTCGAGGCGTTAGGCAGGTACGTGGGTTGGAAAGTGTGTGGAGTAGTGAGGGACGAGAAAACGTGTTGCTGTTTCCATTGTACTTCGTGAGTTTCATTGTCAGTTTTCTTTGCGGTGGTTGGATGAAAGTGGTTGTGAGAATGTATATGTTTATGCTAATCAAAGTGACCTATCCCTGTGAACTGCTATGGCCGCGACTTTCGGGCAGCTTACCTGGTCGGTTCATAAACTCCATAGTAAATATCTCGTAGAGGGCCACGAGCCGAGTTTTTCATCGGTCAGTATATCTTCTCAAACGCATTTCCCATAATCGCTGAACATCCTTCCCGCGGCTTTTTCAAATTCATATGGAGTCCATATCTCCGCCCAACTATAACTCTTGGACCAACGCTCTGTAAGTTCATCTCCATGTTTCGCGCGTCCGATTTCCTGGAAGAGACTATGCAGTTCCTTGTCAGGGCGCCAATTTCCTACCGACCATTCCAGTCGACGGTGTGGTCCAAATCGTTTGGAGCGTTCTGGTTCAGTGTATATGATACCCCATGCTACCTTTAGATTCTGATGGCCCACAGGCATGTCCTCGGGTTTTATATCGGACCCATTTATGGGCGACCATATTGTTGCTTTGTTGAGTATCGGCATCTGTGTCGCTGCTCTTGCGAGGCGTTCAAGCAGTGGAATGAGATTAGCGTCAGGAGCGATACGGAACTGTCTATTGTTCGCAGTACGCACGGTACTATGTTGCCAGTTGTCGCTGTACCGCTCGTCCATTTCCTCATCCAGCTCCGTAGGAACGTAGGGTGGGTAGGAAGCGCCTGTGACAGGGAGATCACGTGCAACTTGGCCTTCCCCGGTTGAGCCTGAGAAATACCATGTTCCATCTTGACGGGCGTTGTGAAACATAATGTCGAGTAGTTCGAGGTTCGGCCAAGAGGTGTGTGTTGTTGTCAAGTTCTGTGGTGACAGTGCTGGGAACATGCTCTCGTCGATCATGGCCCGTAGTTGCATATGGCGGAGATCGTTGCACAATACACTGAGACTTGAGGTAAAAGGATCATGACCAAGGTTGCTACCTACAAAATCTGGCAAGGGTGTGTCATGATGGATTCTTGTCGCCCGATCCAGAGGGTGTAAGAAATCGAGTGAAGCTCGCCTAAGCGTTTTGGGTAGCTCGTCGACACAGCTGGTGATTGCGGCTGCGAAGTCATGTCGTGAATCTCGTCGCGGGCCTGCCCAGTCGTGCTCGTAGTGTTCACTACACGGATCTTCCTCTTCATTCAGTGTTTCGCACCACTCGTACCCTCCGGTTCGGGTACCCAAATATTCTAGATTGGGCATCTTGGTCGCTAGGTCGATGAGAACCCGCAGATCGAGCCTTGATTCTTGCGTCTCAGACCAATTTTCTCGCAGGGAATACTGTTATCTGTAAGGGTCGTATGGCTCGTACCCGTGCTTGCAGTTATTGTTGATTTCAAACGATCGGATAGACGCGATTGGAGGTAGGTCTTTTGCTAGTAGGCGAACGCGCCAGCTGGCCATATAGCGATGGGGACATGCATCTTCGTTCTCCGTTCTTCTTATCGGGTTGTAGGTCGTGAGTCGATACCTGCCCGGGGCGTGGTTCTTGCCGGCCTGCTTCTCAACTAGTTGAAGGATGTCGAACAGGTATTGTATCTGCCAGGTAAATGACTCGTCTCTCTCTCGCACCTCGTCGGCACTCTCTCGACAGAATACTCAATCATCACCGTCATCATCATCATTGTCATCGCTGCCATCGTCATTATCGTCGTTGCCCTTGAAGTCATACGTTGCAGAGACGTCTGGCCGGAAAGTCACCTCTCTTAGATAGAGAAGGCGATGACCAGAGAAGCGCATGAGGAATTCGGTTGAGTTGCTTTCAGTGACTGTGAACTCTGCAAAGCCCCAGAGTACCTTTCTGCTGCAAAGCGAAATTTGCTATTTAGGGTGAGAACATTGCGCAAGTCTTCTCTAGGTGAAAAGCTAGAGATTCTTTCGATGAGCTCTTGTGGAAGTTGGTTCATAATGGTGGGAGTATATGACAGACAGTATGAGTTGAGGAGATGAGTAGGCAAGGACGACGAAGGCATATCGTAAGGGCGCTCGCGACTGCTAAAGATAAGGAACGAGCGAAACCAAACCCGGCTACAAGCCCGCCCAATCTGGCGTGTCCAAACCTAATACTATGTACTCACATCGGTTCTGATTGAAGTATGCTTGAGAAGCACGTCCCCAATATCTACTCATAGCGTGAAGCGGACTGATAAAACCACACCGTGAGGTCTGTATATTCGGAGTGTCGATGAGTTGTTGGTTTGGACCCGACAGCCTTTGTCTCAGAGGCTCAGTCAACGTTGCCACTCAGCCCTGCGCCCCTGCATAGGGTATGACACCTGATGTGAGCTCTCTTATTCCTGAAGGAGTATCTCAGCCCCAGGACGTGGTCATCATTGAAGAGCCTCATACGACCCAGCTTACGGTGGTGAGGTGATTCAGCCCCACCGTTGTTGGAATCGGACACCGAAAAGTCGCTTATTTCCAGCGAAATAACCGCGAATGCGACCACGTTGCCAATGATGGTGTTCTTCAGATTGCGGCGTTATCAAGGCTCGCAAATGCCGCTTACGAGGACTGCTCGTCGAGAGCTCCGCCTTGATCTTACACGGAGTCACACTTTACCGGCGTCATCGACGTCACCAGAGATAAGAAAATCGAAAGGTCTTATATCTGAGACGTAAGCTCTGCACCTACAGGGCACTAGCAGCGTCATTCGTTCCTTCTGCTCAGGTACTTGTCTCATAGTCCTCATCATACGACGACGAAGGGCGAATGCGACCAGGATCATCATAGTAATCGTCAAGCATCCACCCTCGACGTCCACTGGGGGTTGACGTCGTAACTCTCTTCCCAATGTTCGACTAAATCATTACCATGCTTCTAGCGCCCAAGGTATTGGAACAGATTGCGCAGCTCCGTATCTGGACGCCACTTTGACACCATCCAAATGAGACAGCGCATTGCTGGATCATCTTTTTTGTCTTCGCTTGGGCCTATCGGATATGGCAGTAGAGAACCCCAAACACCGTTGTCTTGATCGGAATACTGTATGCCCCAATAAGGTCTCTGTCTGTAGAATACGTTGTCGTAGTCCTGAGCTTCTTCATCGTCCCATTCTGGATCCCAGTATGTCGGCGACCAGATGATTGCTCTCTTCAAGGAACACATCCGCGCTGCAGTTCTAGCGGAGCCCTCGAGAAAAGGCTTGAGACGCGTTTCGTCTGGTACCACACGAAATTCATTGCTGCAGCTGTTAAGTGACGACTTATTATCTAAGTCGTGCATGTCTTCGTCGAGTTCGCTAATTTCAAACGGTGGATAAGAGTCGACAATGATTTCATAGCCAACCGCATTACGACCTTGACCATGAGGTTCATGGAAATACCACGATCCGTCGGGTCGTAACGGGTGCAACATGATTTTCAGGATCTCTAGATTAGACCATGGCGATTGTGAAGCATCTTCTAATCGAAACAGGCTTTCGTCTACGACAGCCCATAGACGCAGCTGCAGAGTAGACGTGCGAAGTCAGTGTATGTCTCACATGCAGTTCGTACAGCCAGAACTTACCTGTCGAAGATTATTGGTAAGGATGCGGACGCTAGCGCTGAATGGGTCGTAGAGAGCTGGACCAACTAGATTGGGCAACAATTTGGTTTGGTCGGCGTCGAGTGTCTGCTTAAGTGGGTTGATAAAATCCAGGCTCGCTCGCTGAAGTGACGGTGGTATTTCAGCGTTGTGGAGTGCCACGGCGCTTGGGGAATCGTGCCTTGCATCACGACGTGGACCGTTCCAATCATGTGTGTAGTGACTGTGGGGCTCTACATCGCCATGTTCGTCGCAAATCATATCAGGCTATTCGAATCCTCCGACCTTACAGCCTAAATACTCAAGGTTTGGAAGCTTCGATGATAGAGAAACCATGACCGCCAGGTCTAGCTTCAGTTGCTGTTCCCAGAAAAGATTCGTGTATGCCGCAGGATAGTCATGCGACTCATGTTTCTCCTCAAGTATACTCATTGTTTCGCCGGAAACGTTGTATATCTCAAAGGAGCGAATTGAATGTACAAGGGCAAGCTCAGGGTTGAGCAGGCAAATGCGCCAGCTGATAAATTCGCGATGGTTACATTCAATGCTGAGATGGATCAGTCTCGTGGGGTCGTGTACCAGGAGTCGATACCAGCCTGGTGCATGCTGGGGTCCAGCATCCTCTTCAACGGCTCTGAGTGTTGCAAAAAGAGTGTGTACTTGACGCGTGAAGTGCTCATTCTTTTCTCTTATTTCGTCCGCACTTTCTCGATATCCTATGAATTCATCATCATCCTCATCCTTGGGGGGGGGCCAGAGTGGAGCGAAATTGGGCTGAAAGTGCAATTCCCTCAAGTAAAGCAGCCGGTGTCCTGAGTAAAGCCCAAGGAACTTATCCGCGTTGCGCTCATTCAGGGTAAACTCTGTGAATGCGCCAGAATAACTCTCCGCGGCAAAGCGAAACTTTGTGGAGAGAGTTAGAACGTTCTTGAGATCGTCAGTGGGCAGGTATCTGGTGATTTCCTCGATGAGTTCTTGCGGCAGCCGACCCATGTCAAGCTAGCGACTTTAATGGGCTGACTGAAATTGTCGTGTTCTCCTCGAGCGTTCGATTTGCGGACAGGCGCATAGTTGTAGGTAGACGTCGAGGGAATGGGGCAGAGTGACAGCGAGCAGAGCGTGTGTTCAGAGCGTGTGTTGTTGGGGGCGGGTTTGCGGCGCGGTTGCTGTAATGCACGTAGGCTCCAAGCCCTATTAATGGAAGCACATTCCGAACGTTCCGAGGCGTTCCGAGCAAGAAGACAGACTGCAACAACGCCGACGCGTCACTGGTATCTCCAAGGCTGACCCGCTTGGGAGTCTGAACTTCGCTTATTAGAGATTAACGAATAATGCAGTCGTAAGAGTGTGAGATGCATATCGGGATACAACATAACGGGAACCTCCCCCAGTAAAGATTGATTAGTAGAGAAAAGGCGAGACATGGTACTGAATATAGACTGAGCCATCAAACGTGAAGGATGCTTTACACCTGTATCTCTCCCTGACGAGTCTAGCCAGACTACATGTATACCACTGAAGATAGTTGCATGTAGAGTGGCATCATACTCAGGCCTTGATGAGATTGCGTGCTTTTTCGATAGTTGTAGCCAGTCAGTATCCGAGGATATCAAAGGTTATTGGAAGGGCTTCAAAGTAATCCATTCCGAGGTACAGACCCTGCCAGATGCGCGGTTGAGAAGTGTTACACGTCTGTGAGCGCTGGCTAGAACGAGCGTGCCGCTGGTGCAGGTGTTGTTATGGTGATGGCGTCGATGCTGGAAACCACCGCAGGCGGCATGCCAAGGCGAGCTAACGCCATTCGGACTCCCTTCAACGCAGAACCATGGAACGCAGTTACATTAAATGCAAACACGTACGCATGCTGCATTTCTTTCTGTAGTTCCTGCTTCGAGGACAAGCAATGTGAAGATGTGCAGCTACCTCTAAGTGTGCACGATGAGCAGAAGACGATCGCGCAGGTTCCACCTATCCTCGGCGATCTCTCGTATGATTGGTCCATTGCGTGCGCAACTTCCTTGCCAAAAAAGCCGCCCCAACGCATCCGCTGAACACGCTCGACATCGCCGCCCACCTAAACCTTTTCCATCGCCAAACAGCACTCCAACACCTCATTTCATCACTTTCGACGCGATAAAGCGCATGCGGAAGTCCGTGCGACACTTTTGACACCCATATCGACAATATTGCGACGCGTTGGTGGTCGGATTGCGCTTCTGGGAGCGTGACTCCTCTCTTCGCTGGCTGGCCCCCGGCGCCAGATTTGCAACCAAAGCCCCATACGCAGCCCAAACCGTCGTCACGTGCATAACGGCAAACAACAATGACGGCTCGCGCGACCGGACAACGCTTCAGACAGCGCAAGCTATCGACTAAACAGAATTTACCTGTCGTGCGCGAACATGAGGTTGAGCAGCTTGCTGATGACGATGCGTCGCGCCATATTCCCAAGGTTGAGACCGGTGTTGAGAAGGGCGAGGAGATTGTAAGTCGCGCTAGGCCGCTTTCGGTTTTCCCTTTCCCTTACCCACCATATACTAACATCATGTTCAGGAGCACCATTTACAAGCTGTCATCTCCGCCGCCCAGGCAGCATCGCAGGGAGCGACTGGTGGGAAGATTGCACAACTCTACATCCCGACTCCGGATGCTGTCGCGAGTACACTGCAGTATGAAGATGTCTATCCAAAACGATTCACGCAGCCCGCCACTTACATTCGATTCTCGTCTACTGTCGAGGATACATCTGGCTGTCCGTATTGCATGACCAGTGATGATGTCGCCTTTCTCAAGTCTTACAACCAAAAGAAGGGCAAAACCAACCACTGCTCAGAAGACGAGTTTGAAGAAGTAATCAACTTCTTCGAAGAGACCACCGCGGTAAAACAACCGTATGCAGCCGTCGACAACTCGCCTGTTCTTGCTTACGAGGAACTTGAAGCAGAGTTCGATGAGACCATCAGCGAGTCGGCGCGTCGGTTCGCACGAGATATTTATCCACACTGGAAAAACCAGCGGCTACTGAAAGGCAACCGCCCGCTCATGCCCTCATTGAAGTTCGAGACGAACCTCGAGACCGATGATGCTGATCCGTATGTTTGCTTCAGGCGACGTGAAGTGCGGCAAGTCCGCAAGACGCGTGGTCGCGACGCACAAGTAACCGAGAAGCTGAAGAAGCTGAGGAAGGAACTCGAGGAGGCTCGTCTATTGATGTCGCAAGTCAAACGGCGGGAGGCCATCCAAAGAGAACAACTTGCTACGGACAAGCTGATCTTTGAACAACGGCATGCTGTCAAGGAGCTTAAGCGACGACTCAGTATCAAGGGTGATGACGATGAGCTGCTCATCACTCAGAAGGTATGTCGCAATGAACTCACCAGAGCATTTGCACAAATGACTAACGTACCACAGCCTGCACCCAAGCCCAAGAGAACTGCCGATGTCGAGAGACAACGCCAGACGCTTCCTGGCATGAAACCCACAAACACACGTCCAGACGGGCGCCTTGTTGACGGTGACATCGTATACCTCGAGGAGCAGCAAGCTAAGCGCACCGAGGCCATTGATAGCTTCATCGAAGACAACCTCGTTAAGCACCAGAAGTGGAATGTAGGGTGGGTCGACGCAACATGGCGGCCAATTACACCCCCTCTGGAGCCACCCGCTGCGAAGTCAGACTTCCGTACGGTGTTCACGGAGAGTCAGCTTCCCACGCCGCCTGCATCCGTGTCTGATGGAGAGGGTGCTGATGCCACAGCAGTGGTGCCGTCGAGTAAGCAGACAGATCCACGGAGAAGCGCGCGTATACGTTTCGCCACTCCTCCAGATGACGTTCCATTCCACGACCAGTCTAGGTTCCGTCGTAGAATCGGTCGAGGTGGGCGCATGATGATCGACCGACGAGGCGTGAAGCGTCAGAAGACCGAGCGGGTCGATGATCGCTTGGCAGACCGATGGCGTTTCTCTGGTGACAGCAGCGAAGATGAGGAGACTTATCCCGTTGACTGGACTGACAACCTGCACATCAGATACCGCATCATGATTGAGCGTCAAGGCGAAAAGGCAGCGGCCCAGCAACCACCCGCAAATCCCAATCGCCGGTCGATTGAGAACCATAATCGATCTGCGTCCGGCCATCTTCTTCCTCCTACACCGACAAGCGCGACAGGCGCAGGACCAGCGGGAAGATGATCCTTACAATTTGCTCAGTCTTCTTCGTTCAGCGCTTTTCTTGTCGACAAATTATACCCTTTGTTTTCTATTCGTTCGGCGGGCTCTGGCTTCAAACATCTACCAAAGCTATGTACACTAGCCCTATAGATTTGGGGAGAGGAGGATGGTTGGTCGGTTGGTGGGTGGGTGGAAGGGCAGCGGCCTAGATGGAACGTAAGTCAGCAAGTCGATACTTGGATACATATACATACCAGACGCTTGTTGGAGTGCCGCAAGCACTTTACCTGGCGACAAAAAAATCCAGAAACTTACCAAATCGTCTTTTTACGTCTTGAATATCGCTCTAATGATTGGGGTATGCGTCATGGTGCAATCCGCAACACGACCACAACAGGTGCGGATGGGTACAGCCTGGAGTTGATCAAGCTCTGTGCTTCTTCCCCGTGCCGCCCATCTCTACATCCCCCTCTTCATCAACAGCCCTTTGCCGCTTCCCCGCCGCACCGCCATCTCTTGCAATCTTCTCCACCAGCGCATCTTTTGTCTGAGCCAGAAGCTGCTTCTCGCCGATACGTACAGCCTTCGCCATCGCAAGCCTCCGCTGCTTCGGCGATGCAGCGTCGACAGGTGGGACTTGACCAAACGTCTTCAAGTCGTCTTCCAGCGTTGTAGCATACTGCGCGATGCGTGCCTGAACGATCTTTTGTAGCGCTTCCGCGCCTTTGCTGGTGATCTTTTCTGGTTTGGCTAGTCTGCCTTTGCTGCTAAGGCGCTCGTATTCTTCTGTTGGGAGGAGCATGCTTTCTACTAGGATGACCAGCTCGGGGGAGAGACTTTCCTGGAGGGTGAATGGGTTGCTGGCTGCGACGTCGTAGCCAGAATCGATGACCTCTTGCTCATCGAGATACGCCATCCTGTCCTGATGCCACATGCCCTCATGGACAAGGATCTCTGTGACGAGCTCGGCAGGAATCTCAACGACGTCGTACTGGGCGTAGTTATCGGTTACGTAGCCGTATCTCCTTAGTAAATCGCTTCGGGGCAGCGAGCCGTAGTCGTTGAAGATCTCTTCGCCGGCCGGGATGGGTTTTAGCGCCTTCATCTCCAGGCAGTCTTTCTCGTAGAAGAGTCGCGCATTGCATCTGTCAGCGTCGGCGTTCAGCATATCAGCCAGCGGGACCATGCCCTTCGGCAGCGCAGCATCTTCTTCTTCCTCAGCAAACCCTTCCTCGTCTACCTCTTTGCTAGGTGTCGCAGGCTCAACATCAAACGCATACGCCATGATCAGACTCCCCATCTTATGCATCAACTCCAAATTCTCAGGGCTGCGCATCTCCTTCGCCTTGTCCTTCGCCCTCTCATCCCCACTAAACACTATCTCTGCAAACTCTTCTATCACGGGAAGCAATTGCTCTGTAAAAACTTCGTCCGCGCCTTCCTTCCCTATCTTGGTTACCACGGCGCTGGCTTGTAGCTCGGCTAGTTCGTCCTCGGACCAGAACATCAGGGTGTTGAACTCGGTGGGCAGGACGGCGAAGTACGGAGCCCAGTTTGACGCAGAGCCATTGTGATATTCGTAGAGCATGACGAGGATGAGGGAGAGCCAGGGGCCGAGGAGGGCGAAAGTCGAGGCGGGGATTTCGCGGCTGAGGATGCTGTTTTCGACGCTGAGGATGGAGGCGCGGGGTACGCGGAAGAGGAGTTCGTGTTCGGCGATGGGTTCGGTTGCGACTTGATGTGTGTTAGCATGAGCCTGTAGAATCTGTAATGGTGGGTGGTTGCAGTCCCAGGTAGGTCTGGCAGCATGTATGGGTGGAGTAGCTACTTACCCACGCCTCGCCCAGCATCCTGGTTCCTCAGATCTTCCAGCTTGATCTTTGGACTAATTTCTGCTCCAGATGCCTTCAGCCAGGCCAGAAAGGTCTGGCTGGCGCTGTTGAAGTCTGCCATACAGCGGGATGGTCTGGTTCGACGTGGGATTGTTTTGGAGGGTTGGATATTTGGTGGATATTCTTTAGCGGTTCGGCGTACCGAGGCTGCTTGGTCCGAGCGGTGGAGGATTTGGTGGCTGGGGTGTGGAAGAGTTTGCAACTTTTGCTTTCGACTGTCTGGTTAGAGAAGGATGAGAAGAAAAAGAGATAGAGCAGAGCTGAATGGATTGGAAATATGAAGAATTGGCTGCGAAGGTATGTGACAGAATTAGTGAATTCGTTGTGGTGGTTATCAGACCCTGCAGCACCTGACTCGCGGGCGCTGTGACGTCTTTTCGTGGGTTTTTATATCGGCTTGCTTGCTTTGTAGGTGCAGCGTGCAGCATCGCCATCATCTCACAAAACGATCGTGAATTTCGCAAGAGTTACATGATTAGCAAACGTGTTGAGAGAGGTCGGCTTCCACTTGCACTTGCACCGCCCAGGTTCCTTTGCCGACATGGAAGATCATTTTACAGTAATAGTTGCACATGGCTCACTTCCCAAGAGCATTACAGCGGTGGGTCCCGAGAATTGCATCGCGATTTTGCGAGAATTCATAACACGCGACTTAATTTGTAATGGTGCTGGCCATTGGTGGTTGCCCAGCGCTGGCTTCATGCATGTCATTCCTTATCGATAGCTTTTTCCAACGTCACCCCGCCTCGACGCGTCAAAACATCAACGCTGAACCGCGACGACCGCCACCATGATCGCCATAGGACTGGAAGGAAGCGCCAACAAGATAGGCGTCGGTGTCATCTCCCACCCTGGTCCTAACAAGCCACCGATTATTCTCGCAAACCTGCGGCATACCTATGTTTCCCCGCCCGGCGAAGGTTTCTTGCCCAAAGACACCGCGATACATCACCGAGCATGGGTTGTGAGGCTAATCAAGCAGGCCGTGCGCCAGGCGGGAGTCAAGATCGAGGACATTGATTGCATATGCTATACCAAGGGCCCAGGTATGGGTGCACCATTACAGAGCGTCGCCCTTGCAGCCAGGACGATCAGTTTACTGTGGGGGAAGCCCATGGTGGGCGTGAACCACTGCGTTGGTCGTTGGTCTTCCCAAAACCTACAAATGGAGAACTCTAGCTGAAACATATCAGACATCGAGATGGGCCGCTCAATAACCCGCGCTGACAACCCTGTCGTTCTATACGTGTCTGGCGGTAACACCCAGGTGATTGCTTACTCCGCCCACCGGTATCGAATCTTTGGCGAGACCCTAGATATCGCGATAGGAAACTGCATTGATCGATTCGCCCGCACACTTATGATACCCAACGACCCATTTCCCGGATACAATGTTGAGCAACTGGCAAAGGATGGAAAGAACCTCGTCGATCTACCATATGGCGTCAAAGGCATGGATGCGAGCTTTTCGGGTATATTGGCTGCAGCCGACCTCCTCGCACGCGGACTAGATGAGTCCTTACCCGACGAGAAAAGATTAAAGACTGAGGATGGGCAGCTAGTCACAAGAGCAGACATGTGCTTCTCCCTGCAAGAGACCATTTTCGCCATGCTCGTTGAGATCACCGAGCGAGCCATGGCACATGTCGGCTCACAGCAAGTGCTAGTCGTAGGTGGCGTGGGCTCGAACATGCGTTTACAGCAAATGATGGGCATGATGGCAAGAGACAGAGGTGGGAATGTGTTTGCGACAGACGAGATGTTTTGTATTGACAACGGTATCATGATTGCTCACGCGGGCTTATTGGAGTACGGGACTGGAGTAAAGACGGAGCTGAACGACACGACATGTACCCAACGGTTCAGAACTGACGAGGTATTTGTTGGCTGGAGAACTGACTGAGGCGCGATTTGTCCCCATACGATACCCCGGTAGATCTCGCCTTTCCGTCGTCTTCATATATACACATACGAATTCACTGGATATGACACGAGAGGCATTTGAGCGTGATCCACCACAGTGAAGGGAGTGCCCGTAGCCCAGTGCCGTTTTCGCGACTAAACACTGCATGTGATCGCTTGGCGATGCTCTGCTCCGATACGTCACTTACACTGCAACGGCTCCGTTCTGCTCCTACCACCCAAGCGCTGGGCTCAACTCTTTGGCAAAGACCGTAGCCACCAGGGCGCACCTCCGACAACATGCCCGCGCTATCAAAGAGCGTTCTAAACCAGGATCCACAGGCACAGCTGATTACCAGCAACATGTGCGCCGCTCAATCACGCAGCTTGAGCGCTTCCGGGCCATTGGCTACCACAACGAACTTACTCTTGAGCAACGAGTCGCTGCGGTATACGTTGATGGTGAGCATAACACATTCTCTGAGGAAGATTACGACGGCTTTGATGACGGATTAAAGAAGAAGTACCGCGCGGCTATGTTACAAGCTGTGGTAGAAGGTCTGAAATGAGAGGAAAAAGTCATCGATTGGACCGTCAGAGCTCGACGTAGCTGATACAAGGTACAGCCATCATGTGGCTTGTCGATGGACGGAAGGAGATTCCGCTAGGGTAGACGGGTATCGATATCGATCTGTGGAGGTTACATGGGGGATAATCTGCAACAGAATGAGAGTTATTAATAGCAAAGCGACTTGAGTACCTGAGGCTGATGATCGACATTGCTGATGCATCTTACAGACTAGTACGGCGGGCCGTACATTAGTATCACGCTAATTGCCAAGCCAGAGCAACCTAGCCACAAAAAGAGAAGGTCGCATGTGACGTTGCTGCACGCCTGAACCACCTCGGAGATATATAACTACATGCAGCCACGATCAATACTTTTGGCTCCATACCAAACTACCAAGATGAGGTCGTCGTGGTCAATACGTGCGGTCCTCTTTGCCGCAACCGCTACCGCAGCTTCAAGCTCAAACACCGCAGCAGACTGCGGATGTGGAAAGCCACTCCCCAAAGGCGTCGAGCTCGACAAGTCCGTCGACCTGACATTGGACAGTGAAAGCGGTGTCTCGCCCCGCAAATACCGTCTACACATTCCTCCCTCCTACGATGACAACAAGCCCGTTCCGCTCATCCTCTCCTTCCACGGCCGGGGCAAGACCGCAAAGTACCAAGAAGCTCTGAGTCAATTCTCCAACGCAAGCTACGGCTTTGAAGGCATCGTTGCGTACCCTGAAGGCGTGCCGGTACCTCAACCCCCCTGATCAACCAACGTCAACAACACGCTAACATATCCCCAGAACAGCAAAGGCACACAGCAGTACGAGGGCGACCCCGACTCTCCTCCCTCCATCTCCGACGTAAAATTCACGCTAGAACTCCTCGACCACCTCCAATCAACCTACTGCATTGACCCCACCCGCATCTACGCAACCGGGAAATCAAACGGCGGAGGCTTCACCGGCGGCGTGCTCGCGTGCGACGCAGACGCCAGCTCGCGAATTGCTGCTTTCGCGCCTGTCTCTGGCGCTTTCTACCTCGACGCAGACCAGCAGCCCTTACCTTGTAATCCCAGCCGCCAAGTCCCTATCATGGAATTTCATGGTCTGGAGGACGCGACGATACCATATGCCGGCGGGATTAACACGAGAGGGAATGCGAATTCGAGTGATGTTGTTACGTGGGTGAGGGATTGGGTGGAGCGAGACGACCTTGACGTCAACGCGAACAAGACGACCTCTCTTTGTAAGGGGAGCAAGAAGGTTACGAGGTATAGCTGGGACGACGTGGTTATGCATTACAAGTATGAGAATTTGGGACATGATTGGCCGAGTTCGTTTGCAAATGGCGATACAGGGGATGATGAGGGTGTTTTGACGTGTAAGGAGGCCGAGGCGACGAGGATTATTTTGGAGTGGTTTGGTGGGTTGACGCTTTAGATGGAGCACGTTATTCAAGCAAAAGACTGAACAGTTGCTCTGCCGTCTACATTAGTATAAAAGTCAAAGTTTACATATTCCCAAAGGTAATGTAGACTTCTAGGAGGTAGACCTTCAGTTTGTTCCTTGTATGAGCTGAGACGGAGATGTCGCGGGAGCTGGGGAAGTTCAGACGACGCGTGGTAATATTGTAGACGCCCGCAATCGATGGTTTCCACAGACTTGCCTGATTCGGACTGCACGCTGAACAGCAAAGGTGATGGCGATTGTGAAGCCGATGACGTCATCGACTGGCACCACCACCAAGGAACATCGCGTCTTCATCTCATCTCATCTCCTGTACACTTCCTCCGTCCTGTGCATTCCTAAACTCACCTTCTATATCACCACTAGATTCAGCCCGTGGTGCAAATTATGCGATGCGGTACTTGTCCACTTGGCCGTCCAGGTCGATGGCTGTGATGTTGTCGCGACCGCGTCACGACAGCTTTCGCACCCTGTTATTAACTGATATCGCGTCGCCATCGATGCACAGACGAGGTCTCCCATGAACTGATGCTGGGCTCATTACGCGGGTCTTCTTGTAGGTACTGAGGATGTATGGAGCGGTGGGCTCGAATCGCCCCCTCCACAGGCAGCTGCCCCACACGTGCAGTTTGATATGAGTGGTAAATACCTAGGTATGCCGCGAATGCCTGGTCTTTTGTTTGCATCTACATATCAGCCATTCTGATGTATTCATCACACCATGTTGCTATAATTCCGAATGTTTCAGCTCTTTCAACTTTGCAGATTGAATGCCTGCGCGTACCTTCCAGGTTTGTGAGCCTTTCAGTGTTTACTTCCCCAACTACTCCCACCCACGTACTACCACCTTTACTCGCTTGATGCAGCACCAATCGGTCTGATCTTCGCGGCGACGACTTACCCTCGTTCGCTTTTACACCAACTTTTACACAGCCTCAATCGAAAGCCACGCGCCCGACAGTCGCCATGGCCTACCACTCAGCCTACCGCGGCATTGCGACAGGAGCCAATGGCGAGTTTGATCACTTCGTACGGCAGCTTGACCCATCGCATTTGGAAGGTGGATATTGGAGGTTCCAGTCCATCGACGACGATCGGCGCGCCATGGCCCGCGGCTTTACAACACCTGAAGATGTGCTCCAAGCTGCCGACTCTAGCGAGGACAGGTTCGACGAGATCATAATAAGATGGGTGAGGGGTGCAAACGATGCAAGCTTTAAGATGGCGATGTCGGGTACAGCACATCAGCATCTCCAAACCATCTACGAACTGCGCTCGATGCTTCGTCTGCCCATGTCGTCCCGAGGACAGGTACCGCTATATACAATCAGCACAAACCCGCGTCTCCGGCAGTACTGGGAGGCAAAATATAGAGCCCAACGACCTACTCCAATCGATCCTGCGATTCAACTACCGGAACGTCCCATGTCATCTTCAGTAACGCCAGGGCCTGTAAATTTGACTCCATCCCAGGCTCAGCAGGCAGAACCATCGAAATCAAAGTCTCCTGTTGGCAGAGTTACCAGAGCACGCAGCGCGAAGTTATCACAAGCAGCGCGACCGAAACCTGCAGCCAAGACTACATCGGCCAAACAAAAACCCAGTACTTCTACAGCGCCTACAGGCCAGTCCTCGTCCACATCTCCATCGTCGGAGAAGATCAAGGCTCAACTTCGTCCTGAAAAAGCGACAAATCAACATCAGATCCCCTTCCAAAGCCTCGCAACGCAGCCGTTGGCGCCCGCACAACCTGGTCCGTCTATCAGCGCGAATGTGCCTACGATACCGCGGGCTGCGTTAGAATGGGGGTTACAGCCGTCACCGAAACAGGCAACATCGAATCCCAGCGATGGAGTATCGCAATACAATTGGGTTCACTCGTCCGCTCGCTTATCCGCTGTACGATACTCTCCTTACGTAGCTCACCCACAACAGCAAGCCCAGTGCGAGAGCGCTGCATACCCTTTACTGAATACTACTGCCTCGACCTCAGGAACTTCCAATACTTCGAATATACCAATCCGATCTCCGACAAGCGGAAGACAAGACAAACCTTCCGATAACACACACACTAGGCACGTGGTACCGAAGCAGGGAGACGATGACCGAGCGGGTGGTCTCATTACAGAGTTTACCGCCAAGAAAGATTCTCGTTCAATCGCAACTCCAACGAAGCCGTCAGCGTTCAACGACGATGCTAGCATGACCAGTGTATCAACAAGCCCGTGCGCGCTCCATAATGCCATCTCAAAGACCTCCACAAAGCAGCCGCAAGAAGTGTCGTTCGATAGCCGATCTAGCCCAATACCGTTACCAATAAGCTCCCCAGTACATCATACCGAAGGCATAAACGACCAAGGGCCAATCGCGGGCGTTAGAGCGTGCGACACGGCAACCGACGAGCAGGCTTATGCTCCTCTGGCGAAACAACAGCCGTCCATCAAGGATCTCCGGTCGCTCAGCATATCAGACTCACGCCCACTGGTTCTCAAAGCTACGACCGTACCGGAGAAGCCGCTAAAAACTATACCCGAACCATGGGGCAGTTACATGAGAGGCCTTGAACAGCTTCCATGTGCGGATTGTGGAGAAGATGACGGCCACCTGCTGGATTGCAATCTTGGGAGTAGGTATCATGACATCAACCCCTCCATCGTCACTAACAGTGCCTAGACATTGCACCAATGCAAAATCTCACCGTCCTCGACTATCGTACGCTTACCGATGCTGTCGAGCGCTTCGATCCCAGCCCATGGACAACCCATTTTGTCCCTCCCGAACCCGAGCCTGAAGACGCGGCGACACAGATGCGAGGCATGGCTACGGTCATACGGAATGAGGATAGCTATAAACAAGACCCCGAGCTTCACGGACTACCAGATGACCTTATGATGATGTTGTGGGCTTTCAAGACTTCAGAAAACATTCAGGTTATCAATGAGTATGTGGAGAGTTACTCACGACTACATTGTGATGCTGACTTTTGCTCTAGGGATGGTTGGGATGCCGGTATCGGCGATTTCGAGATGTGGTGATGAGAATGTGTCATTTGGCTCGCCCTGGGTAGATGAACCAGATCAGCGATTATGGGTCAGCAGTTTGGAGGCGAGTTTGCTGTCCTGGACCTTATGTGATGTCGAAAGAAGAGAGACATGTTGTTGTGAACAGCGTCACTTCTGCTCATTTCCGGCGCATGAGACTTGCGTTTCACTTACTCGAAAAGCACCGTGGAGGTAGAAACCAGAAAATTTACAATGTGTCTATACTCCTTTTTCTCATCGTCTCGGCGTTAATGGATTTCGTGGTCTAGTCGATGTCACGACTAGCGGTTGAAGAATCGAAGCCCCGCATCGTGTACCTCGGCAGCCCATCCTGGCCCGCCACGGACGAATTACAACAACAAACACTAGGTAGTTCTCGTGCAACCCTTACTCTGTGTAGGTTTACCGCATTATCCCTGAGTTGTCCTCCGTTATAGTCGCTGCAGCCTAGAAATTAATAACATCTCTAGAACCATTTCTGTCATCTTGACGCCGGCCACGATTTGGTAACCTGCAATCCCTGCGCAACTTGTCCATATATAACCATAACGAAACACTTCGAAGTGCGCATCACCACGTCCAGTATTGTAGGACACCACCGCGGTCTTTATCACAGCCATGGCCGATTTCGAAACCATCATCAACGACGCCATTGCAGCGCAAGAAATCCCCGGGTGTGCTCTAGCGGCTACAAGCCGTGATGGTACGCAAACTTCCCGTTGAAAAATCTAATCTTCAGCACTAATAGACACCAGGCTCCTTCACATACTCCAAAGCCTTCGGGAGCACCTCAATAAACCCCGGCTCAGCCAAGCCTATGGACCTCAACACCATGATGTGGGTCGCATCCTGCACCAAACTCATGACGGCCCTCTGCGCCATGCAACTTGTCGAGCGCGGTCATATCACCCTGAATGAACCCATATACACCCACATCCCGGAGCTGGAGTCACTCAACGTTCTCACCGGTTTCACCGACGCGGGAGTCCCCATCGAAGAAAAGCATAAAACCCCCATCACTCTCCGCCTATTGCTGACACACTCGAGCGGCCTGACGTACGAGGGCATGCATCCGAAAACGCTCGCCTGGCTGAAGTATCATGGTAAGAAACTGAACGCCAAGCCAACGGTGGTGGAGCGATTCAACGCGCCGCTTGTGTTTGAGCCGGGAGAGAGCTGGGCGTATGGGCCTGGGGTTGATTACGCTGGACTGCTAGTGGAAAGGATCTCAGGTCTCACACTAGAAGAGTACATGAAGAAGAACCTCTGGGGTCCACTCGGCATCACCGACGTTACGTTCTTCCCCTCGACACGCCCGGATCTACAAGAGAGAATGGCGGAAATATCAGGCCGGGGTGAAGACGGGAAACTAGTTGTTCATGATGGTAAGATGCCTTATGTAGATGATAAGGGCGAAGAGGTGACGGGTTGTATGGGTGGACAGGGTAGCTTTACCTGCGCGAAGGAGTATATTAAGGTGTTGAAGGGGGTGTTGGATTGTGATGATGAAGGCGAGGGGAAGGTGCTGAGTAAGGAGAGTTTGGAAGTGTTTTTCAAGCCGCAGCTGGGCAAAGGGAGTAGGGCGATGTTGAATGCGATTGTGCAGGATGATATGGTATGTCTTTCTTCTACTCTATTCTCGCTGCATAGTCTGACTGATAATCAAAAAGGCAAACAACGCAATGGGCGGTACCCCCAAACACGTAGCCAAAGACTACGCTCTCGGCGGCTTGGTCATGTTGGGAGACGCGCCCGACGGCAAGAAGGCAGGAACGATGCTTTGGGGCGGCTATCCCAATCTCATCTGGTGGATCGACCGTAAGACTGGACTCGCTGGGATTTACGCTGGGCAGGTTGTACCGCCTGGGGATCTGATTTGTGGGAAATTGATGAGGAAGTGGGAGGAGGGTTGTTATGGGATGTTTGAGAAGCATAGCGAGAATGAGTCGAAATTGTGAAGGTGCTGGTGAAAGGGCACAAGTAACAAGGCGGATGTGCTGACGTCCTCAGAAAAGTTGTAGAAGCGAAGACGTAGAAATGGTAGGGCAGATATCGGGCTCATACAGTGCAGAGTGAAGACAATGAGTTTTATAAGTATATTCTTCTATTGATGTTCTTGCTCATGCTCATCCGATGCTCAGCGATGATGCGATGTGAGCGTTCAGTATCCATATCCACGTCCATTCCGCGTCCATGCATCTCCATGTCAATCTCATACTGAGTAAGCACCACCAAATTCCATACCAACCAACCAGGCAATGCGCCCTTCAGTTCTAGCCAGAAGACCCCTCGCATCCGCGCCATCAAGGCAATAAAAGAAAGAAAAGCAGATACATGGCATGATACCATGCAACAGCGAGCGCGCAAAGCATCTAGCGACGACGACCAGCAGCCTGGAGCATAGCATTGCGCTTGAGAGCCTCCTGCTGGCGGATGCGTCCATAGTCGCTCGAAGGAGTGGGGATCTGACCGATGAAATTACCAGTTCGACGGGCATTCAGCAGGGCGGTAGCGTCGGCGAAGTCGTTGTTGTTGTTATTGACAGGAGAAGTAGGCTGCTGAACCGCCGGAGCCGTAGTTGAGTCACCGATGACGCCGTTACCACAAGAGCCGCCGAGACCTTGAGAAGCAGGACGAAATGTATTGGTGAAGTTGAACTTTGGCAGGTTGAACTCGGGCAAATCGAACTGGAGCTCAGGCACGGAGAACTGAAAGTCGGATGCGGCAGTGTTGATGTCCCTGTTGAGGCAGTAGTCCATGTTGACGAAGTCATTGCCCAAAGGCTCGTATGCGTTGTCAATGTTGGCGTTAGACATGGTAGAATTGGCCGGACGCGACTGCACATTTTGAGCTGCCATGAGAGCGTGGTACTTGGCGGCGTCCTCGGCGTCGATGTCGCGGGTGGTAGTAGCGGCAGCCGGGCTACTGAGGAATGCACTTGGACTCGAAGGTGTGATTGTGAGACTGTTGCGCTGTGTCTCTGGGGGAGAGGTTGAGGTGCCCATGAACTTGTCGCCGCTGTCGCCGGTGCCGAAGACGTCTTCGCCGATCATCTCGAAGTCAGGTGGGGGAAGTAGGGAACCGGGCTCGCCGATCTTGATACCGGTGCTAGGATCAATGCCCTGGAGGAGAGGAAGTAGAAGACGGCCTTTCTCTTCTTGAGTGAGCTGAGACCAGGGGAGGTGGTACAGCTCTCCCACACAGCGAAGGGGACCGGAGGGTGCAGAGACGGTGCGCTTATGAGCCTTTGCTGGCTTCTTGGGCTTGGTGACCTTGGCAGCTTTCTGCTTGGGTGCCTTGGGGACCTTGGGGACCTTAGGGACCTTGGGGACCTTGGGCTTGGGTGGCGCTTTCTCCTTGGGAGCAGCCTTGGGCTTGGATGCGCGAGGCTTGCGAGGTTTAGCGGGAGCCTTAGTCTTCTTCTCCGGGGTGGCCAGAGTTGGGTTCATGAGAGGCGCCCACATTGCTTCAATAGGCCCTGGAGCGGCAGGCAAAGTGGAGGCGGGGAAGTTCTCAGTGGCCTTGAGGAGAGCACAGGTCGCCGACTCAGCACCTTGTAGATGCCCGGCGTCACCCAGGAGGTCACCGCCGGAAAGCCCAAACGACATGTTGGCGGTAAGATCTTGAGCTTTGAAATTGTAGTTGAAGTTGAGAGCGACGTCTTCACCAGATGTCTCGACGGAAAGCAGAGGAATGTCGCAGTCCTGGAGGAGAAAGTCGTCGTTGCAGAACATGCTGAAGTCGAAGTTCATATTGTTGGACATGTTGATGAATACGTAGGTTTGAAAGAAGTGAGAAAGTAGTCGTTGAGATGCTTGAAGATAATCAGGGAGTAGTGTGGAGAATAGTGTATGAGAGACGAATAGAATTTGATTTTGACAGCCACAAGGTGAGCTCTGTGGGAGGAAAGCTGGGCGTCGTTATATAAGCAATTGAGGAGGCTGGTTAGCAAGTCTGTTAGCATGAAGATAGATAAATACCGCAACTTTTCTTCCATCTTCTGCTGTGCAGGTCGTGGTGGTGGATACTTCAGTTACCCAATTCGGCGTCGCATACTGAGGCTGCGCCAGGCCACTGGCCCAGCCTCTCCAAAATCTGGCGTTCTGACCGGGATCTGGTGTCGTTTTGCGGAGGTTCGGGGGTTGGGGTAGAAAAGTTGCGTTTCATGTCTCCTTCACTTTTTGGCAGCAGCGCCTGACTGGCTCGGTAAAGGCTCAATAACGCGACAATAGCAAGAAAGACGAGAGATAGAAGGCAACAGATATTTCTTGTGCGACTGGAGACATGATAGAGATTCTGGACGCCGTTTGGTGTAATGGCCGCGGTAGGTGTGAGAAGGTGAAGGGGCGCCGAGAGATGAGCAGTTAGCGGGCGCGACACCCCTACACAGCATATTGGCTACAGTCGTTAGGGCACTGAGCGCGAATACATAAATCAAAATGCGCGTTTGGCACCTTTGGATGCGTGCAAGCAACTTGTGCGTCATCGCGTCTCAGTGAGCTAAGCCGCCGCTGATGTGTGCGAGAGCAGCATCCCTCGTAGCCATCATGAGAGCCTCGGTGCTGCGCCAACAGACCTCTCAAAGTGTTGGGGTTAAGGTTGATAGCCAATAATATGGGTCGTAATATATACCTGCACTCATGGTGCCTTCTCCGTACTTCGGACACCGCTGGTGGGACCGTTTGGTGAGAGAGACGTTGATGACGTCATCGATCACGATACCGCCAAAACCGACCGCAGCTCTAAGATGACCTTATTAGCTTCGACTGGTCACATACTCATTGCGAAAGAGAAGGTATCGGGCAATTACGATGAGTGCGGTAGTGTAGACGTACAAACCTTGCGAATTGCGTGTGCGTGGAGGTTTGCGCGGGCTGTTGCCGACTTATACAACAGAGGCACCCACTAAGGATGAGAGAAGACGCTTAACGGGCATATATTTACAACGTTAATTGATATATAACAAAGACAATAGCTACTGAAGATGAAGTGACGTTGGCCTGTGAAACGCCAATCATGCGTGTCATCCTGCAAATTGCTGGGCGCTGCCGCGAAGGATCTAGCGCGAACATGCACAGAACCCAAATGCCACCTCGCCTGTCGTCTTTCCCTTTCTTCCCACATCTCTTTCCATCTCCTCCAGCGCTCGCGCATCTCACTAACTAAGTGGATTTGTCCATTACCATCTCCTACGTGTTCTATCAGCGCGGTAGGGTAGGTTTCTTTGCGGATCTCGTAGTCCGGTTATCGCGCGTATCCTCCCATCCTGCGACCTTCCTCGCTCTGCATCGCTAGCAGGTCATCAAGGCCCCGTCTTCTGTTTTCGCCTTATGATCCTACGATTATTAACGCATATATGTGGTCGTATTGTGTTGCCAGACATCTGGTCGTCTCAAATCCTGAGGTAGTTCGTGGCCCAATGGATCCTTAGCTCTTCGTCCATCTCGTCCCATTCTACACGTGTCATACCGCCCTCAATCTGCTGCCAGGATGGTTGGTATTCTGTTAATTGCGATGCATCGACAGCGCGGCTATTCACGACCCGGCGTACCGCTCGAGGTTTCGACTTCGGTGCCTGTATCGGCAACAGTCGCATCGCTGTGTCTCCAGCAGCCGCTCGGTCATTGTGTTTGGGAGTGATGGGACTCTGTGCTCGTCGGCTCGATGCGTGCGTCAGGATGGGTATCCTTGGATCTGACGCACTATCCGGCACTTCGTTGTGGGCGCCAGAGCTGGTCGGGAAGTTGGTGTTCCGTGGCGCGTATGTGTTGCTCACTGAGGATCGCGCAGAGCCAGCGCTACCCTGACTCGCGTTGTGATCGCCCGCCTGAATGCGCAACGCGGCCTGCTCTTCGGAGAGTGGCGCTACCATCTTTGACAGCCAGACTTTACCCGCGATGTAGACCGGGTACCATCCTTGTGGTCGCAGCATCTTCAACGCGGATTCAGTAGGGGACAAACACGCTCCGAACGTAGGGTCGTGGATAGTGGCAGAGATAAGATCCGGCGGAATACCCTGAAGCCCGCATGCCATAGCGAATGCCAGCATCTTCCGGTCATAGACCTCGGCGTTGGCGGGTGGAGCTGGCTCGGCGAAATGCTGCTCACCCTTCTCTGCTTTGAGGGCGGCAATTTCGTCGTGCAAGCGCTGCGTGGTTGGAACAGCCTCGTTGAAGTAAAGGTCCCACCAATAGTTGCTGTCACTCTTCGCTTTCATGATTTCGCTCTCGCAATTGTCGACGACGGTCTTGCCCCACTGCTCGATCTTCTGGAAATTATCTTGTAGCTGAGCGTTCGTTTCGATGAGGCTCTTGTTCAATGTGGTGGTTCCGCTCACCAGTTCCAGCAGCTTGTGGTGGTCTTGCTCACCGAGAGCACCTTAGCGGCTTTTGGCTACCTTACGGAGCATGTTCAGCTCGTGCATCATCGCCTCTGTGCTTTTGCGAAGTGTGCTATTAGACTTATTTTCTTCAATAAGCTCGGCGTCTATGATGTCGTATTCGATGGAGACTTTGAGGTGATCGCTATCAAGCTTATCAAGCTTGGCTTGCACATCTGTCTTCTCGTCCCGCTCGGCTTGGAGAGAATTTCGCAGTTGCTCGTTTTCGAGATCGATCGCATCAAGAGCTGCGCAATGTGCGCCAGGCGGCAGAGTGCCTTGCTGTATATCCTCGAGCTGTTCCGCCAAGTCGCGGATTTGATCCTTCCTCAGTGCCAGTTTGTCTTTCAGCAGCTGCACGTTCTTTTGAGAGCGGTTCAACGCCACTCGCATATCCTGTTCGGCTTCTCGATGTAGCGTGACGCTCGTCTCGGTATTCTGGATTGTGTCGAGCAGGTTTTCGGCGTGGGTCTCCAAACGCTGCACTTCCGCCCGAAGTTTCGCTGCTTCTTCTTTGCCAGCGATATCTGCTTCCAACACACGCTGGAGCTCCCTTCCACTTGTGAACTTCTGGCGTAACATCCGCGACATGGTTTCGTGCTCCTTCTCGAGCTGCTGGTTTCGAGTCTTGAGGCTAATGATGGTCTCCTCGTTTTTGGAGATGGCATCATTGTATTCAGCTACGATTCGACTGTTCATCTCGAATGCTTCGATCTTGTTTTTCAGATCGTCAGTCTTGACCCTGTTTATTTTGAGAATCTTCCTCTTCTCAAGATTGGCCTTGCTCTTTATGTCTTCACGCTCAGCGGTGAGCTTTTCGACCGTCTTCTGGAACGTGGAATATTTCCGCAGGCATTCTTGGTGCCACTTCTCATTTTCTCCACGCCGGGCCGCGATGGCCAGGTCGTGTTCTGCCTTCGACGCCGCCGTTTCCCGATTCCTAACCTCGATCTCCGCTTGGTGGTTCTCAGTCGCTTCAAGAAAACGGTCCTTCAGGTCTCGGTTTGTCTCGTCAACCTGTTGGCAATAGGCTTCCATGTTGGCGACTTCTTGGGACCATTCATCTACCAATCGCTTGTCGTTCAAGCGCTGCTCTCGCTGCTCAGCATATTTCTGTTCGAGAGCTTGGTATTGAGCGTCTTTCTCGCATTCACACTGCTTTGCGTCGTAGAGATCGTCTTGCAGCACCCCATGCCGCCCGCCGATGATCATCAGCACCTGACTGAGCTTCTGTCCGGTCTCGCCGTCGTTGCTTCCATGGTGCGAAGTACGGTATGCGCCGGGGCTAGCGCTGCGGCCGTCGTCATTTTCTGGCCATGGGCTTGACTTTCCGCTGCCACTGGAGGAGCTGATTATTGAAGCCGATGATGCGGTCATACCGTGTGCGGGACGTGCCTTGCGCCAAGTCTTGTTGGTCGCAAGGTTGATGTATAGCGCAATGTTCTTGCACAGCGTAATGTCCTTCTATGTCTTGTCAGCCTCCTTATCTGTTTGTATGTCTGCGTCAGAACCTACGCAGAGTGAAGTGTCTGTCTCAGTCGAACGCGCAAGGAGCAGCCTCTTGATATGAGCCAGTCTCTTCTGGTATACAGTATCCCCTGGGCCGCCATCGACGTGCGCGACTTCGGACAATGGCTGACTGCGCGTCATCTTCTCCCGGCTGGCCTCGATCGGAATGGCGGGTTGCTGTTGGGTCTCCATGTCGGGCAGACTCATGTTGGTGCTGGTGGAGCTGCTTGCGGAAGTGATCTCGTTGGCAGCCGGCGCGCTCCACATGACAAGCTCAGATGTGGTCAGGGGAAGGATATTGGTTGATTGGGAATCTGCTCCAGAGTTGAGTGCGCCTGCCGGTGTGGGCGATCCGTAGAGCAGATCTGTAAAGAGAAAGTAGAGTTGCTCTGGTCATTCACGCGTTCCGAAGCGCACATGTCGTAGACGCACGACTATCGCGAGATTCACTGAGTTGCTACAGTTTGGGTCAAAGCACCCTGACAAGATCAGAAGAACCACCCAAGGGGCGCGAAGTATGACAACAAGGACAACCTGCGCTGATGGACGGATTGGACACCACTCTGAGGATGCTGACTTCCTCCCAGTTGTATTGTTGTCGCAATGGTATACTATACATGACCAAAACTTGTACCGACCTTCTCTGCCAGCTTGCAATTGAGCGCCGCTGCAGAGACTGATACATCACACCGCTCGCAATATTCCGTGATCCCGTCATGGTACCACAGTGTTTTGTGGAAGGACTTAGTATTTTGTAGATTACTGCGAGCATGTTGATATTGAAAGCATCACCTGAAGTGTGGCTTACGCCAACAATGCACAAGACCTTTTGTCTGCATTTAGACGTGACGATTTGTCAACCATCAGACTGTATTTGCCTGGGCCACGCTGGTTGAAGCTATAAATCCATACAGTCTCATATGCCTGTTCTTCCATTGTTCAGGGGCGCACAACTACTGCAAGGGAATTCTACAGCAACTTGTGGGTAGGCTACCTTATGGTATACAGAGCTCGGGAGTAAGGTTAGTCGGCTTCACCTAATACCCTCTTAACGAAGAAAAAAGTGTGCCTGTGCTTCTAACTGGGGCCTGGTCTTGGCTCGGGCTGGTCATCGAGGTACTCTGTTGCATGGTATGATTGGAATATCTTGATCAAATATCCAATAAGCCAATCACGAGTCATATTGGTTGCAGCCGCAAAATCACGACGAAAGCGAAGACTCTTCGGATTCGAGCGCGAAAGTCAGAAGAAGACACAAGTACGAGAATACGAATACACGGAGAAGGCTGTGCGCGTCCCCGATGTCCGTGATTCAGGCCCCGGTGGCGCTAATCCACACGCGACCTAGCGTCACCGTCCGAACTGTCACAACTCCAGTAATTTCTCCTCGCTAGTGACGAAGACGTTACACCAGCGGGCCTTCCCTAACAGCCATGATACAGATATTCTACGCGCACGTTGTTACTCGGGGCCCAAGTCGATCGTCTTTGATGATGCCCGAATGTCATGACGTCGTGTTTTTGCGGCTGATGGGCGCCGCCTTGGCAACGCCGGAGGCCTTGACGTCCGGCGCGCGAGACGCCCGTGGACGCGACGCTATAGACACGCTCCAGACCTGCTTATCTCATGCGACATACAACACTTCCTGCCTGCTGCGTTGATGCGCGTATGTTGCTCGCGCATTGTCAACGATGATGGACACCCGTGACGCACCGTCGGTGACTACTCACAGCTCCAATACCATGCAGGAGACAGCAGATAGACCCCCTTTTGCGATCAATGTTTCTGGCAACGTCGACCCAGAAAAGCAAGTTGATGTTGATGATGGGAAATCAAGCAAGGCTTCCAACGACAAAGAGACGAAAGAAGAGAAAGAAGGAAGCCTGAAAGACTATTTTGTAAGTCAGAGATCCGCATGAGTCTAATGACTGTAGCCTGATGTCTTTTCTCATAGCGTATCTTTACCTATGCCAGCACGGCTGATCGCATACTGTTTGCTCTTGGACTCACAGGTGCCGTCGTTGTTGGTGCTGCGCTCCCCCTGATGACTCTTGTCTTTGGACAGTCCACGGCCGAATTCAATCAACAAGCAACCGGTCAAGACAGCTCGAACTTTACCAGCAACATCGACAACTTGGTACTCTATTTTGTTTACCTCTTCGTCGCTCGCTTCGTTATCGGGTATTTGGGTACACTGTGCATCTGTATCGCGGCAGCAAGGACAACATGCGCGTTGCGAGAGGACTTTCTGGACAAGTTGCTCCGTCAAGATGTGGCGCATTTCGACAAAGATGGCAGTGGATCTGCTGCGACTCAGGTGACTACAAGTGAGCAACCTACTTCAATTGCCCAGGTATATACTGCTGACATCGCCGTCTAGATGGCAACAGGATCAATCAAGGCACCGCGGAAAAGCTATTTACATGCGTCCAAGGCATCTCGCTGTTCTTCTCTGGCTTCATCGTGGCAATCGCTGTTCAATGGAAGCTTGCTCTTATTGTGATGAGCATAATACCTGCCATTTTCCTGATCACCGGGGTATGCATAGGCATGGATGCGCCCATCGAAGCTAGAGTGGTCAGTACCGGTACCCACGTGTCTTGATGCGTTTAACTAACAAGTCGTACACAGACCAAGATCTATTCGCAAGCTGGTACACTAGCGCAAGACGCGATCAGCTCGATCAGAACCATTCATGCCTTCGGGGCTCACCAGAAGATTGTTGATGGCTACGAGACCTACCTCCAGAAGGCGCACAAGGAGGGAAACAAGAAGTCCGTTATCTATGGTGTGCTCTTTTCTGGCCAAACATTCTTGGTCATGTCAGGTACTTCGCTAGCCTTCTGGCAGGGGTTTCGTATGTTCCAGAGTGGGGAGATTGGTGATGTGGGCACAGTCTTCACCGTCGTTCTGAGTGTTGTGCTCGGCGCTACCGCAACACTGCTCATCTTCCCCCAGATACAGGCTTTCACTAATGCCTCCTCGGCGGCAAGCGAGCTGTTCTCCATCATCGACAGGCCGTCGGCACTCGATCCACTTTCTACAGAAGGCTTGCAGCCATCCGACTGCAACGGGGAAATCATCATCAACGATCTACGGTTCGCCTATCCTGCCCGACCCAGCGCCCAGGTCCTTCGAGGACTGAGTTTGTCTATACCAGCGGGAAAGACAACCGCTCTGGTTGGGCCCAGTGGATGTGGTAAATCGACCTTGGTCGGTCTGCTTGAGCGATGGTACCAACCCGCTGCCGGTCAGATACTCCTTGACGGTCGAGATATTTCCGAATACAACACGAAATGGTTGCGGTCCAACATTCGTCTCATTCAGCAAGAACCTACCCTGTTCCAAGGTACGATCTTCGAGAACATCATCAAGGGCCTTGTAGGAGACCAAAGGGATTTACCAGCGGAAGCGCAAATGCAAATCGTGCAGGAAGCATGTAAGAACAGCAACGCACATGACTTCATCGAGGCGCTACCAGAAGGCTACCATACCCAAGTTGGAGAGCGCGCAAGCATGTTGAGTGGTGGCCAACGACAGCGCATTGCTATCGCTCGAAGCATCATTTCAAATCCCAGGATCTTATTGTTTGACGAAGCGACCAGTGCCTTGGACCCTCGCGCCGAAAAGGTTGTGCAAAGCGCACTCAACCGCGTTTCGATCAACAAGACGACGCTGATCATTGCCCATAAGCTTGCCACTGTGATGGCGGCCGACAACATCATCGTCATGAAAGAAGGTCAGATCTACGAGCAGGGTACCCATCATGAACTCCTCGAGAGTGATGGTCTTTATGCGGCAATGGTGCGCGCACAGGATCTTGGTACGAAGGCCAACGACGAAGACATTGAAAGAGAGCTGCTTGAAACAGCAGATGTCGAAGACGCCCTAGATAGCAAGGCCCCAATGCGACGAATGCAATCGCAGTACAGCACCACGGAAGTCGAGCGAGAGATCGAGCAACTTGCTGCTGGGACTCTGGGCTACTCACTCATCAAATGCATCTGGATCATGCTGAAGGAGAACCTTGATCTCTGGGTCTGGTATGCTGCCACCATTATTGGGGGTATAATCGGCGGTGGTACCTACCCAGCCCAGGCCATCATCTTCTCCCGTCTTGTTCGAGTGTTCACATTGCAGGGCTCTGAAGCACAAGACCAAGCCAACTTCTGGGCCCTTATGTTCTTCGTACTGGCTCTCGCCAACCTTTTCGCATACTTTATGATCGGCCTTGCATGCAACAACATCGGGCAGGCAATGACTCATCGATATCGAAGAGAGATGATCGAGCGCATTGTCAGCTTCGACCAAGAGTTCTTCGACCGCCCGGAAAACTCGTCTGGTGCTTTGACCTCGAAGCTGTCATCTGCGCCGACAGCATTACAAGAATTGATGTCGGCGAACTTGGGCCTCATGTTCAACATCTTGGTCAACATCACGGCGAGTAGTGCGCTTGGCATAGCTTATGGTTGGAGGCTAGGACTCACTCTGGTATTCGGCGGACTGACCATCATCGTCGCTGCTGGCTATTATCGCATACGACTGGATCAGAAGCTCGAGAGTGCCACAGAAGAACAGTTCTCTGGTAGCGCGGGTTTGGCAACAGAAGCCGTTACCTCCATTCGTACCGTCAGCATGCTGACTCTGGAAACCTCGATCATGCGGCAATACAGCGACACACTCCAGGCTATCACGAGCAAAGTCATCAAGAATCTGACCTTTGCGCTGATCCCATACGCGCTTTCGCAATCCGCTGACTTCCTAGTGATGGCTCTCGGCTTCTGGTACGGATCGCGGCTAATTGCGAAAGGCGAGTACACTACGTCGCAGTTCTTTGTGATCTTCATCGCCATTGTCTTTGGAGGGCAGGGCGTCGCGCAATTCTTCATGTACAGCACCTCGATCACAAAGGCAGAAAGCGCGGCAAATTACATCTTGTGGCTCCGGACCGTCAAACCGAGCATATGCGAATCGGATGAGACCGACGGTAAGGGACCGCCATCTGATGGAGCCATCGCCATGGAAGATGTCGAGTTCAGATACAAGCAACGCAATGCATTCAGAGTGTTGAGGGGCATCTCCATGAAGATTGAGCCCGGCAAATTTGCTGCCTTTGTTGGCCCGTCTGGCTGTGGCAAGAGTACGGTTGTATCTCTGCTGCTCCGATTCTACGACCCGATATCCGGACGCATTACATTGGACGATCACGACATCTCACTCATGTCTCCCCAGCTCTACCGCCGTTACATGTCGCTCGTGCAACAAGAGCCACCACTCTACCTCGGCTCCGTACGAGAGAACATCGCTCTTGGTCTCGAATACAAGCCTTCCGACGCAGAGATCCAGGAAGCCTGTCGCCAAGCTAATGTCTTGGAGTTCGTCGCTTCATTACCTGAAGGTCTCGAAACACCTTGTGGGTCTAAGGGCTTGCAGTTCTCTGGTGGGCAAAGACAACGTATTGCGATTGCCAGAGCGCTTATTCGCCAGCCGCGATTGTTGTTGTTAGACGAAGCGACGTCCGCTTTGGACACTCAGAGTGAAAGGATAGTGCAGAAGGCGCTGGATGAGGCTGCGATGTCGAGGACGACGATTGCCGTTGCACATAGACTGTGAGTACATCCATACAGAGATTCATGACGACAGGTCGCTGACATTGCATACAGGAGCACGATTCGACACGCAGACATCATCTTCGTCATGGAAGATGGTATTATCGCCGAAATGGGTACACATGAGGAACTGCAAAGATTAAGAGGCAGATATTTCGCCACGTGTCTGGCACAGTCGCTGGACCAGGCATAACTTAGTAATTTTAATACGAGGCTTTTCGACACTTGCAGATCTTCAGTCGCGATATACGTGAAGTCAGACGGCCGAAGGCGGCTGCAATTGGCCGATGCGGTCTTTCTCTTTGACGACAGCTAATTCGCATGCTCAGGCCCATTAGGCCGATCACATCTCTAGACAGTCGTCCCGGGTTGCCTAGTGTTTTGCTGACTACAGCAAGCGTTCAACGGTCGAGCGTATTATCATACATCGGGTTGGCAGCTACATTGACTGCCATGGTTACTCTCACAGACCACTCCGCGACATGTCTTCCTCAACCCGGAACTCCAAGCGTTCGCTGCTCGCCATGCCAACCAAGGATCGGCCATCCTACAGGGAGAGTTGCGAACGGAGGCAGTGCATACCGACCGTCGCAAGCGCCACTGGTGCACTGCAGATCGCACAAACCAAGCATTTTGCAATAGCACACATTCGCGTCGGGACAATGGATAGGTTCTTGCCCAAATATCACTTCAAGGATTAGCACACGGGTAATTTCATGGTGAGATTGGGAGTCTTACTATGCCAGGAATATTCTACAATCCTTCCACTGATCGAGTCTTCCAACGGTGTCGCAAGCAACCAATCTCGAATGCGTTCATAGTACTCAACTGGTTGTTCTTGTATCTTTTCCTTCGTAGCAGCAAACTGCGCACAGCAAGAGACACCAACTGCCTCTGGAACGTCGCGACCTGGGAAGAGCTCTTCAAAGGCTTGCTTGTAGAAATGACCCGCATGAGCTTGAGTTTGGGCTGGGTCTACTGCATCTTTGAACGGGCGGATCTCGGTCGGGCAACCCAGAACCCATACACACCGCAGGTTAAGATACCCTTTCTCCTGAAGGTAAGGTATGCGAAATTGTCGCAGAACCGACAGGCCGTCATAGTCGGGATCGTCGTTGTGCCATTGGTATCTCTGCGCGTGGAGAAAGAGAATGTTTGCTGGCAATTTGTTGTAGTTGTCGATGATGAAGCTAGCTCAAAGTCAGTCCCTGCGTGGCAAACGACATCGTCGCGCTGGGTTGTATTCATACGAAAGATACACCATTGATTCACGACCCTTATTCAACGGCACCGTGAGCTCCGCGGTTGGCTCGTCCACTACATAGACATGTTTGCGCCACTCCGGAAGCTCATCGTAGAACCAAGATGTATTCTCATGCTTCATGGAAGCGATGACTAGGGCCTTGTCCACCGGGCCTTCGTTAATAGCGATGCTGCCATAAGGTTTATTGGGAACATTCGAGCTCAGTTTCCAGAAAGTCAGAACGGATAGAAGTACAAGACACGCAGCGATGAAAGGAGTCCGAATTGGTCGACGCAACGCAGACATGGCGTTGACGTAGAGTCTGCGGAACGATCAGGGTATGTTTGGGTGATATTGACGGATTCATAGCCACGTTCACTATTGCAGACCTGTCAGCAACAGCTGAAAGGGTTCAGTTCTGGCCCCCAAAGTCAGGGCGCGATCAATTCCACTAGTGGTTAGTCGTTGGCCCCAATCTCGGCTTGCCGTGCATTAGCGTGAATAGGGATCGGCCGGACGACTACAACACGCTGCAACACAACACCACGAACATCAAACCACGGATGTAGTTGCCAGAGTGCTACATCAACAGATCTGGACATCTCATATCAAGCTATGCTGCAGCTCCGCAACCGGCTCTGGCGTTCCTAGAGCTCTACTCGCGCGGCAGAGCGACGTGTCCTGTGGCGTCTCCGGTCAGATTCGACATGTGGCAAATTGACGCCAAAAGCCACACATAGTCCAGGACATCGTCACTATCTTGTTTCAGCTGCAGCCACACGATTTTTGCTCCTATTGCTGGGGGGCCTTGCCGCAGGTGTGGGCCAACGTGTTCTCGGCACGATAACATACCTACAAGATAGATTGCCCTTTCTCTCCATCCTAAGCGCAACGATGATTGTGAATGCGTAGGTACAGAGAAAGGCATCTGCATGGCCAACTGCTGGAAGCGTGTGTAACTCGCCTGTTCTCATGAAAGATTCCAGGTCCGCATGAGCATGAGGCTGAACGCCAGGCTTCCTAACAACCTTAGGCCGACCGTCAGGCCGCTCAGCCAGTAATCCACGGCCGCGCTACAACTCCCCCATTTTAAGCTGGGCGATATCCGTTGCAATTGGTCTAGGAATCTACCGCAGCACAATGGCGGTGCACGGCCTTCTATCGCACTATTCTCATAAGATCAGATCTCGGCCTCGCTCGCGTGGATTGTACGTCCCCACCAAGTCACTTTCAGGACCTCTACCCCAATCTTGTCGCCTTCGGCCTTGTACATCGAGTCCCATTCATCGATGGCAGGATTTTCCATCATGGTCTCGCGATGCTTCCTCTTCCTCTTCTGCCTTATTCCTGTCAATCTTGCGCACACACTCAATGGCCTCCCAACACGAGCAATCGGACATCGACCACGAACGTACCCTACACCACAGGAGGCTGCACTGAACATCAAGCGTGCTATCAAGGAAGGACTCGAAGTTTTCAAACGTGACGTATGCGAAGATGCGTTTCCAGGCGAAGGCGCAACAACAAACACCTGCAACCCTAGCAATACGCTTTGCTGTATTCGGAAGGGAGAAAGCTACCCACAGTGCCAGAACTTCTTGGACAAAGGATGGTGCTGCATCGACAATCCCAATAGCGAGCCAGGCTGTTACGTCGACCAGCCATCTGTCTGTGAAGAAGCCGACTCGGTGCCATGCGCTAATCTTGAGGCGGGCGTAGACCAAGCATGCTGTCCAGGCCAGACTACATGCGCTTCAGGCTACAAATTCACCGAGAAGTTTGTACGCTGCCAAATTCTTTCGGCTGACCTGGTATCACTTGCCAGCGCCAGCGCCGCTCCAACAAGTAGCTCGAGTATAGAACCAAGCTCCGCATCGCCGACGTCCGAAATCACCTCGTCTACATCGGACTCAGCATCATCAACACCCACTTCGACTCCTGCTACGGCATCCGACGTACTATCGAACGCAGCATCGAGCGCCATACCGCCACCTCCGTCTAGCGATTCGTCTTCCTCGTCCTCATCCTTATCATCCGGCGCCATCGCCGGTATTGCCATTGGACCGACACTGGCGCTTGTGGTCGGAGTAGGCCTATGGTTCCTTTACAAGCGCCGACAGAAGAAGAAGCTACAGCAACCTTACGCCCCGCCAGTCATGTACCAAGACGCGTACCCAAAGGCCGAGCTGGCGTCAGAGCCCGTAATTCCTGGGCCTTACAAATATCAGCATACCGCCGCCGAGCCCCCGCAGGAGATGCCTGTTCAGTATACATACGAGCTGGACGGCGGGGCTCATCGCGGACCGTAGAAGAGGAGCAGTTCTGTTGGGAGGACATGCTTGCCTTTGTAATGTCCAGGGCTGTAATGACACCCGAAATTTACGCCGTCATGCACTGTAACCACGTGCAGATGAGGGAACTTTGGCTTTGTACTTTCATGTTTAGATGTCTCGTATTATTAATTTATTACTTCAATTTAACTGGAAATTCTAAGCTACCTGCACATCTTCATCCGAAGCCAGTAGTATGTGCTCTTCCACGAGACTTGCGACATTTTCCATTAACATCTTAATCCCTTTGAACGCAGCATCATCTATCTCCCCCATTTGCAGCATGCGTTTAGCTGCTCGTACTTCGTCTTCTACCCTTAGCCGCTTCGCTTGACCCTGCTCAGTCAGACGCGATGCAATCATTCGCTATTCCTGGACTGGTGCCGCTAATTCGTCCTGTTGAGTGCCATGGAACGCACCTTCCATCCGAGAACCTTAAGAGTAAGCCTCTGAATCGGATCCCTCTAGAGCTCAATCCACTAGTTTCTTGTCAACATCCCAGTATTCCCGCTCGCCGCGTAGTCCCTTCCAGGTTCCCCATTCCTGCATCGAGGTCTCGTCGGCACTGCAGTTGTTCATGACCGGCGGGTAGGCGTTGAACCCTCCGCCTGTCGCCGAAACGCAGTCGACCAGCATTGTCAACAGCATCCTACCAAGTCTGAACTCATACTTGTGAAGTGGGAAATATGGTGAAAATGCTTCTATGGGGAAAACCGCGGGACGAACAACGACGCCCTTTTCTCCCACCATGTAACGCAAACAGCACAGGGAAAAAAGAGACATCGCACTTTTAATCACATGCACATTGACCAGTGTAAGAAGTGATAGTGAACCAGACGTGCCTTCCTCACTGTCGGTGGCTCGTGCGCAGTCACTCCACAGATCTTGCCTCCTCCCACTCGAGTCCATACGACACCAACTTTTCCGTTCAAAATTTGCTGAAATCCGAAAGATGCATCCTCGAGGACGCGGCAACGTACCGCAACGCTTCGGCCAGCGTCATGTGCCGACGGGCCCTCAACGAGGGGGCTATAACGCGCCATCTGGAGCACCTCGCGGCAGAGGTGGCTACAGTGCCAACTCGAGCTTGCCCGCGTACAATGCTTACGCCAATGTCAATGCGAATGCCTAAAACAGTGGGAATGGGTTTGCCCACGATTATGCCAATGCCACTGCCAATACTGGATCGAATGCCAATGCCAACAACGGCGAGTACAGGCTGAAGCTCGATGTCAAGTACCATCTTCGGCCCCGCGACTGCGTCGATAAGCTGGAGATTTCACTAGGCTCTAGAATGAGCCGCAAGGACACGACCTGCCTGCATTGCGGGTAAACAAACGTTTTCGGGCATGCCTCCTATCATCTGCTCCGCGACGGCTCTTGCCCTCGTCGCTGCCGCCATTGTGGAACCATGAACCACCAAGGAGGCGTCAGCCTTCTTCCCTGTTTTGAGATCCATCGGATGCCGATGCCCTGTAGCTTTGTGGCCGCCTATGGCTGTTTGTGGCCTTCCTGAAGCGTGCCTGCCCAGGCGATGGGATGCGTAGGCCCCCGCAGACTCGCCCATCGCCACTCGATCTGGAGCTCATTCTTCGCGACTACCCAATGCATCGCGAATTTGCCGAGAGCGTGCAGCCGCTTGCCGACAAGAACAACCTTCCCGTGCAGGAGCTACCCAAGCACGCTCGGCCTGACGATGATGAGCAGCCGGAACTGAAGCGAACACGGACTGATACCGGAGGCGTCGAGATGGAAAAGATGAGGGCGGACATGCATACTCTCCCGGCCAAGAATGAGCGGCTCAAGGCTGAGAACGAGCAGCTCAAGGCTGGGACGGAGAGGCTCAGGAACGCCTGATCAACACTTACCAGCACATTTGCATCCTCGCGTGGGCGAACTGCCAGTCGCACTTCTGCTCCTTGTTCTTCTGCTCGATCGGTAACTCACCGGGATGAAAATGGACAGGGTTTCGACGGCAACTTTGGTGTTGATGCGAATGTCGAGGAGGAGGAAGTCGAGGAAGACGGTACCGATCTCTTAAAGAAGAGATCGACAAACTCATTGCCGAGGAACTTACTTGAATAAGTCGGCGAGGTGAATCCCAGTGGGTATTACTTCGACAAGGGTGTGCGTGGCTTGAAGGGCCAAGAGGTAACGGTTTCGTCGTCTTTCAAGGAAAGGGAAGAGGTGGCGGGCCCGTCGTCTTGTGAGGAACGCTCGCGAGGAAGGGGAAGAGGTGACCGTTTCGTCGTCTCATTGGAATGGTTCGGAGACGATGGCTTCGTCGTCTTCATGACTGCCCTAGGTGATGTTAGACATGACCGCACTGTGCCTTGCCGCCTACAACATCAGAATACATAGAACGTGCGGCATTAATATATTTAGTTGTTATGTTGTACGACTAATCTTTGTGTTGCGGTCTATTTTTCTAACCTTGCGTATGAAGATATCTCAGCCTGTGCTCCATTTTATTCACGTATTTGCTAAGTCTGAGACGAGACGGCATCCATCGCTGATAACACAGACATATACGCGTCTCGGCCCCCTCAAACGTTGTACAGCACACTCGCCCGTGTCGAAGCCCGACCTGCAAGATCTACATATTTCCAATTAACTCCGCAATACCTCGAGATAACAATCAGTTCAAAACAAGCAGTCTCGGATGCCAATTACTTCGATCTTCTTTGGGGCAGACGATGAAGGTGCGGCACGGTTCTCTACATCAAGCGTACCATTGCTGGCAGTCATATCTTCAGTCGTCTCGCTGTTATCCGCCGGATCGTCCGGTCCGCCTCGTAATTTGGGGGTGCGACCTCTTGCCCAAACTACCATAGCTATGTCAATATTTGTCATCTGATTTCTCGTGCCTGCCCGCTCGAGCGTCATTACCAAGTAGCGCGTACACCTCATCAGCCCATCTCGTCAAGGCGATTGCAACTCTGTTTCGTCTTCTCACAAAATCCAACGAGTTTGAGGAATACAGCACCATCAATCCTCTCTTCCGCGGACAGAAAACAGCCATGTCGTCGTCTGGGTGGTATTTTGGAAATCACAATTGCGCAGCATAAACTATCCAACATCGGTGTTCAGAGGACGAGTTTTGGGCAAAGAGAGCGGTCCTGACAGACATGACGATGTCCAACTTCGATTTTGGCAAGCACACAGGCATGTGGCTTGTCGGCAGGGCAGCACACGTCCCACTTGAACCGGAATCTTCGAAGAGAGGCAGGTCATGCTCTGTGGGTCTTCTTTTTTGGAGCATGATGGAAGACGAGTGTAATGAAGTAGAGAAGGAGAGTAGGTGCGAGAAATGGACTTATATACCCATCGTAAAGACAAGACGGACTCGTGCATCTTTGAAGTTATGAGTACGACTGCCATAACAGTTCCCAACATGCTCACCCTTCTGGTAAGATACCTTACATACCAACCACACTCTTCGCACACTTCAACGCCGCCTTACGTCGATGCCGCAACAACCCCCTCCGCACCCCCCTCCCCCTCAACCCTCCTCTTCTTCTTCCCATGATGTCCCCTCGCCTCCACCCTCCCCTCAACCGGCACCACCCTAGTAGCCGTAAAAATGTACCCTTCCGCACCCCCCTTACTCGTCATCATAGGATGCGTCCTACCAGGAAGAACCTGCCACTGTCTCGCTCTAGCCGTCTGCAGACTAGGCGCGAGTACCAACGTAGGATTGAGTGGGAAGTCGTCTTCTTCGTTATCTCCTTCCGATGTGCCTGCGGGGGTGCTGACGTCGTCGTCGATCTTAACTCGTTTGCCGTTGCCGTTGCCGTTGCCGTTGCCGTTGCCGTTGATTTGCGGCGGAGGACCGAATTCGCGTGCGATATATGCAGCGCGGCGCTCTTTGGAGTAAAGATCGCATAATTCGACGAGCGGCTCGACGTTAGGATTATACACCACAATCCTGCCTCCACCCCTCACAAGCGGCACCAACTCCTTCAGCACAGTCTTCGCATCCATAGCCGTCGCCACCACCAACCCGTCAAACCCTCCCCTCTTCGTCTCATCCACAACGCCCTTGACCCGCTCCCAGCGTCTGCGCTTCTTGTAGTAAGTACCGCGTTTCGTTGACTTCATCGTCGCGAGCACTTCTTCGGAGATGATTTCGGGTTCGTCGTAGGAAGGGTCGTCTTCGGGGTGGAGGAGGGCGAGCCACGATAGCGATTTGAGGTGTTTGTAGAGAGGGTGGGCGGGTGTGGGGTTGCCGTAGTCGTAGCCGAAATATTTGAGGTAGGAGAGGTTGGGTTGGTTGTTGGGGTGCAGGACGGTGAGGGTGTTGGTTGAGGCGGACATTTGAGGGATGTGTGGTCGTGGCGGCTTTCGTGGGCGTGGAGGGGGATCTGAAGGGGTGGCTGTCGGATCTGTGGTTGTTGTGGTGTCGGCGTCGGGCATGGCGGTGTCTGTGTCTTTGGGCTCTGGGGCTGAGGTTGGTGCGGGTGTGCCGTTCATCTCGATATCGCCTGCCTCCTCTTCTGATGAAGAATCGTCATATTCCTCCTCGGGGTAGAGGATGCCCATCTTCTCGGCGAGGGCTGCTGTAACAAGACCTCCGGTATCGTCTACCACGAGCCACCGTCCTCCTCCTACTTGACTGACTCCATCTTCTGCCATGTGAATCTGGTTCGTCGCTCCAGAATGTATATTTGCCCAGCTGTTGATCAAGCCCAGTAGGTCTTCCCTCAGCTCCATGATCTTGTATGCCTCCTTCTCCAAGACATACTCTGTGAGTAGACCAACGTCCATGGGCAGGGCCGTGAAGCGCTTCAGGTACTTTTTCGACTTCCGCAGCGTGTACTTGGCCAGCGAAAAGCTCGTCTTCTCGTCGATTGCGTTGTGGGAGGCCATGATCTTCGCGATGATCTCTTTACCGGATCCGGCGCCTGCCTTCTTCAGCTCCTCGATCTCGACCATAGAAAGCGCCTGCCGTGAAGCATCATCAACGGTCAAGCGGTTATTGCGCATGATGACCTGCCCATCTTCTCCCACGATATCGAAGCCCGCAGCACCCTCTGCATTCTCTTCGCTAGTTTCGGCAGCAGGGGCATGGTCGCTGCCTAGAGCTTCGGCATGGAGTTCGGAAGCGGGTACGACACGCAGCTCCGTCTTGGATTTGCCATCGTCCTTGTCAAGCAGTTCGTAGGTGAGATAGTACGGCCGGCCGAGGAGGAGGTTGGAGTTGAAGGTGCCGAATTTGCCGAGATTGATGCTACTGTAGGGGTTTAGAAATATTTCTTGCATGTGTGCACACGGAGGGCTCACTCCAGCTATGCGACGTACGTATTCGGTGTAATCTCGACTATCTTGAAAAGGCCTGAGGGCAGTCGCAACGCAACGTGCGTATTGGGGCGGACGTGGGAATGCATGGCGCGAATATGGTCGCGACACTGTGCACTTCACTATCCCATGTGTAGTAGCAAGCTAAGAGTATCGCTATCGGACTTCCAGTCCTGAGTTGCAGCACGCGCAAAGGTGAGGTGGAGCTAGTGAAATTGTCGCAAGGAATAATTCCGAGGCGCACCGCCGCGCCTTGCTCAGCCACAGTCTCAGCCACACACTCGCACCAGTCGTACGTCATCGCCATCGCGACTTCTCGTGCTTCCGCGTGTCACTCGGGTCCAACACGTCGCTTACGTCGACTACTTTGCTTCTTTCGCTGGAGTCCTGCTTCAGTATCAATCCCCCTCGCTCATCTTCTTCATACCACCGCGCCGCGCCGACTGCCGCGAGAGCTCCCCCATATCCCACTCGAAGCCCCAGGGCACTGCACCGTCAAACATGGTGCTACGAAAGTCCGACGAAGCCGACGACGTCGTTCCAGCGCCGCTCTCCAAGGCGATTCCGCCATATCCCACGACTCCTTCCGACGAGCACCCGCCTGCCTTTCCCGTATCGCCCGAGCATGCCGTGGACCCGCCCAGCACAAGCAAGTCGCCCGCCTTCAACATCAAGACGCCCGAGGAGACGCGACTGCCTGACGACAAGCATGAGAGCGACTCCGACCTGAGCGAAGACGAGTGGAACCAGTCCGATGACGACTTTGAAGACATCAACCACAACGATGTGCCTGCCGCTCTGAAGCCTGCTGCTGGAAAAAGGCCACCTGTGCCCAATACCACACACATCACCGGCGGTCTTCCCGATGCCCTGCGGCCAGGGCCACCGGCAGGAATCCCCATCAAGCGCTCACAGGAAAGCATGTCGGCCATGCCCACCGGTGCCAGCGCGGCTTCCTACGGCGCGGCCAGCACCGTGTCCGAGCAGTCAAATGGCTCCATCCCACTGAAGACCAACAATCCCTACCTGAAGATGCAGACGACTGGGCAGAATAGCTGGGACGGAGAGAGCAGCCAGGCTATCTGGGGCGATGCACCCAGCCAGGCCCACAAGTACGAGGCGCCTGTCGAGCTCCCGGCGTTCCAGACGCCAAGTACACCCACCCACGAGATGAAGAACCTCGGACTAGATGACCATGCCGCACCGGTGCAGCCAGCACCAGTAGTAGAGCCGCCTGCCATCGCTGTGAACTCTCCTACGCCTCGGTCGGAACATCCGGCCACTTCCCTTGATGCGAATCCATGGGAACCCGCCTCGCACGATGCTCGTACTGACACTGTACCCTGGACGGCACCGCCAAGCGATGCAGCTGCCGGTAATGAAAGCTCACACGACATTCCCGCCCCAATCATTCCAAATGCGCATACTGTAGAGCAATCACCCCTTCCACCTCAATACACTCCCGAGCAAACACCACCCTCCTCCGAAGATCCTCCACCTGCGCTGCCGCCAAGAAGGTCGCACGAGGACATGGCGCCTTCAATGCCCCCAAGACCTATCGATACGGGTGTTGGCTTTTCAGCACCTTCTGCTTTGGAGTCGCCGAATACGACCATGGAAAGGCAGAGGAAGGAACACTACCAAATCAAACACATTCGCTGGCTTGACCACACAATCGAGGATATGCGCGTTTCCCCAATTCTGACACAGAACCTGAACGGTCCCTGTCCTCTGCTGGCTCTGGTCAACGCACTGGTCCTTTCAACTCCTGCCAGGCTCGACACCGCACTTGTCGAGACATTACGCACACGTGAGACAGTCAGCCTGGGACTGCTACTTGATGCTGTTTTTGATGAGCTGATGTCTGGTCGACGCGGTGATGCTGCACAAGCCTTGCCTGATGTGAGCGAGCTGTACAAGTTCCTCCTCGCTCTCCACACAGGTCTCAATGTCAATCCCATGTTTGTCCCAGACTCCAACACTCCAGATGCACAATCCACGCTTACGAGCCGAGCTGGCGCTTTTGAGAACACTCAAGACATGAAGCTGTACCGCACTTTCAACATCCCCCTGATGCACGGATGGCTGCCGGAGGCTGGATCCGACGCTTATGCTGCTTTCAGTCGCGTAGCGGCCTCGTACGAAACGTCACAGTTTGTTCAGTTCCAGGAAGAGGAGTTGAACGCGAAGCTAGGGGCAGGCGAATCTTTGAATGAGGACGAGCAACAGATGTTCACGGATATACACGCCATCAAAGAATTCTTGATGCGTTGGCCAACACAATTGACTGACCACGGTCTGAAGGTCATTCGTGATAACCTCCAGCCAGGTCAAGTCGCCATCCTATTCCGGAACGACCATTTTTCGACTCTCTGCAAGAATCCTCGCAATGGCGAGCTCGTCACGCTTGTCACAGACCAGGGCTACTCCACCCACGATGAGATTGTCTGGGAGTCTCTTACTGACGTCAATGGCCAAGGTAGTCAGCTTTTCTCTGGCGACTTCCGCTCCGTCGACAACAGCAATACTTCCGGCCTACAGGATCAGCACCAAGCTTCAAACCTAGACGACGGACAAGGCTGGACAACCGTCCAAGCACGCCGCGGCAACCAACAATCCAACATCCCACAAGACACCGACATCACCTCCCCGGAAGCCCTCAGCCGCGCCGAACAAGAAGACCACGACCTAGCCCTCGCCCTTCAACTCCAAGAAGAAGAAGAAGACCGTGAGCGCCGCGAAACAGAACAACGCAACAACCGCAACAACCAACTTTCCATGGACGCTATCAACGCTCCTCCCCAACCACCGCGCAACCCGCAGAACCCCGTTATCCCTCCCCGCCGCAACAATAATATTACTGGGCACCGTCCTGCTGGTGAAGCGGCCCCGCCGCCTCTGTATGAAGAAGCTATCACGGCGCCGCAATACGTGCCACCAGCTGGTCACCCAGCGAGTGCGCAAGCGCCGGTGCCAGGACAGGGTGGTGGTGCGTATCAGAGTACGAGTGGAGCGCCGCCGCCTGGTGCGGGGAGGGGCAGGCATGGTAATATGATGCCTGGGAGGATGGGTGGAGGGAGAAGACCGAGTCAGGGTCAGCAGGGGCAGGAGGAGAGGGATAAGTGCGTTGTTATGTAGATGACGACACTTTTCTTTTTCCCTTTCCCCGATCTAGAAGAATGTGGCTCGAGATGGGATGGTTTTGAGGCGATCTGCTGACATGTCACATTAGAGATTATGAAGACGAGGCGTGTTCGTGGTGTTCGGTTAGCTAGTATCTGTTGTGAGCGCGGACTGTGGAATTTAGAAGTGGTTGTGGTTATTAACGCGGCGTTTGGTGCTGATGTTGGAGTGTGTATATACCCGTTATTCTTTTCCTTTTGCGTTTCGGAAGTACGTCGTGGTAGGAGTCTGTTGTTCCATCGTGGTGGGAGCAGTATTATTAATCCGAGTTCTTATTTATCACTTCCTACATCACTGAAGCTTTTCATTGCATGTGACGTTATACGTTCATCATCATTTTCTTCTCCATCTGACGATCTGTATCATGGGACTACACGATCAACCTACAGCTCCCCATTTCCACCGCCCTGCCTGATCCTCTCCCTCTCCTCCATCCTCTTCAGCTCCTCATCCCACTCTTCTTTCTCTATACTGTTCACACTCTCCCCACCACTTTTACTCCACATACGCGTATGCTGGGCTCCTCCACAGCCCCGAGACTGAACGGCTTCCTGTAATAAACTCGCTTTACTGACTCCGTATTGAATAACACCGTGTTCGACGCCGTCTTCATTCTTTTGCGCAATATTGTCCTGTGCATCCTGACGCTTCGGCGTGGTGATCGAGGGTGTGGAGAAGGCTGAGGGTACATTGGAAGTAATGCGGGGAGGGAGGGATAACTGTCGTTCATATGACGTACCGCCCGTTCTATTATATCTCATTCCCATACCTATCCCCTCGCCTGCTGTTGGTACTATAATAGATCGTGGCCGCGGCGCAGGTGGACGTAAGTTGCATGATGGCATCGGTGGAGGGGGTGGTCGGTTTGGTGGTGGTGGTGGTCGACGAGGTGGGTCGAGACGTAGATTTGATAGTGCGGACATCTTTATGGGGGGATGTGTTGGTGAGGATGAGGTGCGCTGGGGGTGGATTGGCATTATGAGGGGAGTTGGTGTTGGTGTTATTGTGGGAGAGTCGTTGTTGGAGGAGTTGGAGGGGTCGTAATCGTCTGTGTTGGTCTGTTCGTTGAAATCATCGATGTGGTCGTGATCATAGTCGGATGTTTGGTTGTCAATTTCGGACTCCTCGCAGACCTCGTTATTCATGTCCATGCTAGAAGGCCTACTTTCCCGTTCGAGGATAGAAACAGTCTCGCAGCGCCAACTAGCTGTGCTGGTGCTACCGCCACTCGCACCTCTGTTTCTCTCTTCTCCTCGTGACACGTCGACGTTGTTACGCCAATTTGCAGTGCCATCACTGTTGTCGTGATCTCCTCCCCTCAATGCAGGATGAACAAACCCATTAATCGTCAGTCCATCACCATCTCCATCCGCTTCTTCTTCCTCCTTTTTCACCGTCTCTTTCTCCGCAACCCCTTCATCTCCACTCTCATCTCCCTCAACATTACTAAACCACCTCAACTGCTTCGGCCTCCTCCCTTCCCTCGCACCAAACCCCCCATCTACCCGCATCTCCTTCCTCTTCCTCTCCATCTTCTTCAACTCATCAGCCCACTCGCTCAGATCCTCGATACTGGGTCCTTTGTGTCTCGTCCCACGTTCCTGCGGGCTCATAGTACTAGTCGCGTTAATTGAAGGATTTGCGAGACTAGTGTTAATCCAGAGACTGGCATGTCGGTTACGGCGGGATGAGGAAGGGGCGGCAGTGGCGTTGCTACGGCGGATGCTGTGAGCATGGGAAGGAGGTGGAGTATAGACGTCTGGATCGACGGCGTTGTAGAGGTTGGATAGAGTGTAGTTGCGTGACCTCAGTGGTAAGGTATCGTATCCAAACTCGTGGGTAGGTTTAATCTGACTGCTGGATGAGCGTTGCGCGATACCAAAACCCTCTTCTGTACCGCTGCTGCGAGCGTTCGAGCTATTCGTCAATGTCAATTTCAAGTCGAGAGTCGACCCATTCGACCTCAAAGAGCTCGCATCTCCATCTCCTAAACTCCTAACAAAGTTACCATACTCATATCCCTCATCACTACCTTCACTTTCTCCATCCGCCGCGACGTTAGCAAAGTACTGACAATCGTCCACGACCTTAACAGCCCAAGCAAGTCTAACCCCCTTCTCACCCACCGCCGTCTCCCTAGTCTTCCTACGATCCTTATTCATCTTGAGTAAATCGCGCTGAGCCTCCAGTATAGTAGTCAATTCTCCCGTCTGCGCATCAAACTGCAACCAACTATCCACATCATGGAGTTGCTCCCGGCAGTAAATGCGATATTGCTTTGCGCCTGCTGCTTCGTCGTCGGCGTGGGAGTCTAGCTTTTGCGGCAAGAGGGCGTCGATGTATGTCGACAGGGGGTTGTGTAATTTCAGGGAGGCTAGGGTGACTTGGGCGGCAAGGAAAGTGTCTTTCGGTCGCACCATCGATGGATGGATTACGTCGTTTTCGCTGTTGAAGGAGCGGCGGAGGGTGTGGCGGCTTGCGCAGAGTTTTAGGGCCATTTTGCTGACGTCTTTCTTGACTTCCTCATACGTGGCCTTGGCTTCCGCGTCTGTAGCTGGTTTGCCTGGACTCCATGGCGAAGGGGGAACGGCTGTGACTGGTGTAGTTGCGATGGGTACCGCAGTGATAGGTGTCTTCGGTGAGATGAGTGACTCCCAGAATCCGCCTTCCGCGAAAGAGTTCTTGATAGGCCCAGCAGTTGCAGACCGCGGAGTCCCAGGGCCCGATGAAACGAGCTCCCATCGGGGCCGCGGTGTAGTCGGACTCGCCGTCTCAAACCGCGGAAGGTGCGCTGGCCTCAGCGGATGTGCACCTGTAGGCGCAGTCCAAGAATTCGAGCTATAAAGCCGCAGTTGCCGTCCACCTGGAGTGACAATCTCGTGTATAGGCCCAGGAGGAGGATACCACCCCAGCACCTTCATGCAATGTTCCTCTTTAGCCCGCCATATCTTCTTCCTCACCTGCCGCCATTTGGCCTCGTTGAAGCGCTCGCTATTCCAGTAAATGACCTCCTCCCAAAACCGCAGGTGTTGTTCTTTAGTCAGGCTTTTCAGTCCTGCGGCTTCGTGTTGGCCGATTGCTTTGCCAGTGGCGGGAGAGATGGCGCTGTCTTTTTTTGTAAAAGCTTGTTCCATTGTGAGAACTCGTTACAGTATTCTGAAGGTGTGTTGGTGGGAATGGGGTTGGAAAGGATAGCTCTCCCAGGTTGCGTCGGGAGTGTTTGGCGGCGTGCTTGTTCGCCCTTGGGATCTGGCGAGCAAATTCAGTGTCATAGCCTCCCCGAGGTGTTTGGTCGCGTGAAGGGGACACTGGGGTCGCTAATCACGAGTTGCGCTCGGAGCAGTGCAGGCAACCGCGTGGGAGGGATTTGCGACCTGATAGGGAAATTTCGTCACGAGCTCCCCACTCGAACTGTGAAGGATTATAGCGGTGTCTCGCAACAGAAGTGACAACTGTCTTACATCGACGGTGCGCTGTGATTGTATTTGCTGCGTGGTGCGAGTATCACGCGCTATGACCGCGAGCAAACGCGCAAGTCGGGATGAAACATACTTGATGAAGATAGAACACTGATCTGGCTTGGTGAGTATACTAAGCGACAATATTAACTCACGAGATACTGCGGTGAAAGTTCAACGGATGTGTAAATATAATATTGACCTGAAAGTTTTGTCTAGGTGGTATCCAACTCCGCTAATGCGAACGTGACGTCTAGTCTAAGAAAGTAAAAAGGTTCGTATGTACAACATTGAGAGCGCGGTCAGCCTCGCGCTCCTCAATGACACAGGAGATGTTGATCTCGCTGGCGCCTGGGAAAAGTTAGCTATGAAGCAGCTCTGAGATGGAGAAGGAACGTACCCTGAGAGATCATCTCGATGTTGATGTTGTTCTGGCCCAACACGCTGAAGAATCTACCAGAGATACCAATCATGTTCTTCAGCTGCTTACCGACCAAGCTCACAATAGCCATGTCGGGCACAATGTCGATAGTGCCGAGCTGGCCGAGGTCGTTGACGGCGCCCTGGAGATCCTTGCTCTGGATCTTGTACTCATCCTCACCCCCGCCACTAAGAAGGGCGGATTCGGAGTGCAGAGCCATGGAGACGTGGACCTCAGAAGAAGAGATGAGGTCGACAGAAAGGTGCCATCGATCGAGGATGCTGAAGATGTTCATCAAGAAACCATGGGCACGCGTGCGCTTGTTGCTGTGCACGTTGAGCACGACGATGTTGTGCTTGATGGTGACAGCAGTGGGACGCTTGGGGCCTTCCAGCTGAGTGAGGAGGCTCGCAGAACGAGTTCGGAACAGCTTCCCGTCCTTCAGGGGCGCACGGCCGTCGATGTCCTTCAGGTTATCCGGGAAGATGATGGTACCGGCATTGCGCGGGTTCATCACGTTCTTAATACGGATAGGGATGCGGGCGCGGATGACCTGCTCCATAGTGAAGGGATGGATGACCTCAGATCCGTAAAAGGTCAGCTCAGCAGCCTCGGAGGGCGTGACGGTAGGGAGAAGGGCGGCCGTGGGGACCTTGCGGGGGTCCGCCGTGAAGATGCCGTCCACCTCCTTCCAGACCTGGAGTTCCTTGGCCTGAGTACCGACAGCCACCAACGCAGCGCATAGATCGGTGTATCCACGTCCAATGGAGTTCAGCAGTCCGCCGGGCACGTTGCCAAAGTAGCCGGTGATGACAGGGACCTTGTCGCCGCATGCTGCCACCTCTTTGCCCAGATCCTCGGCCAGATCCTTGTAAAACTTGTCGTTGAGCCCGCCCTTGATGGGTGCATGGAGCCTGACAATGTCGCTGAGGTCGACAAACTGGGCCGGGGTGCCGCGATCGTTCAGAATGGCGGCCATGTAGCGGCAGCTCAGCTTCTCGCCCTTGCTGATGATCTTGTCCTCGGCGCGGTTCGTGACTTCCTCCAGGTGCTGCGCGGATTCCAAGATCTTGACGAGGCTCTCACACTCGGCATTGACCTCCTCCGTGTACGACGCCAGGATGTCCGGGTTCCTCAAGATGTCCCTGCCGGCCTGGATGTGGTCGGTGCGGATGGCCTCGACGATCTCGTCATAGCCGCGGTGGTTGGGCTTTTCGGCAGCGCGGGCGGCGCGAAGGAGGCGGTTGGTTGTTCCCTCGAGCTTGGTGTTGCTGCTACGTGCGGAGCAGACAATGGCGGCGCGGTTCGTCGCAAGACCAGCTCTGTGTTCTGTCAGCGCCTTCCATCTGGTGTGAGTTGGGTTGGGTCGCACTTGACGATGCCCGCTATGTTCTCCGCAAACTTGCCCACGCTCGTACCCCCGAACTTGAGGACAACCCAGCCTCCAGGTAGGTGCTTCTCTTCCGTGTGAGCTATCCGCTCCGACTCGTGTGTGGTTCCGTTTGTGTATGCAGACATGGCGTGTGTTGTGTGGTTTCTCCAAGCAATTGGCGATATTTGATTTTCTAAAAGTAGAAGTGTAGTCTGTAGATGTAGAAGACGTGTTCTTTCCAGTAAATGACGTGTGTTGTGTCGTGTGAAGTCTGGAGTTGCGGAGTGAGGGAATTCTCAATGTCTTTTAGTGGGGCCTGAGTCAGAAAGTCAATGTTCGCGCCCGCAATCGGCGCCGCCGCTGCTGACGCCATGCCAGCGAACCACGACTCCACAGCCCAGGAACATGCACACACACAGCTCAACGGAACGGGTCGGTGCATGCGCATACCCTCTCGGTAGCCAATGATGCGCTTGCTATTTAGCTACTGCGCCCTCGTCCGCACCTTTCGTAGCCCACGTCTGAACACCGCATCCTCTGGTGCCTTTGACGCCTGACAGCTCATCCCTCTCATCGCGTCTTAGCGCGTCGTCCAAATTACCGTGTCGTCCGCGTCCGACTACGTGCCGGTAGTTGCTCTTCGGCCCATCGGCTATTCGTCCACTCTGTCTCGTGCACCACATGTGCGACACACAAGCAACAATGATATTATCTAGCCATCTCTAGCCGACGGAGAATTGATCCGAAGATGTCCACGTCGATACATCAAGAACATGTGTCTAGGAATCGGTCGCTCATCAACGACGTTGCGTGAATCAATCTGGACTCACCGATCAGGTATGGCTCCAAGACGATGGATCTCGCATGAGCAACCACCAAATGCAAAGATCAACTCGCCTCCTTAACCATCGGAGTCTCGGAGTCGAGTTATGGCACAGCCCAATCATGGCCTGTTGACCAACGACATACGCCTCTTCAGAGCTTTGAAACCTGCGCACACACGGCACAGTCGCCTTCGCAAATCAACAGCCACAGATTGAAGAATCATGCAGGAGATAGCAATGCGTTATGCCATCTCACTCCAGCATCACACATATAGAGGCTGCTGCTGCCGACGCGTTGCGATTGAAGTATCCAGCCCTGACAGACACTCCTCGCTCCGAGGCTTATATTCATCACGTCAATTACAGCTCCTATGCCATTAGTCTTGTCTACAGATTTCCGTCATGGCAGGTATTGATGATGTTCGCTACACGATATCAACAGCCGGACCCGAGAGCTTTCCCACACGCAATTATTTGAACACGAGAGACCCTTGGGGCCCACTTACGACTCCATGGAGCCCCCCGTCTTCATGTTCCACTAGCTGGGCACTTCAAGGCGCGGGTTCTTCTATCTATGTTACACCTATGGTGCCCTCAGACTGTTTGCCTGGTGGGTCGCGTATACACAGCCCTGGTACATGCTATGGCGACTATCATATCGTGCAGATCATCGAATGGAGGACATCGGATTGGATGTCGGGGGGTAATCGCGTGTTTGGTATCGCTTGTTGTGAAAGGTAGGTACAGATGCTCGACCACCACGGTCCCTTCATCATAGCTGTCTCCTGCTGACACGGACATTAGTGGCTTTACCAATACAGACAGTGGCTTTGCCTGGTGCTGGTCATCGTTTTCCACGCCTATCACTGCGTATCCTACTGAATGGGTAGATTCCAGAAGCGAGATTGTGATCCGAACGGACAACGCCACAGTTCTTAGCAGTGGGATCGCGTCCGTGGGACCTATGGGAGCCTACTGGCAGGAATCAGATCTCTCGAAATTCGATCCCGACTATGCGGCTATACTCGCATCGAAATTTGATCTTGACTTCACACCGACAGCCATAGCCACAGCCGATGCCACAGCCGAACCAGCGTCTCCGCCAGATCGAAGTCAGTTCGCATCAGCGACGTCGTCCCTCGAGATGGACTCTGAAGAAGCCACCGGTCTCAGTAGCGGCGCTAAGTCAGGCATTGGTGTTGGGGTAGCCTTCGGAGTAGTACTACTGTGCGCTGCTGGTTTCTTACTTTACAGGAGACGCGTTCAGAAGGTGAAGCTCGATAGCAAACTTGCTTTACAGAACGAACAACCTGAATTGGTTCAGACGCGCGCCGCATAGCTAGCAGTATTGACAGTAGCTTCCCACTCAAATTAAGGAGACAGCTCTAGCCATATATCCTTGTATCCGGTATTCTGGATCCTTGTGGCTACGGGACAAGGTGCGGCACAGCCCCAACCAACGCTCAACAGCCAATGATTCGATCCTTCTCACGGGCCACCTCAAACTCTGCCTCATGCGCATATACGGCGTAGTGTTCTCTGCGAGTTAGACATCTGGCATCGAATCACCATGCAGGAGACCATAACGCATTTTGTTGCTACGCCTTGTCATTGAAGGATGGCCTGGACGCCACCGACGCGCTTTAACTGAAATAGACGGCCCTCGCAGATAGTAACGCTCATCTCAGATACACTTTCCAATCCACATCAACTACTTTCGACTTCTTTCGGCGATACATCGTCTAGCAGCCGGACTCATGGCGGGTCTCGAAGAGGCCGGCCTCACAATCTACACTGTACGATCAGGGGACTTCTTTCCAACAACGGATATAGCCCATCCATACCCCCCGCTCCCATCTTCGTTCACATTTGCGTCGACATGTACCGATCGGTGGATCATCAGGGATCCGTTGACCCCCACAGTCCTCACCAACCCCGTTCCCACATCCTGCCTACCTCATAATACCCGGCCCGTCAACAGCCCGGGCACATGTATTAGCAATTACCATATGGTTGCACTGGCCGAGTACAGAACTACAGGTTGGACGTCAGGGGGTTTACGCGCATGGGGTGCTGTCTGTTGTAGGGAGTACGTCTTTGGATCCAGCTATCACGGAGCTACTCCTGCTACATAAAAGCCCAGGCACTTAAGCTGACGAGGACTATAGCGAGTTTTTGGCGTCAGACGCGACAGCGAGCGCTTGCAGTTCCAGCTTCAGCACACCTGTCACTGCGCTGTATCCTTCTGATGCCTACCCCTCTCTCATCAGCGATCCAGCTGGAACAGAGCCAAGAGAGTTAAGCAGGGGAGTTCAGTTGATGACCCCAATGATCGTCTACTGGCAAGAAACGGATCTTTTGCACTTCGATCCTGGATATGCGGCGACACTAGCCGCAAGACTAGACATCGACTTTACACCGACAGCCACGTTCGAAACGGCATCCCCGTCAGACCGGAGTCAATTCACTTCAGCTACTTCTCCGGCGGACGATGGCGGCGAAAGGTCATCCAAATCGGATCTCAGTATCGCCGCAAAGGCAGGCATAGGCGTGGGCATCGCCGTCGCAGGCATAATAATGGTTGTCGCCGGACTCGTACTGTACAGGAGACACTTTCGCAAGAAGGCGAGGCTCGGTCCTAAATCTGCTTTACAAAACGAACAACCTGAACTCGTTCAAACACGCGCTGCGTAGCTTCTTCTGATTGACGGCGAGTTGATCCGAAGACTTGCAAGTCCATACATCGAGATAATGCAGCTACAAGTGGTAGTTCTCTTTTCAGTATTGCTAGTCCCATATTACAGCACTCTTAGCTGTTCGAAATCTGAGCCGCATTTGCCTTGACCGCTTGGTTCAGTTCTCTGTATCCCGGCTGACCGCTGCCAGATGCGGCGGAACCAGGCTCGAGGCTGTGGGAACTGGATGCGGCACGGTTCTGGTCACAATACAGTGACCAATGGCAGCCACTTGCCGCAAATCTTGTTCCTTGCGCATGTACGGCACAGCTACTCCCGCATGTTACCTTCTATGCAAGGGGTATAAACGCGCTTTGTGACGCGTTGGCCGATCGGTTCTGGTCATAGAGGCTGCCATTACCGACGCGTTGTGATCAAAACAGCGGATCTCTACAGAGGCAGCTAATCCAGAGTGCTATCGCTGATCCCGTGACGACTTTTCTTCCATTACTCTGTCCGCAAATTCTCCATCATGGCAGGTCTCTAGACTGCTCGCCTTACGATCAAGACAGTGTCACCAGGGCAATTCTTTCCGACGACACCCTCGTTGTCCATAGCCACTTGGCCGCCACTCACAATTCCTTTTACTTCGCCAACCTACTGCACCAATCGATGGATAATCCTTACCTCGGGTGACACGACTATCGCAAATGGGCCGGCCAGCAGGAACTGTCTGCCTGACGGAGAATACACGCACAGCCCGGGAACGGTTCTCAGTGACTACCACATAGTGAACGTAGCCGAGTATAGAACACCGGGGTGGACGACAGGCGGGCTTCGCGCGTGGGGAGCTGCCTGTTGTAAAAGGTACGCCTCGTTATTAAGCTGGCGCACGGCTACATGCGAAGAACTTATGACTTGAGTGAAGCGCACTTTTGCTAACACTGATAACAGCGGCTATACAAACACGGAAACGATCGAGAGTCTGTTCAGGTGCTTTTCATTCTTCATCTCACCAATTACCGCATTGGACCCGTGGGCCGGAGATGGTCGTGAGCAGAAAACCACCACTACCATACTCAGTTGGGGGACCATAGTAGATGACAACATGGTTGTCTACTGGATGGATTCCGACCTATCCAAGTTTGATTCCGGGTACGCGGCGACGTTACAAGAGAGGTTTACTATCGGCTTCACGTCTACTGCAACAATGGGCATTACGAGAGACACAGCAACAGCGCTAGTTCGAACGCAACTCACCTCCGTAACATCATCATCATCGTCATCATCAGTGGCACCAAATTCCCCAGAAACTGCTGAAGACTCTATCTCTGGGCTCGATGCCCGCGCCAAGGCAGGCATAGGCTTGGGTGTTGCGATCTTGGCAATACTTATGGGTATTGCTGGATTTTTACTGTACAGGAAACAGGTACAGAAGCAAAGGGCCGTTGATCAGGCATTTACTAAACAGAATGAGCAGCCGGAGTTCGTCCAACCGCAGAGGGCTTAGCCGAGGAAACGGATGAGGTACGCTACCTGTTCTGGAGGTCAACCGAAACAGTTGTCAACGGCAGACCGATTGAGGTGAAGATTGCGAAGACGAAGGACAATAAGAGCATGACGTTGATCTCGGGCGGGTGAGGCGGTGAGATGGTGTTGGACGTTCTCAATACAACGCGTACGTAACATACATCTGCTTTTGATATGCAGTTTGCTAGGATAGTAATGGACAGCAAGGGTTGCACTGTACAGGCACCATCATCCTATGTAACATTGGCAACTCCTGCATGGAGTAACTCCCTGTGTGATTTTCCACGCTTTGTCAACTACCGTTGTCCTGTCAGGGTCCAACAATGTCGAACGCAGAGTACCTGAACAAAGACGTAGCACAGCCCTGAATCCTGCACATGTCTGGCACGGCTCCCCTTACGAATCAGACGCCGCATATTCAGCCACTTTGCATGGCATAGCGGCGCGCTCATTTACGCATTCGGAACCTCGCCACCGACGCGTTATGGTCAGTTAATTTAGCCCTGGCATATGCTTCACGTTATGGAGCTATAAATATCCCACTTCCATCCGGACTTTGTTTTCTAAAGACTTGCTGCCATGGCAAATATTGACGATGCTGTTCTCTCGATCTCTACAGTGGCAGGAACCGGCTTCCCACTAAGGAACACACTTAGTCCTTTCCCGCCGCTCACAACCCTCTTCACTTTCGCGCCGACTTGTATCCTAGGCACCAAACTCCAGGACCCGGACCAACCCAGCCATATCCACAAAGACGTCCCTCTGTCTTGTCAGCCCGATAGCACCTTGACACACAGCCCGGGTACATGCATTGGTGGTTACCAGATGAAGCAAATAGTCGAATTTAGAACGCCAGATTGGACGTTGGGCGGTTCGAGGGCATGACGAGCTGCTTGTTCTAGAGAGTATGTGAGACTCTGGCTGTTAACAGGTTACTTCGAATATACACGTGGCCTGCCCTTTGACTGGGGATGCTCCTGCTAACGCCACCAATAGTGATTTCATGGAAACAGCCTCCGACGCAACGAATTGCCTATCCGTCCTCAGCACGCCCATGACCGCTTACGTCCACGGGGACACGACTTCACCAACGAACAGCGCCGTGCAAGACATACCCAATAACACTGCGATCGTCGACAGCGGAACCATGTTCATGCAACCAATGTTGGTTTAGTAGCAGGAATTCGATCTCTTGCACTTTGATTTCGCGTACGCATCTGCCTTAGCCTCTAAGTTCGATATCGGCTCGACGCCAACAGCAACAGCGGGTCTAGTCACAGCAACAAAGATGTTACCGCAATCAGATCTCTCAAAAACAACAGCGTCACCGCTGGATCAAATGCAGGTCGCCTCCGCGACGTCGTCACCAGCTGCAACAACCTCCGAAGCAGCTACGAGCTCCTCGAAACCCGGTCTCAGTACCGTCGCCAAAGCAGGCATAGGTTCCGCCGCAGTCGTTGCAGCGACACTACTATTGGCTGCCATTGAATTTGTACTATATAAGAGATCGCTCCATAATAAGGCAGGACTAGACGGGAAAGCTGCTGAATTGAATGAACAGCAGGAGTTTGTGAAAGCTAGCGTGGATAGGATTTAGCATGGACTGCGTGCGAGGAGCGGGTAGGCGGTTGGGTGAGAGGCGGATCGGGTGCGTTGGAGAAGATTAGAAGGGAACGGGGTGGTGAGCGCGGTTAATATTGATGTCCACGGAATACGTCCCAGAAGAGAAGGAAAAAGGCGCCTTTAGCTCGATTATGCGGAAGTAGGTCGGCGGGGCTTCGCGATGTGGGTTGAGATAGAGGCGTGATGACATACAGGCGCACACAAATGATCCCACTTCTAGTCGCATCTCGCGCGTTTCGGGATTTAACCATGTTAATAGATTATAACAGTAGACTGCGCCTTGGTACTTGTCTTCCTTCATGTCTGGTCGGAACGTAGTTGCGTCGTGTGATCGGGAGTCGTACCTACGTCCGACTTGAAGTGGAAGCAACGGTACCTCACCTACAATGTCATCAACATGAACAAACTATATGCCTGCTGCCACGTGAAGTCTCGACTGGCGCAACATACCTAGGTAGCGTGGCATGCAGCCCCAAGGTTGACGCAGCCGTTTGGCGCTGATCTCCCGTCGCAGCACGCGCATGTTCTGATTGGCTTTCCCAATACTACGCACTCAGCATTATCACCTGCATCAACATGAACCTCGATATTCACCATGCCTTTCTCGCTGGCTGTTGTTGCGTTAGAGTGCTGACTCTGCTCGCTGTTTCGTGATATCGTCTACGTCATCAGACGCCTAAACTAA